CTATTTATTACAATGCAGTTCCGGAAATGTGAATTTCAGTACCCGATTTTACAACATCTGGGGCATTCAAATTGAATCCGAGTTGACTTAGAGCACGCTAAAATCCCGCCAGTAAGGGGCTGTTTACATGAACCCGGTTACCCGAGATTCAACGAAGCGTGAGATGACTTTGCGGTATTGAAATAAGTCTTTGGAGAGACCTTTAGTTTGACGTTTACGGCAAACGCCAAACCGCTAGCAAAGTTTGTATTTTAACTCCAATCTCTTTAAGTGTGCGGCAATTTCGCTAAATTACAAACGTTCTACAAAAAACTTGTGATGTTCAGCAGTAATGTAAGAAAGTAATAGGCTATTTCTGATGTATTTAGAAAAGTAGCAAATTCAGCTTTGCCGTATGTGTTTCACGTTCGCCGTATAAAATTTAATGCTTGAACGTCTGAGGGTGTATGCAGTCGTTCAAGCATTAAATTTTATACGGCGAACGTGAAACACATACGGCAAAGCTGAATTTGCTGCTTTTCCAAATACATCAGAAATAGCCTATTGCTTTCTTACATTACTGCTGAACATCACAAGTTTTATGCAGAACGTTTGTAATTTAGCGAAATTGCCGGACACTTAAAGATAGCGGAGTTAAAACACAAACATTGTTAGCGGTTTGGCGTTTGCCGTAAACGTCAAACTAAAGGTCTCTTATGACACCAAACAAGCACACGCTATTGTTGTGGTGATTATACGGCTGCCAGGATCATATTATCTGCTCATTTTAATACCTTAAAATCATCTCACGCTTCGTTGAATCTCGGGTAACCGGGCTCATGTAAACAGCTCCTAAATGAACAATTTCATAATTTTAAAATGTCAAAATTTATGAAAGCTCTCACGAGAAGTTATAGCTTTAGAAACGTTTTTCGATTAAGTCGTAAAGATGGTGAATCAAAGAAACTTTGCATTCCAAGCGAGAAGAGTCAATCGTCCATACTCCATGTGACAATCTGTAGTTTGCATGCATGTTTTTTGAAGTCCAACAGTGCATGCCCATGCATATACTAGATTTTGCATTTGTTTTCTGTATATATAGTATTGAAATGTAAAAAGTTTGTCAAGTCCGTATATTATAGAAATAATTGTTAGATAGAATATTACCAATAAAATATTTCCTTTTTTTACATCGCAATTTCAATTAAACCTTTTTTAAATTTTAAGTATATTTTAATGCATTAAATTTCATTTGAAACTGCTTCAGAAATTAATGGAGATATTGAATTTCCTGAGATTTAATTTTCCAAATTGAAATGCATAGATGCTGATAATATAGACATATATCATATGTGATTTGGAAAACGTGGTTTTTCGTAAAGAAAATAAATTCTTTCTACAAATTCAGTTTTGAAAGAAATTGAACTGTCTAAGACTGCAAGAGCGATGTGCAAACCATATCTCGTATATACGTCATGCAACGTAAACACGAACGAACGACCAGAAATGCAAATTTCGTCGACTTTTTCAACTTTTCTATAATTTGCAATGAATAATGCATGCATATCGTATTCAATCCGGCCAAGCCAGAAGGAAGCCGTTTATAAAACCCAAACAATTGTAAGGAATGGCTTAAAGTCGTTGCGAGTTTTCTACCATGACCGATAACAATGGTGCCCGAAGGCGAAACGACGTTGACTGGTCGCGTTTCGGCCTTGCCGACAACGTTGAGAGCTCAAAACTGCCCGAACAAGCTACAAATCCGAACGGCAGTAAAGATCAAGCGTCTAGTCAACACGTACGGGAGCTTTTCGACGAGGAGGTATTTCGCGACGCTTAATTTGTATATATTTTTGTATAGCGTTAGAATTTCGATGTAAATGCATGTGCAAAGAAATTGTACTATATTTGGACAGATATTAAGGCATATCTCAGTTTATATCAGCCTTATTCTAGGTTTTACTATATAACTTATTGTGTCAGTGTGTGTATTATTATATAAGATAATATATTGAATGTTTTCAGCTGGCCTGCTACAAATCTCGCATAACTTGATTGAATGCGTTGAGGCAAGCATATAGGCTATATATATCTTCCTTTACCAAGATGGATTTGGCCTTTTAAAATGCGCTTTTTTATATTATGTGATAATAGAAACCAGCGTTTACCTTTTCGAGATGCTAATTCATTGTAAAAGTTCTTATTTGCATGTTTAAATTGAATTCAAATGCTTGTGTGCCGACGATATATTGGGATTTCAAATTTAAGAATTCACAATCATTTACACTTTCGGGTTCTTCGCCTGTTTGTTTTGAAACATTTTATGAATTAAACGTCCCTGAAAAAACGTATGTTTTTAATAGTATCGCGTCCAATATTTCTAGTGGCAAATTATGATTCAACATTTCATAAAAAGTTCGTTTACCCAGAGATTAGCTTCGGCGACGATTTGATTGCCCGCAAGGAACGTATTTCTCAATTTCTAAAATCCTAAACTGTTCACTTCGCGTAGAAATCATTTTACGGATGGAATCATAGTTATCAAATGGTCCATCGTCGCAATATATAGAGCAATTTTGCAACTTTAGAATACGGATGTATTAACGGCTTAGTAATCTGTATTGATATGTATATATATATGACAATTTAAAACTAAAAGCAATTCGTCTGATGTCAAAGCGAAATCTGAACTGACTTAAACCTGCATATAATCTTGAGGATTTACAAGACAAGCATCGAGAAAGGTATAAATTTTGAGTGTCTGTTATATTACGTTGAATTTCCAAATCACTCGACTATCATTACAAGGATTTGCTTTATCTATATCGTATATACGGTAGGGCATATTCTGCAATATATATATACAACCATTTCCCGAGAATTTGTATTTATTCAAAAAGCAAAACAACAGCTCTGGGTTATTCTTTTTTATATAACATGAGATCTCTCGCTGCAAAACGTATTCTATCAGATTCCAAATTCATAAGCTTTTGGGAAGATTGGAAAATATTTTATGCAATTACTTGAGGGTTGAACAGGTTCCCACAAACGACCCGACAAAGTTAACGTTTTACTTAAGGCTTTTAAAGATTCTCTTTAAATCTTTAATATGAGGTTTCCTTAATTTGACTTTAAGGTCGTGTTTATTTTTTCTTCGGATTTCTATATTGGATATACGTCATTAGTTATTTATGACGGTCATGAACTAAAATATCAATTCTCAACTGAAAACTCTGCGTATAAACTAATACGGGCAGCTAATTTTAGCCATTTTTTCATTATGCAAGAACTTGAGTGATGCTCTATTGGTTTGTCTATCGCGAAGACAGCGAGGGGTATTGATGTAATAAGTTTCTCCACAAGTAACTAAATGAAACTAGAATACCACCGTTGGGTATATTGTTTGCCACGATTCGTTTTTGGCAATTAAACTTCATTGTCATGGCAACAACGCGTGATCATCGATTTCGCCCACTCGACTGCCGACGCGATTGAACAATGTCTTCCAATTTTAACGACTTTTTTTGGTTGTACAAAAAATACGACGCTTTCAAGTGTACTGAAAATACCCAGAACTTATACTAATGAATGCGTTGATGCGGCACAAATGATTCTTGGTGAATACAGAATTATCTGATTCCTGCAATATTGGTAACAGTATTAACGATATTGATTCTTGACAAGTTATCCGTCGAATTAAAATCTACTAGTTTTTCCTCTGATGAAAACGTATTAAATCACTTTGCCAAAAACGGCGCGGGGAAAGTGCCTATATGTTTACGTTATATACGCATTTTCTGCATGAGATTTTCGCTTTTCGTGCCAAATAATACGATTGCATGGTGGACCATCGCCTTCATCGGGTTTTGCCCGGTTTTACTGCGTAAATAGCGAGTCGGGTTAACCCAGTGAACTCTTATTCAACTGAAATAAGCACCGAATACAAGCATGCTCTTATATTTGTCCGAAGCCAGGGACCCAAACGTCCCGCTGTTTATCAAATTAAATCTGCTAAAAATTACTATTCGTCTTGAAAATTTGTGGATTAAGTTAGCGAATTGTATATACTCTAAAAATACTCCACTAAATTCAATATTCTCGTTTAACCTCAGACATATCACTGAGACGCCCTCGCAAATAAATTATTCATACTTTGATTAAATTAAAACTGACGCTCTGAGATTTATTTGTGTCTAATTTCCACCAACTCATGATAGAAAAATAAATATGAGATGATGAGGTGATGGAGTTTATGTCGAATAATGGTCGAGTTGCACAAATCGCTGAAGTTTTTACTTGAATCTTATTCATTATATTATTTACATTTTCGACAAGATGAATGATTTATGATTCATTATGAATCCGTGATGTAATCGTGACGTGGAGACTTACTGAATTTCGTCTTTCATTAGGGTGATTTGCAAGAGCAAAAGCCGTGGTGGAAAGCTAATTTCTTTGTGACAGAACCTGTGCTGTTTGGAACATGGGATGGTTAGTCTTTCATAGCAATGTTCATCGGTCTCCTTATTGTTCACTCGTCCTGGTTTCTCATTCGTCTCTAGATTCATATTCGCTCTGAAGGATTCTTTTATCTCCATCTAAGACCACCTTTCTCATCTTCTGATCTCTTCATTTCATAATATCTTTGACCATCTCCTTCATCTCTTCTTATACGTGTCCATATCATCTCAACCTTGCTTCCCTCATCTTTTCTGCAATGTCTACCACCTCACATCTTCTGATCTCTTCATTCCATAATATCTCTGACCATCTCCCCTTCATCTCTTCTTATTACGTGTCCATATCATCTCAACCTTGTTTTCCACCTTCCTGCAGGTGTCTTCACGTCGTGTATGTTAAACATATTTGGTGTTGTGATTTTTCTTCGTACTGGATGGACTGTGGTGAGTAAACACCTTTGAGAATAAAATCCCAAATGCCTATCAAACCAGGGCCTTTGCTTGAATCGTCCAGGTTGAAGCAACATCGTTTTGTAAACCGACCTTGATTCTTTTTTATGCATGATCAACTCGTTTATGATTTCAAAACGTTTGTAGGGTAATGCTGGAATTGGCTTGTCACTTTTTATTGTTCTATTGACATTGTTGATCTCGCTCGTCCCGGTGCTGTCAGCAATCGGAATTATCGATCATATTGATCATATCGAAGGCGGTGGTATTTATTTTGTTCTCACGCATATTCTTGGCGCAAGGATCGGGGCTACGGTTGGAATACTCTACTGTTTTGGACAAGTAAGTTACAACGATGCTACTGGTAAATGTTTGAATCAAACCTCTAGTGCATGGAAACACATCAATCTTCACTCGAGCACTTCCACTTAAAGAAATATATTCCCGTTTATGTACACAGGCGGCCAGTATTTCCCTATTTTCGTCGGGTTTTGGCGAATCACTGGCGGAGACTACAAGCTGGGATAATCATTGGGCAGCCAGAACAATTGCCCTCATCGCTGCCCTGACGATATTAGGAATAATTTTGGCTGGAGTGAAGTGGGTTGTGAAATTACAACTCCTGCTTCTAGCCGTTTTAGTGATATCCGTATTGGATTTTGTTATTGGGACGTTTGCTCATACAGATTTGGGTGCGTATACTTGTAGCCAAACCTATCATGTTTTGAATGATCGTTAAAAGCAAGCATTATGTTGAAAACTTTCTGCACAAACTATCCCTCATGTCGTTTCCTGTTCTTGCTGTTTAGCCAATGGTTTCACCGGTTATTCTGAAGAAAATATGGTTAGGAATATCAATCCAAAGTTTTTGGAAGATGAATCATTCTTTACCGTGTTTGGTGTTTTCTTCTCCACCGCGACTGGAATTATGGCGGGAATAAACATGAGCGGCGATCTCAAAAACCCTGGGGAGAATATTCCAACAGGAACGTTGGCAGCTCTTGGTGTGAGGTAAACTAAGTTGGCTCTATCAGTTCTTCCTAGAGGTCCAGTAAGGATCATCTCTTATTGATCCAGTGTTACTACAGGAGGAAACCTAAACTAAACTAACATTATTTATATTGGATAGCTCTATCAGTTCTAAACTGTTCTTCCTAGAGTTCCAGTAAGGATCATCTCTTATTGATCCAGTGTTACTACAGGAGGAAACCTAAACTAAACTAACTTTATTTATATTGGATAGCTCTATCAGTTCTAAACTATTCTTCCTAGAGGTCCAGTAATTAAGGGTCATCTTACCAAACTAACTTTATTTATACTGGATAGCTCTATCAGTTCCAAACTGTTCTTTCAAGAAGTCCAGTAAGGATCATCTCTTACTGATTAATCTTCTCTTCTATTCCCAGCGGTTTATTGTATATGTTGTTTGCTTTGTTACTTGGCGCAGTTTGTACCCGAGAAGCGTTGTTGAGTGACTACATGATTGCATCCAAGGTACGGTTGCATGCTTAGCAAATATACGCTAGTAAATCTATTTTCCTGTTACGTTTTGTGAATTTTATTTAACTTTTACCGTCCCAAAGTGCCTGCAATGGTTCAAAATGACAAAAAATGACTCATTTCCACCATGTTTTATTGTATTTCAGGTCGCATTAGTTGGTGTACTGTTTTTATTTGGTCTGTACATATCGTCTCTGTCTTCTTGTCTTGGGGCACAATATGCTGCTCCTAGGATCATTCAGTGCATTGGTCGTGATAATGTCATCCCTCTTATCAAAGCCTTGGGAAAAGGAGTAAGCATTGTACAATCTCAGTGTCTTTTAATGCAACCCTCTCACGGCTGATTTTTCCGTGGATTTTTCCTGTTGTACCACGTCCTATTGGTGAAACCTTGGACTCACTAAATACTTCTGAATCAACTATTCTCGCAAAATATAGATCTCAAGATATGGATGAAATACATCCAGACAACTACCTTACGTTGAGACTTGACTTGAGATCTAATCTTGCCGCAGAATATAAACAACGTATTATACTTGAGACTACCGAGATATACTTGATCATGACTCTACTTTTTACTTTCTTACAGCGTGGAGCGAATCAAGAACCATACGCAGCGTCAATATTCGTTGGTCTTATAGCCGTTGTTCTTATTCTCATTGGTAACGTCAACTCCCTCGCCCCGGTCGTCACCATGCCCTTTTTGATGACCTACGCCGCGGTCAATTACGCCTACTTCAAGATGGTCATGTGTATGGACTTGCAAAAGCGACGAAAGTTAATCGAGGAAGGCGTCCTGGTTGACGATGCGCCGAAAAGTCCTAAGAGCGAGGAAACTAGGCTGGTCTCCAAGCCCGAAATGATGGATGGTCTTATAGCAAAGGATTATGGGACGACCATTCAAAATGGCGAAGCTATTGCGGACGTTAAGATGACGGATGAGACAGAGAAAAATGATTTGGGTGAAAAAGAGAATCCCGATAAGGATTCTGTAGAGTATAATGTAGGGACAACTGTCGATAATTCGGAGTATAACGGGGATAATGCAGGGGATACTACTGGCATGGTTGTGGATAATAGAGGTGATCAACGTAGTGATAATGAGGGTAATGAGATTACGGATGCTGATTACTGTGAACTAGATGATGGAGAGGAAACGGAATTGTACAAAAAGGATGAGAAAGTAGAAGACAAGAACAAAACGGGTAAGTGAGATTCATTTTAAGGATATAGATTATAGGTATTAATTTTTTCTGGATGCTGAACAAATCGATGCGGAAAATTATTTTAAACCTAAGAATTGATGACATCCTTTTTTTATTCAGATAAGCCGAAATCGAATCGATACCCAAAGTCACAATTTACAGTAGAAATAGAGCAGAAACGATGGTCAGAATATTCACAACTTGCAAACAGATGGATCTCGCTGGCGGGAGTGAGTGTTGCTTCGCGTTTCTTCCAAATGATCAAACCAATCTTAAATGATCAATCCATTCTAATTTGAGCTACTCTGTTTTCTCTCTTTCCAGGCATTCGCAAGTGTTTTTATGATGTTTTTAATCCATTGGGGTTATGCGTTAGCAAATATTTCAGCGGGATTGCTTATTTATATTTATATCGGACAGACAAATCCTGGTGTCACGAAAGGTTAGTTAATACATGGAGTAATTTATATTCATTTGACGCGAGTAATTTATACTCATTTCGACCGCATATTGATTGAAATAAACTAGATAGCTTATAGTAACATGACTTAGTAAACTGGTTAATCTACCATTAGCCTAGCTAGTCGATTGCATAAATATCTCTTCAAATCTTAAAGTCTGGGTTACTCTCATACCGTTCAGGTTCAGATCTAATTCCCGAAAGTACTATTAAATCTAGTTACACATACAGTTCAGTTGTTATTGATAAATTGTGGCAGCCAGCCTTTCCAGGCCAGCCACCAAAAACAGGAGAAATTGAAAAGAATATAAACTTAAATCTCGATAATTAGCGTATATCTGACCTCTGAATATAAGTTACAAAATTTGGTCTTAGTATTGTGGGACACGAGAAGTTTGCGCATGCGCATGACTGTGATGATTTTCACATGTTTGTAGTACTTGAATTAGATGAATAAGCGTGTTTAAATCAGTAAAAGTTCTCTGACTAGCGGTGTATCTGGTTTTAAAAGTACAGGAAGGTAATCAAGGAATATAAACGGAAAATTTCACTGACAAAAAATGGCAATTTTCCGTCACATTGTTTTTGATATTCAATATTTTTCATGAGCAAATGTTATTGTTGTCAAAAAATTCCAAATATATTTTTATTAGGGCGGCCAGCCTTTACAGGCCAGCCGCTTAAAACAGGAGAAATTTAAAAGAATTAAACGAAACCAGACGATGTCGTTCGCAAATTGTCTTTCTGGCTATAAATAGGGGGAAACCTGTTGTTCTCGTTACGGGAGGAAGTTGGCGCATGCGCATTTCTGAACTTTTTATAATGGCTTTTTTTCGGATTTTACTCAAACTATTTCAACTTTACTTACTCATCTTTTAGGTATTGCTTATGACTTTAACTTTGCGAGATGGGTGCAATCTTTATGGGAAAAACTGACAAGGTTCGTATAGTCTTTTCGATGTCTTTTATTGTGTGTCTACTTTGCTTCAAATTTAACAAATCTTTCTCACTACTCATAATCCTTAGGAGGTCACCAAACCAACACCGTGTTATAAAAATGGACACAAACATTCCGTATGAAATAGCACTGTTTCAGGTGACAGAAGAAAACCCTGATTTTTCAAACAGAGAAAAAAGGCATCATTCCTCTTTGGTGAAAGTCATTTCTCCTGCTTAGAATGCAACGTTCTTGGCTTAATTTCACACGCAATCTATCACAATAATCTGAAAGCCAGAACCACGTGCGCACACCTTGAATTCATCGCAGCAATTTTAAAGAAATGGGATTGTTCACAAATGAATTCCTTCTTAATTTATTTCAACATTGAATTTCTGAATTCTCCTTCAAAGGCTAAGCTGTGTATTCTCGACTAGAATTCCCGAATGGAAATAATTTATTAACAAACGAAGTCCAAAATTGTATATATCTATATTTTAAATAATAATGACTTGTCTCATTAAATATTATATTTATTTTATTGCATCACTGTCGCTCAGTTTTATGGTTATCTCAATTGTGGCTTACTGTACTTTTAGTTGTAGAAATATGATTTGATATTGTGCAGGATGAAGGTATCAAAGTAGGTTGTATCTTGAAACACAGTGTCCGTTTACCAGAAAAAGATAATTGTGCAACTTTTCTTAATTCAAAGTCTGTTCTTTTGTGCACAACAACACCCAGTGAAGAGACGCCTTGGAACAAAAAATCAACGTTTGTTCCCATGTGGAGGATGAAGAGGCTTCAAGTTAATGTTCCGAAACTTGAACTGGCCAAAAACGTTTCAATCCGATGAGGTGGTACCATGACATGCTCTAACTTTAAGGTTGGCCTGCTTGTCTTTTATCCAGTAATTTTGCCACAGAAAAGTTCGTTGGTGCACCAGCGTGGACACATCTTGAAACAGATGCCGTTTTAGCAAAGGTAGTTTCAACTAGCAGGTTAAAGGTGTATATGTGAGCCCGCCTTCAGAATTCTGACCTAAGATCACTTGACCTTGATTTCCTTGTAGTTGTGTATTTGAGCCACAATTCGTCTGTGCGCCTTGATTTTGAATTCCAGAATGCACCCCATTGTTGTTATTAATCCCCGGTGATAAACCCACCACATTTCCGTTGTTAGTAATAATTCCCGGGGACAAACCGACGGTATTTCCGTTGTTGGGGTTCATCCCGGGTGACATTCCGACCAAATTACCAGCGTTGGTGCTTATCCCCGGGGATAAACCTACGGAATTTCCGTTGTTGGTGTTCAGCCCTGGTGACATTCCGACCAAATTACCAGCGTTGGTGCTTATCCCCGGTGATAAACCTACGGGACCTCCGTTGTTGGTGTTCATCCCCGGTGACATTCCCACCAAGTTTCCGGTATTGGTATTAATCCCGGGTGACAAACCTAAAGTGCAATACAAACGGCATAAATTCGCAGATCAGCTTGGTACAAATCTGTTGCAATTCTGGTACGAAATATTTTGGATACATAAATACCTATGCCATTCGTGTTCTGTGTCCCACCATTATTCAATCCTTGCAGAGCGATTTGTTGTGGTTGGGCCCCGTTTATTTGGCCACCATTTTGTCCCCCAAATTGAACCTCCTTAATGTTCGGTTGAGGCTGCTGATCTGGATTAGCTTTCTGGACTGTGACGTGAATATTTTTGTTGGATGATTGCAACTGCGCCATGGGTAAGAATTGTCCATTTATACTGACCGTTGTTTTTTTATGTAATTGTGATTTCTTCCCACCAATTTCTAAAGAATGAAAGGATCGATGGGTCTTGTAGTATTGGCATGACGAGGTAAATGTATCCAGACTAAGGTGCTTCAAAACTTCGAAGGGAGTGAAGAGATCAGAAGAAGATACGAAGTTGTAGACATTGCAGAGAAGATGAGGGAAGCAAGGTTGAGATGATATGGACATGTAATACGAAGAGATGAAGGAAGGCTGGTCAGAGATATTGTGAAATGAAGAGATCAGAAGGTGTGAGGTGGTAGACATTGCAGAGAAGATGAAGGAAGCAAGGTTGGGATGATATGGACACGTAATAAGAAGAGATGAAGGAGAGCTGGTCAGAGATATTATGAAATGAAGAGATCAGAAGAAGGTGTGAGGTGGTAGATATTGTAGAGAAGATGAGGGAAGCAAGGTTGAGATGATATGGACACTTCACCACTTCATAACTTCATAAAACAATTATTTTTGGGGGGAAAGCCGAAAAATAGAATTACTATACGTGCCGGAATTGCTCTTGGATTTTGTGATCTTCCTCGTTGGACTATCCGCTTTAGCTCTGTGAGGTTGTTTATTTTTCTTGATAGGCACACAGCGAACAGTGATGAGGAACTGTAGTGACAGCAAAACGATGAAGGTACATTCAAAGACGCTCCACATCCTTTGAAAGTTCTGTACAACTTTTTAAGGTGATGTCCACTTTTCACATTTCGCCAATCTTTTGAAACATAACATACAACAGGTTGTACATTAGATAATGCAATGGTAAATAATACAATCTCATGTTTATTTCATAAAGAAAGGAATTGTATAAATGAAGACATCTAACTATGAGAAAGACATATTTTCTCCTTGCATTTTCGAAACGTCAAATGCCTCTTCATTCGACCTTTCAAAATTTTTTGTCCAAAACATGTTGTCGACAGTCCGACAGAATTGAAGTCAACACATGTATTTACAAATATGACAAAGAATTACGAAAAAATCACAAACTTTATTGCTGCAGGTCATGAAAATATGAAAGTCTCACGCCATTGCACTACAAGTGTACTCCAAGACCTTGTCGTGAAGACGTATATAACTTACCTTTAATATAAGTTCTATAGAAAGATAATACCAAGTAAAAAATCGATTTTTTGAAATAATTTTGTAATATGTATCGCTTCCTAGCATAGAAGATGTTTTTTGCAATAATTTTTCACGTTTGAGCAATTTCGTCACATTTATTGCAGGTAGGAAAAAACACAAGAACACACGAGACTGTCATTTCACCTGTTTTCAATTAGACAGCTATCGTTTGCATATGAAATTTAATACTCTTCGTCAATTTTAATCGAATTTGAGTAGTGAAAATTAATGCATTTGTGAATTGTGATTGAAAATAAACAATCGAGTACAAACAAACGCCGTGATTGATTCTCAAAATAATATATACCTGAATTAGTTCATCTTAATGTTTTATCATGTGTTTATAAAAACTGTTCGTTCTAAAGTAATCCCTTATGTTTGGGAAATCGACCCTTCATAGGACACTGAAATTTAAACGTATAGTTTAAATTTACAGTATCTTAACATCTTTGTAGTTGGGTTTCCTGTTATTATATTTAAAAGGAAAACCTTTTTTTTTGCAGATTGCTTTGACGTGTTCTGATCTTACAGTAGTGTATGACAAAGTCAGTTGGACAAACACACAAACGACATTTGACAAGTAAGGAAGCAGTTTCTTTTGTGTAACACAAAGTTTATTTTGTTTAAGTTAATAAACGACGGTCCCTAAGAAATCTGTTTTATTCAAGACGTGAAAATTTGACTTTTGTTCACCATGAAAAGTGCAACCAGATAATCCTTGTTAATAATTAATCGTATTGCTGTAGCCCAAGATCTCGCAAGCTCAAGCTAAAATATTTGTTTAAAGTAATAGCTTATTTAAAGTGGAAGTAACCTAATTCTTTGTTTTTTTTCATATCTTGTAATAATACATTTACTTTGCTCTCAACTATGGAGGTGAAGTAGGTATTTAACGTGGATAACAAAAGATGAGATTTTCGATGTATTTACAATGTTGTTTGTTGATGTTTGTTTTCTGTGTGGTCCATGGAGGATTGGAAACGAAACACAGTCGTAATGCAACAGTCCGACATTCTTCGATACGACAAGGAAAAATTCATTTGGACAACATTTTGCCCGCCGATAAGCAAAATGCGGGAAGAAACATGTCAATCATTACGAAAACCTTACGTCTTAAAAAACAGCAACAGGGAAAATTTGGGAAAAGCAACGCAAAACAAAATAATACACTCAGAATCTCCAAAAACCATCACCGTTTTTTCTCAGGGAAAAGAAAATCAATCATTGACATCCAACAGAACCAAGCTAATGGCAGATCTCCAGTAATGTATACCTCTAAAGATGGACAAGACCAATTCATTACCCTAAGAAACAACGAGAATCCCCAAGGTACTCCAATTAACCCCAATCTACCCTCAAGAACCTTTCTAGTCACTGTTTACGGGGATCAAATCGTGGGGGCGGAAGAGAAGTTGCGTGATGCCTTGACAATTCCACCAAACCACAAATGTCCGTGTAAATGTTCCAGTACTTCATGTACTGAAGCTGAAAGAGAATGTCCATGCGAGGAGGAGACGGAGCCGGAAAACCCGCACACGGGCGGGTATAAATTAGTGATCTTTCCTAATGCTGGCAAACCATTTGGCAACCACGGTTGCGTTTGTCCGTGTTGCCTGTGTTCATGCTCTGAGCCCTGGTTCGAGAACTATGGATGTGGTTGCCAGGCCTCCCCCCCTGTTCCATGTCCCTGTAGTTCTTCTTCAAACAATGGTGCCCAACCGCAGTCACCATTACTCACTGTTTTCAACTCATCACCCACAAGTACTAAAACAGATGGAAGTCATATTGCACCATGGACAGAGGCCTCATCATGCCCGTGTTCTTGCTGCCAATGCGCATGTGCACAGCCTCAATCTTATCCCAACTATCACTGCGGGTGTGCAAGTCAACCGGCTATCCCTTGTCCATGTAATCCCAATTATGACCAATCTTTGTCCCAGAATAATGTCGCGAGATCTCCGGATAAAAGTTCTTATCCCTCGAGATCACCGGAAGATAGCTCCTATACGACATCGGTCTCTTCGAATTATGCACCTCAACCACAACCGTGGTACAGTCCTTACCCGTCAGCAGCCAATAATCAGGTTGCACAGTCTTCGAATAATGGACCTGTAACTCAAACCTTTCGATCTGGAGATTATCTCTTTGAGAACAGTTGCGATTGCCATTGCTGTCCGTGTTCGTGTCCTGGGACTGAGTATTCGTCTTACGACAACAGTCATTGTAACTGCGGGCTGGATACTCAGGCAGCCTGTACATGCAGGCGTTCTGGAGTACAGAAAATCAAGAACAACTAATTATTTTGAACAAGTAATTTTAACTTTAAACTGAGTACACGCAAAATAACCTATTGTAAAAATTTAGCAATACTTTTCCTAATAACGCGTTTTATTGTCAACAAAGTTCAAAACAAACAGTGCTCTTCGGTTTTAAAATATATTTAATTTAGTTTGGAATTCGTTAGAAGGAACTCTTGGCCAATTAAAGTTCACAATCACCAGTCTCTTTTAGGAGACTTTAAAGAAACAAAATTTGTTGAAAAGATTCGAGTGGACATAGCAACGTTTTCTGACTTAAAATTTAATCATTTGATAAGCTTTTTAAATGTTGGCTCAGCTAATCATAACAGGTACTCTTTTGACAAGAAAGCGTTGATAACAAGCTCCCCTTATCAGGTTGTGATTATACATCAGTAGAAACTGTCTTTAAATCAAGACCAATAATTGCTAAACCATAATCAATGCAATCATACGTGATTTGTCTAGTTTGCGTTTGGTATGGAAAAAACAGGAAAGGTAGTCAGGATTGTGTAATAGATCAGGATGAATTCATGATCTTCACACATAATTACAGGTGGAAAAAGAATCGTGTTGCGAGGAATGATCCCATAGCCAGAACTTAACTCTAAAAGATCGATAACACTGAAACTCGATAAAATCCATGGACTTTTATAGGTATTTCTACATTATTTTGTTATGTCCTATTGTCACAGTGGTTACTTCAAGCTCTTGGCGCGGGGAAGATGACACAAAGTTGTCAGACAACAAGAAATTTGCAGGAGGAGATTCATTCAGATATGCAATTGAACAAGAAAGAGTTGATGGCAAGAAAAAATCGAGAGCTCCTAAGTCCTGTAAGTATATATAATTTGACAGGTAAAAACTTTTTTGTAAAATATTTTATCAAAGTAAAATACCGAATTCCTTAGCAATGGTATGGACTTGAATTTAACATCCAAATTTATATGAATGCATTTATTTTGGAGCATTTTTTTTAATCAAAGGAAGGTTATACAGATTTTCGTATTTTTATAGCCATCGCCAAAAAGAATTTGAACACCGTGGGAGACCTTTTGTCAAATCCAAAAGGAAAGAAAAGTGAAAGAGAAGCCACAGCAGTCGAAGGAAACAAAGGACTTGGTAAAAAGAGAACTTTGTGTTTATGTGAAAGCACATCCTGTTGCGAGGACGACTGTACTTCAGATTGTTCGGAGAAATGCGCATGCCCAACTCCGCGACCGCCCTCTCAAACTGCCTTATTCCCCATACCAAAGGAGCCTCCTGTAGTTAGTTTAACACCGATTACTCCCCCCGTGAATCAACCACTTCCCAACACTGGTACCATCGGATTACATCCTGGAAGAGCTGGAAATGTTTACATTCTACCACAAGGAACTAAACCAACCTTTCCACTCCAAGTCTCACCCAATCAGGGTCCAACTCTCGTAAATTCGAATCCCAATCTCGTTAACGGAATCAATTCTAACTCGAATCAACCGTTCTACGTCGTTCCTGCAAATAATGGCGCGTCAACGAATGCAAATGGTAATAACTATGTTATCAATGGGGTGCCATACACGATTTCAAATCAACCCACTATTAATTGGGATCCAAATCAAGCTAACTTGGGCTCTCAAAATTATCGCGTCATAACCAATAATGTTGGAAATCAAAGGCCAAATCAAGGAACATTATATGGTAATCAATTACCTAATGGGAACAATCAAGGGATTAATTATAATCAAGGCAACATTTACAACCCTGGAACAAACTTTGGTAATAATCAAGGCACTAATTATAATCTAGGAACAAATTTCAATAATCAAGGTACAAATTCGAACAATCAAGGAACAAATTTCAACAATCAAGGAACAAATTCGAATAGTCAAGGAACGAATTCTAATAATCAAGGAACAATATCGAATAATCAAGGAACGAATTCGAATAACCAAGGGACAAATATCAATAATCAAGGAACAAATTCCAATAATCAAGGAACAAATTCCAATAATCAGGGAACAAATTTTAATAATAAAGGAACAAATTTCAATAATCAAGGAACAAATTCGAATAATCAACGAACGAATTCGAATAATCAAGGAACAATTTCGAATAATCAAGGAACGAATTCGAATAATCAAGGAACAAATCTCAATAATCAAGGAACAAGTTCCAATAATCAAGAAACCTTCACGCCTAATCTAGTGCCATCTTCTGCCATTAATGCACCAAACTCTCTAAATCCTCAGACCAATCCTCAGAATCCGTCTAGTAATGCCGGTAATTCTGCAGTATCTGCTAATCCTCAATCGGGTAATCCGATAGATAGCTCAAGACAAACTAACAATCCTTTTGCCCCAGGTAGGGGATTAGATCCTCAAACTGGTCAATCTACTAATCATGGCGGATCGTCTAATCCAGCTGGATCAACTAATCCATCTACTTCCACAGTCAATCAACCTGGAGCAGTTAATCAACCTGGAACAAGTAACACAGCTGGATCCGCTAGTCAAGCTAGTACTGGGTCGGCTAATCCAGTTGGATCGACTGGATCTACTAACCAGGTGGGCTCTGCTAATCCGCAAACCGGCATTCAAGCTGTTCCCGCAGGTCAAAGCAATAATCCATTTGCACCTGGCGGCCGATTATCAACCACAAACAACAATGGCCCAAACGTTCAACTGGACGAAAAAGAGAATGAACACAATGAAAAAAATAGCGAAGCTAAACCGTTAAAGAAACTCATGCGAAAACTCTTAAACAAGCTTTCGAAGCAGAAAAGTGGGACCAATTCTGTGAAAGATAGGGAGAGCAATGACTTTGTAGAAAAAATGGCAATCGCCAAAAATGTTTTAGCAAAACAAAAGCTTATTAAAAAACAAGTGCCACATCGCTTTGCAGGAACCAAGAAGCAAACAAAGAAAAATTTTCCTTCTCGGCGGAAATCATTCAGAAAATCAAGCGAGAATTCCAGTCGTTCCAAGAAAGCAAGGTTTCAACCTTGGGAAAAGGTGTGGAAAAAATTTGCTCGCGATATCTCTTGAAACTTCACCACGTTGATCAGCTGAAGCAAGAAGATACCTCTGTTAATAAGAGGGAGAAGAGCCAGGACAATTATTACGATTATTCTTACCACGACATTAATCCTAATTTGTAATTTGCCAGCCTTTCTGCAAGAGGAAGCGAGCTGTGATAAAGACCGTCCTCAAAATCCCGTGATTCCTAACTGTTGATGTTTTTTAAATATTATTAATAACTTATGTATAAAGAATCGTAAAGAAACTAGAAAATTACTATCTGTTACTATTATTATTATCTGTTAACTTTGTTTGAACTCTACGTATGGTTAGTAAACCTGTGTCAGCAAGGAAACTCTTAGTAATTTTAGCATATTGTATTATGATTTACCTGGCCATCTTTTCTCTGCCAAAATTGTCTGTCATCGAGAGCAGCACGTCACCACACGTCACGTGACCACACGCCATGTGATCACGAGCGGAAAATTTAAAAGGCTTTAATATTTTGGTCGAGAAGTAGCAAATTATGGTGGAACACTACAAGTAAAAGAACGTTTTAAATCGCCCATCTTCGGATATTTTTCTCCAGCTGCTGTCCGTTAAAAGTCGTTTCATACGTTAAGGTAGGCTATACTTTATTTTATTGCTCAGAAAAGTGTGAAAATACCATATTCTTTTACTGGACATTTCGTATGGTACAACATGTTAAGCCTAATTCCGCATTGCATATTTTGAATTTTTAATAAACGATATTTTAGCTTCATTTGGTGCACAATTAGAGTAAATAAGAAAAATATAATACACAAAAAGCCTTGACAAACGAATGCTATCGAACAAATAACAATTTTTCATAAAACTATTGAGAGATTCGTCTGCAAAATATACTTAAATATTTGCTCCAAAGAGTCGATGTGTATAAAATGTCATAAATTATCACATTAATATTGTAGCGCAATTCAACCGTATAACCAGGTAAAAACCTGACTATTCTCGCATATAAATAACGGGCTTTTTAAAGCATTCTGACTGCAGGACTTTCCTAATCGCGAATGGTATAGTTTGTAAACAAAGTCGTTCCGTCTGGGCGTTTCGTTCTAGAATGCACTTCATGCAAAATTGTGGCCTTTTCAAGGTGTAGAACTTAGGAAAGCTTGCTCCTCAATAGTTTGCGTATATTTCAAAACAACAGAAAACGAAACAATACAAGATATGTTAGCATATTTTTATAAAACTTCAATTTATACAAATTTCACGCGCTTCATTTGATGAAGTTCATCATGGGTTAATCAAGGTTAGCTTAATAACGTTTTAGTAGATATTAGTCGTTTACATGATGCGCTAAATTATTTTTCGGTGCAGAATTTAACAATATTGCGTGATACGTTGCATCCAAATCCGACCGAAGTTTGACACTTGGTTTTGCAATCCTCTTGCGCGTCGGCGTAAATAATTTTGCACGGAAAGTACGAATTCGGTGTGGTCAGCTGGGCCAGAAGCATCGTTGACACGAATTTTGCGCTTCGGGGAAAGTTTTATCTCGGCCATATCGAGTTCTTGAGCTCATTCCATAGCGAACTGCTGACAGCATCGTGAAATTCAGTCTAGAAAAGCATTGAAACAGCTTGGAAAATTACGCGAAAAATAATTACAAAGAATTATGCCATATCAACGATCTTCATAGTTCTTTATAATGGTATTCTTAGAGTGAATATTGATGCCCAAAAACTCTTTCCAGCAATGAGAATAACGGGTCTTGTATATGCAAGCTTTAACATTTTTCGTTCTAATATACTTCAATTGCAACTTTACTTCCGGAATACCTCGACATCAGGTCGCTTTATCCTTTCGAGGAAACCGGAAGTTTACTTTTGACTGCCTGGAAGCTATTTCTATTCTCTTGTAAACATTTGGATCCACCATTGCTAGATTTTGCGCAGTTCCATGAACGTTTTGTCGACGATATGGATCTTGCGTTCGAGCCTGCTGTCTCCTGGGCTGCACTCGAGCATAGATTGGTGATATTCTGAATCTTTGACGCGGCCAACCTAACTGGGTATATGACTAGAAAGCACATTTAGTGGTGTCACTGATCACACCACGAAATCAGTACGTATACAAGTAAATGTAGTCAGATATTTGATCATATTTCTTTTGTATACTAGCTGCTCGTTCATTTTTCATGTTAGCAAACTTTAGATCTCATTTCAAGAATTTATATGCGTCAACATAGAAACATTCTTTGCTGACAACCATTCTCATCAGTTATTGAACAAATGAAAGTGTTAGCAAGATTAGATTCTTCAATTTCATGTACTTTTTGACAGTGGGTTTTTGTGAAGCGGTACAATGTAGTTATACTTTGCTTTGCAGAGAATCTGGGTGAATATCGAGCTTCTGAAAAACATTTGCTTGAAATGAGATTGTTCTCGAAATGGGTCAAACTAAGTGAGCAATAAACAATGATGTCGCTTACCAAGTTACGTCCGTCATCTCACGCGGTTGTCGTTGTCCCATTAAGTTGTTGCGTTATAACGATTGTGTGCGTTGTCGCAAAGTACATACATATTAAGTGTCAAAGTTATAGCATATGAAATGAATAGGAAATTAATTCCTGCCATATTAATACGGCTTCTATTTATATCATCATTAGGTGTTGTTGAAAACATGTTATCGTGTTATGCACTGTATTTATTCTTTTCTAAATTTCTACAAATCCACAATCCTCATTATTTACAGCCGTCTATAAAAAGCACTCTTTTAAAAAAAACTTAGTGTCCTATCGGCTGTCATTTTTGCTATAAAAAAGGTATAAAAGTTTTTTCTCTATTTTGCTTGTTTTTGTATAAAATAGTTTTTGGGATTTGTCAAGAATATCCCTTGAGCTGTTTTCATGCGTACTTGGTGTAGGCTTCGTATTACAATGCTCACATATTTTAAAAAACGTAACAGTTCGTTTCTCCTGTTTTGTTCATAACAGCTACATGTGCTCGTCTTTGTCCGTAACGTTTTCACGTTCTCGTGTTTCGTTTTCTCGTTCCCGTGCTTGGCATCCACGTTGCGTGTTTCGTTCTCACCTTTGCATAGTTTGTTTCAGTTACGTTTTGTCAACTTGTGACCGTTTTTTACGTTCCTTTTTACGTAGAAAACGTGTATTCAAAAAGTCAGAAAATGCTTTTTCTACAACATTGTCCATGTCAATTTTAGTATCCAACTTCTTCCCGTCGTTCGTTGCGGTCGCAGTCGTTTGTGACGTCAGTTTATTTACGTCATTTTTATACATTACCGTATCGTCTACCTTGGCAAAGGTTCCAGAATTCCACGTCCCCTCAGGTTTCCCCCCCTGGATTCCACCGGTACCGGATCCCATTTTGGTAGCTCTCACGGAAGCCCATGGGGTGCGCGATCTTGCTGACCAGCGGTTACTCTGGGCATTCCCCTGAGCAGGGCCTAATTTTCTCCCATTTAATTGAGAGAAAGGTTTATATCTCTTCACATCTGAAGGATACTGCCCGTGTTCATCAAGAGTATTTATTCTTGATAGTTTTTTTTTACTTTCTGAAGGTCCAATATTTTGGCCTTTCAAAGTCCGCAAATTTTGCTGATTTTGCGGCTTTTTTGTCACGTATGACTTCGGCGTGGAAGAGGTTGGCCGAGGTATATTTCCCCGTACGGAATTTTGATCAAAAGACAAGCCCGCTGAGTAGGCATAATTTGGTCCGTATTGAGGGGTGATACTTCGTGTAGCTGCAGCATACGATGCAGGATTGTTCTGAGTATTTGCGCCATAATTTTCTGCATTAGCATAAACGTTATTTCGTGTGTACGCAGTTTGTGCTTGTGGCATATCATTCGCATACGTCATGCTTGTGACGTCACCAGATGACGTCATCTGCTTTGGCACGTCAGTTTGCCACGATGGGCTCTGAGCTATAAAACTTTTAGTTCCACCTGAATATTGGTTATCTTGCTGTCCGTATTGCACCCTCTGCTGACCGCTAGTGGGTGATACGATTTGATATTGCCCGTTCGGGATATTTCTTGCGTATTGGTTTGTGTTATATTTTGGTACATTCATTGGTACATACCTATTGCTTTGTGTGTCCGAATTTGTTTGCCTGGATGGCATGGAATTGTATGCTTCCCTAGATCCTTGAGGGTAGACCATGTTTTGTGTATTCTGGGGTAATTGTGACATTCTTCCAGCTTGGGTAACCCGATATCCATTGTAACTCCTGACGCTTGGTTGATATTGAGGAGTATTAGTAGATCCTCTATAGCTAACAGGGGAACCAGGTGTCTGTGTCCTTGGGTACCCGAATTGATCCTGCCTTTTGGCAGACCATTGAGGGTTATATGCTTGCTTCACTGCAAGACCTTGAGGGGTATACGACTTTGGATATCCTGTATATCCATCGGATGCTTTATAAGTCGGGGTATATGGGTACCTTACAGTACTTGAGGGTACGTTTGGGATTTGGTATGCTCTCTCTGGAATTCCCCATCTAGCGGTACCTTGTGCATTTGCGGGTCTTTGTGGTACATATGAGGGAGATTTTGGTACGTACGAGGGTGGTTCTAGTACACGAGGTGCATATGTGGGTGAACTAGTAGGACCTTTTGATAGACTTGGCCGTTTGTATCCTTGTGATCTCTGATATCCCGTCTGTCCCCCAGTGGTGGCCGGCTGGTATCCATAATTACCATAGTAGCCTTTTTGGTTAGACCCTGATTGGTAGTTAGGGTAATTGCTTGATACTGAAGGGGCTTGGTTGTAGCTTGCTTGAGGTTGATATTGTTGCCCAGGGTAAGGCATTGCCTGCTGATTGTAAGATGGCAACGAATTCGCTTTAATTTCTGAGTAACTTTCTTTGCTTTGTGTTGATGGTTTCTTGACGTATTTGTCTGAAATTCAACAAATTTGTCAATCAAGATTTTATTGTAATTTACCACTAGAGATTAATGGTGGAACTTTTGATCCGTTTATTTGCTTTTCTGGTGACAATGAATATTAAAACTTGATCTTTTGTGGGTTTCATTTTTATATGATAGAGCTAATCCAGCACAATACAAGCCATCAGGCATGTAATACAAAGCTCAAAGACTTTGCAGCTAGACTTGCTATTAGGATTGCCCATTGAACATTAAACTAACGTTATTTTCAAGTCTACATAAACACAAGTGTACAATTTCGCCACTTACTGTAGTAAACTTTACAATGTGTCTTTAACACTAGGATTTGTAGTCGAGATAACTCCGAGGGAAAGATAGAAAACTCGTCCACCATTCCTCGCAGCACACGAGCACCATAGGGATGTTCGTGTTTACCTGTAGAAGAAAAAGGTAATTACGTAAGGTAATTACGACTCAAGCTTCTGGGATAAAGTTTTTTAGTTAGACATCACAAGTCACAAGCAAGGTCTTACCATCTCTTCGAAAACGTTTTTCGTTTAGCATCAAAAAGTCAAATTTATTTTCGTTTTTTTTGTTCTTTTTCAAGTCGTTGTCATTGTCTTCTATCATATCAAAGTTGTTATCGTTTTGTAAATCGTTTAAAACTTTGTTGTTTACGAATTCATCAACGTCGTCGCTTTTGGGAATATCATTTAAATTTTCCTTGTCTTTGTTTAGTATTTTTTCTATAAAACCTTTGTTGTTGTTAAGGTTTTCGTCGTTGTTGTTGTTGTCGGTGATAATGTCGTTGTCGTATTTGATCTTGTTAAATTGTTTGTCTCTTCGTGACAACATATCGCTTAGCATGTCATTGTTGCTAAAGCTTGGTTTATGTGTAATAATATTGTTTCTGTAGTAATTGTTGTTGTTAGTTGTTGTGTCGTCATCGTCGTCTTGTAGTTCGTCTTTGTCGGGTACATCCAGTTCAGGCAGTGTTGCTGTTACGAATCAAGAATTCGATTATAAAAGTAGCATGTTTAGTAAACGTGTTTATAGTGTTTGGCTGCTTCATAATCAGACTCTTTGCGTTGGTAGTACGAATCTATTCTTGCATTCAATATGAAAGCTGTGAGAATTCCAAGGTGAATTCTTTAGCAAGCATGCACTATTTTATACCGCTTTTAAGAACTTAGAATTGGTTTACTAAATGGTATCATAGAAACTTTTAACCATGTGATGTTCCTCCTTGGCCTACTGGTCTCTTGCACGATGGCTTTGAATACTTTTCTACAATCTTACCTATTCCTGCTTTGAATCCCCAGTCTCCAGAGAGCGACATTTTCTTTCCGTTCGTTTCCTTTTTCATATCACCATTGACGTAAATCTTTAAATATTCACGATATGCATTGATATAAATTGTAGTTTTCTATCTGAGATGTAGTAAACTTTGTGAGGGTTTCTACATTTCCTAAATGTACCTTATCACTAGTTGACAAAACGGTTATACTACTTGGATAAATAAAAGCTTATAATGACAAGGGTCGTCATCACCATAGCGACCACACAGGCGTGTTACTCACCCTAGCTCGGTTCCGGTCAACACTATAGGTTCCCGTGATTAGATTCCAGTTCCCTTCGCGCACCACGATGTCATCAGTGACCGCGCTGAAGACAGTTTTACCATCCTCGTTTCGATGAAACCATCTCACTCTTCCGTTGTCAATTTCAAAATGATATTGACCGTCTTTGTGCCGCGAATGGCTTCCAACCGTATCGAAAATGGATTGAATTCCTAAGGCTGTTGAGAGTTTGACCCACACAGCTATCGTGATCGCCTTTCTTGGTATTCCCCTGAAGTTTTCGCCATCGAAAATGATATCTCCTCCTATCAGATGAAAAATACAAGGTGAAATATTTACGGAAAAGGTCAATTGTAAACATGACACAGCAATATTCCTACGATAAACTCTACACCCACCATTCAAATTTCCAGCGTTGTCACATTTGCCTGCTCCAGGTGTAATCTGGAAACCTTGGTTTATCAGACCGTCATTTCCATTACCGCTCATGTCCCTAACCCTTTCTCCATCCTCGAGTCGATCAAAGGTCAAATGAACCACTGGTGGGCTATACTCTACGTGAAAAGAAAGACTGGTATCATTCAACAGTAGAATTCTCAACTGCCGTTATGCTTAATCATTTGGTTTACCGTTATGCTTAATCATTTGGTTTACCGTTATGCTTAATCATTTGGTTTACCGTTATGCTTAATCATTTGGTTTACCGTTATGCTTAATCATTTGGTTTACCGTTATGCTTAATCATTTAGTTTACCGTTATGCTTAATCATTTTCCCAAGCTGGTTATTACCACGAGAAGCAGATGTGGTAAACATAGACCAAATCCTTTAATTCCAAACATCAAATATAAAAAAATCTTTTCCTACCTTCACAGTAATCCCCGGAAAAGCCAAGACGACAAACACAACCTGATCGGCCTTCTTTGCAAGTCCCACCGTTCTTGCATGGGTTGACTTGACAATTCCAGTTATCATCTTTCTCAGTTCGTTCTGTATCAACAAATATTAAGGTATTTAGAATCTTGACCGTCGGTGGATTCCCACAATCTCTGGGCTATCATTTTTCGACTCTTACCCCAGCATTCCAATCCATCACCGACATATTTGTTCTTACAAATGCAGTGCCCGTTAACGCATCTGGCATTTCTGTCACAATGCTCGCATTCTTCTGTAAAACGTTTGATAAAAGTTAAATTACGGTTTGGTATCAACTTTCTCTTGAGCTATGATTCTTGGCGTTTTGCTATTACAGCTGATTTTCGGAGTAATTTTCAGTTCTTACCATTGCGTCCGGGAAAGAACTTCGGAGCGGAGGAATATTTAAATTGACCTTTTTCTGAAAGAAAGATTGCTTTTAGTTGAAGTACAAATGCACAAATGTACAAATGTACAAATGATTGCTTTAAGTTCATTTGCAAATGATTGCTTTTAGTTCAAGGGTAAATGGTGTCGTTTTCGGCCGTTTAAAGTTTTGTTTTTTCGGCTACTGTTGTTGTGATGAAGTTCTGTTTGAAGTGCCATTTAAAAACAGTTTCAAAAAAACGTGAATTTGCTCTCGTTTATGCATCTATTTTAGACTATTTGAGAAGATTTTATCGACTCTGTGTCGTGAAGGACTCGCAAACTTGTCAAGTAAATTTTGAGCGGAGTGTTATGGTTGCTAATGCTACCTTCGCATCGAGGACCAGAGAAGTCTCTCGTGCAAATACATTCATATTCCCCGTCTGAGGTCTCCAAACACTGCGCGCTATTCTTGCAAGGACTGGGACTACACGGAGACACCGCTGAAAATAACAAAAGACAACTTTAATCAAATTTAAGAGGACTAGAAATTCAATCACTAAAACTTCGAGCAACCAAACTTTTTATACAAAGAAATTCAGTTTGAAAATATAATTTACCTTGGGATGTCTTCAAGATCATTGATTGAGCAGGTTCCAATTTCTTTGGGGCCTCTGTACCGGCGACAACTCGTCCATCATTTGTTTCTAAAAGATCAGTGGTTTGTTTCAATGCAGAACTACAATAACAAGACTGTTTCATCCCTGGGTGCCGAATTTTCTTACCTAACGAGTTATACATGTTTGGGTTTGTCTCAGTCGCACTGCTGAGCTCTGCGAACTGGTTAGTTACATCTGGTGAACTGGGAGCGAGTGCGGCTAGATCACTGCTTGGATTTGAGATTTAAAGTCGCTTCATTGCTTGTTATTGGGAGTTCGTTCTCCTCAGTTTTGAGCATGTTTTGGTTTGGTAAATGAAGGTAGGCTTCATCGGATAGTTTAGGCGTTGTTTGGCCTGGAAACAATGAGTTGTCTTGTGTTTCTGTGTGTTGTTGTAAGTCATTGTCACTATTCGTTGCGTCGTTCAAGTTGTTCGTTGGTATTTGTTCCTCATTGTCGCTTTCTGGGACTTCGAAGCCGTCTATGGTGAAATTAAATAGTTTGGCTGAGAACTACGGCTATTTTCAAAGAAAAAAGTTTCGAAGCGTTTTTAAATTCGCCCGTCTTCAAATTCTGTTCAAAATTTGAACGATCAATAGATGAGCGTTTCAAGTACATGCAAATCTCCTACCGACCATTTTCGAATCGAATTCGCCATTTTCTGTCGGTTTCGCAGGTGAAAAGAAAAAAGGAAAACATGATGACACATATTTTTATTGTTTACCACTCACCCTCACATAACTTTCCTCTGAATCCAGTCTTACACTTGCAAAGGTAAACACTGTAGAACATGACACATTTACCGTTGTTTTTACATGGATTGGGTTCGCATGGTCTACCTACAAGAGATGAGATGAAACACAATGCTTAATTTCAAAAACCCAGCTATGGATACATGGAACGTTGCACTTTAAGTTCCCAGAAATCATCACATACTGTCACAAAGCGGTCCTGTTAACCCATCTTTGCACTTGCAGACGAAACCAGGTTGTCTTTTAACGGGCAAACAGACGCCGTCATTCTTACAAGGGTTGTCGTGACACTTGTCCACTGCGCATGTCTCCCCCGTGTACATCGGAGGACATCGGCACCTGATCGGCCTGCCAGCTTCTTGGATACAAACGCCCTCGTTTTGACACAGAAATGGAGAACAGCTCGCGATTGCTAAGGAAGAAAACAAAATTGATCTCTGTTGCCAAACTTCCCTCAACTTTGTTCACGCAAAAATTCTACAACAAGTTGTATTACTTTTGCTCGGTAATTTAGCAACTTCACTTACATGACATTGGGATGCTGGGTGGTTTGTCAGATTTCATGTTGGAAGCATCAAGTTGTGTGGCAGCTTGTGGCGAACTTTTTACCAGCTGTAGGGATGGCGCTGTACCAGCAGGGACGGTTGGCAATCTTTGGGGATATGGAGATTGTGGAGGCGAGGGAACCAGGGATAATTGTGAATGTTTACGCGGAACTAAAAAAAGAAAATTGCAAACGACATTGAGTGGAAGAATAACCACTTAAATCAATGTAGCCCGTGTAAGTTTATTGTGTAGACGTACGCGTTATGTCTTTGGGAAGTAAGAATCTTAGGAAGTAATTATGCTACTCTAGAATGTCTTGAACAGGGTTTTTAAGTCTTGAACAGGGCTTTGAGTTTTTGATCGTTTGCAAATGTCGTCATCATCTGTCATTAGCGCCATCTTGGTTGACTCTGTGGTTTAGGAAATCAACCAAGATTGCAGTACTTATGCCTTTCCACCTAGCTGTTCAATTCAGTATTTTAAAACAGTCTTCTTAAACCAGTCCTTCCTAATACAATATCTCGTGCATTCGTCATGTAAACAAATAGACCGAGCTGGTTACCTCCACCATCAACTACAACCCCCCCTGCAGGGTTAATACTTTTGATAACCGCATCTTCCTCGGGTATGCCTTCGACTAAACTATCTCCCATGTCTGTTGCATTTAATTTAGCTTGAACGTTCAACATTAGGTCGTTTTGTAGTTCGTCATCACCGGCATTCTCGAAATTCGAGAAAGCGGGGGTATATTTCTGGGAATTTTGTAGGTTTATCAAGTCTTCGTTTAGTTTAGTTGAGTCAGCGTTATCGTGCGCGCTTTGTTCTGTTGCAACGTGTTTTGTTAAATCGTTTTCTAGTTTCGTGTTAAGTTCGTTATCAGTCAGTTCGGGACGTGGCGTTGTTTGTCGTGAGTTGTCGACAACGACTTGGCCTTCAGGGTTAAGTGATTTTATCAAATCGTTATCGAGTTTCGTTATGTCGTTCGTTTCAGGTTCGTCAACGTTTACGTTCGTGTTGGTCTCCGCGTGTTGCGTCATTGCGTTTTTGTGTTCCGTGTTGGAATTTTCAACAACTACTTCGCCATCCGGGTTAAGCGACTTTATTAAATCATCGTTAAGCCTCATTATATCCGAGTTGTCGTCCGTTTGTTGAACATTTTCGTTCGTTTTCTTGTCTGTGATGTGGTTTTGTTGTTTTGTGTTTTGTTCGTTCATTAGATACTGTTTAGGAGGCTTTTTATCGTCATTAAGTCTTTGTGGCGTTTGTTGTTCGTTTGTTAGTTTGTTTGTTATTCCGTTTTTCAATGTTTTTAGTAAATTTGTCACCTTTTTGTTATTTTTGACCGTTTTTGTTTGATGGTGTTTTGATTTGTAAATGTCCAATGTTGTGTCTACAAGTCGAAGCAATTTGTCGATATTTGTCGTTGCATGCTCGTCATCCGTCGTCGTGTGCCGTTCGATTGATGCTCGATTGCTTTTGTCCTTTGTCGTCTGCTCAAAGTCAGTTGTCATATCGTCACCTTTTATAGAAGAAGTTAGGTCAGTGTGTTTGGGGATAAAGATGTACAAGTCAGTATGTTTGGGGATAAAGATGTACAAATCAGTTCGTGTGGGGAAAAGATGTACATGCCAGTATGTTTGGGGATAAAGATGTACAACATGTGATATATAGGGTTTAAATAGGTGTTATAGAGATCAGTAATCTTACCTTCACATGTTTTCCCCTCGTAGTCATCATTGCATGCGCACTGGAAGTTGTTCTCGTTGACATTGATGCATTTCCCGGAATTCTGACAGGGATTCGGGTGGCACATTGACTTCACGCAACTGTAACTGTCGTCACCAGTCTCTATGCACTTTGTACCAAACTGACAAGGGTTTGGACGGCATATCTCACGCTCTGAGTGAAAGCAAAAAATAACAATTGTTGAACAAGGATACGATTGCTTGTCCGCCAAATTGTTGTCAAACTCAACATTTTCTATGAAGATTTTCCTTTCTGGGGCCGGTTGTATAAAGCCCGTTTAGCTTAAACGGTGGATAAGTTCAAAACAGAAAGCAAGTCTGTGGTTTTATTTAACAAGCAAACTAAATGTTTTTTACCTTAATACAAAGATACTGTTTACAACTACATATTCAGTGCATAATATTCAAGTTGACTCATTCAAGAGAGTTGTAAGAGTGTTATTTGATTTTGACTTATCCACCGTTTAAGCTAAACGGGCTTGATACAACCAGCCCCAGATAGATTTGCTTTTCTTTCAATAAAAAGACTAACTGTCCCGCTAGACAGTTGTAAGAATTCTTCACCATTACTTACTCTCACATGTGTCTCCTGACCATCCTATTGTACAATTACATTCATGGTTCTTTCCGAAACCAGGAAACAAGATGCAATGACTGTCGTGAAGACACGGGTTTGGCTCGCATGGATTAGATTCTATCGTGTAGAAAAGAAGAAAATCGGTTCAACATTTGAATAAAAATAAAGCTGTAAATGGCATATAAATTTTAATGAATAGTGAATGGTTTATTGTGGAAACGGTTTGATTATAGTAATCTATGAAAAATGGTCTCAGAAACCAAGATTTTGCTTAAAGGGACTTACTTGATACGTTTTTAACAATGAAATACAATTACTATAAAAAATTCCGACCTGTCATAGATCAATAATCAATTTCATCTACCTGAGCATCGCAGTCCCATGTACCCAGGGGCGCATTTGCATTGATACCCGGACTCATTGTCAACAAGAGAACACTGTCCTTCGTGCTCACACGGGTTAGGATGGCAGTAATCCTTTTCTGTTCAACAAAAACAAGAAAAAAATGTTATTCAAAACTTTTGTTATCAAACCCTGGCCTGAAATGAGACATTTTGATAACAAAAGCCATCTTATTTAGGTACAATGCAGGTCATTGTTTTTATCTCCTCTGTTATCCACGAATGTATCTTACGTTCACAGTCTTTCCCCTTGTATCCGTAAGCGCATTTACACGCGTATCCCATTCCTCCAATAATCTCGGTACAAGACCCCTGGTGCTGACAAGGATTAGGATTACATTTGTCGATTTCTGGCGGGAAAAATATCTTACAGTTTACATCTGTTTATTTTTGTATTGAATCAGCATAGATAATTAGTGGCAGAATCAGTCAGATAATCAAGAAGTTAAGATATTAAGGTTATAGCGAGAAAAATCACAAGATTTTACCTCGACATCGGTCGCCTTTGTAGCCAGCTTTGCACTGGCAGGTGAAACCTCCGTTTATTTCTGTGCATTGCCCCTGGTTACCACACGGGTTCGGATGACATGGATTACGTTCTGCGAAAGAGAATTTGAGACATCATTTCCATAAGATGGTTTAATTTGAAGAGGAATACATTTTGGAACAAAGAGTAGCATCGTAAAAATCAAGAGATGGAGTCTCAGACATGAGTCTTCGGACAATGTTCAACAACTACAGAGAATTCTATGCTAAGTTTTACGGATTAAAAAATATCGCACCTTCACAAGTGTCCCCGAAGAAGCTGTTAGCACACTCGCAAACGAAAGCTCTTCTGTTTCCATTCAGACCGACAGATACGCATCTTCCATCATTTTTACATGGATTAGGGACGCATTGATCTTGTTCTGATAGCAAAAGAGATAAAATGTTTTATTACGACTAGAACTCGCCAGCCAAAGACAACAAACATCGCTTACCTTCACATCTTTGACCACGAAAGCCTTCTTTACAGGAACAAACAAAGTCATCTCCGCTTTCCTGGCAAACGCCATCGTTTAAGCACGGGTTAGGTCGGCAATGTCTCTTAACTGGGATAAAGAAATATGAATTGTTGACTCTCACAAATCGGTTGTAGAAAATCTGCTACATTAATCAGTTTCTTCAAGGCTGGGCAAAACTAGGAAATGTTGAGTTGGAATCTATGTAATATTTTGGATATCTACCTCAAAATGATGGATTTGGTCCAACATATTGTGTTTTAGTCAAGAATTATTCCTAAGCTTCAAGCCCAATCTATTCCTGCTGATAATAAAGGCTTAAGAAACTCACCTTCACAACGAACACCTTTGTAATCATCTGGACAAGAACATGTGAAATCATTGTTCCCTACTCTTGAGCAAACACCCTCGTTCACACATGGGTTGTTTAAACACGGATCTTTTTCTGAAATTTAAAGCACACGTATGTACACATCCTGTGAGGTCAAAATAAGAAGTTGAGATTGAAGTTTACCTGCGCAAGTCTTTCCTCCGAAACCATTTCGACACTCGCACGAAAACTCACTCCCAAACTCACTTCCAACACTTCGGCAAACACCGTCGTTTTCGCATGGATTTGGCGCGCAAAGATTGCGTTCTAAAGAAAACACGACATAAACGTTTAGTAATGGGAATCGTATATGGTTCTTGGACGTACCATGGCCATAAGAGTTCAACTTTTTTTCATGCACCATCATCGGATATTCCCAGCCTCATAAAAGAGACCATGCAACGCTCTCATGCGGTGACCCTAATTTTCTCCTACCTTCGCAATTTGTACCACGAAATCCTTCGGGGCACTGACATTGATACTGCTGGCCATCAAAATCGCTGGTGCATTTTCCTCCATTCTTACACGGATTCCGAGCACAGGGATTGGAGACTAGAGAAAAATAGATCAAGGCAATTCAGACATGAAATTAGTGAATCTTTTAGATAAACGCGAAGCAACACGAGAGTTACGAATAGTTTAGAGTATCAACTGATTCTTCAACAACTATTCCTACGCACCTTCGCAATTTCGACCGTGATACTGTGCTGTACATTTACAGAAGTAACCGCTTTCCGATTGCTCGCAGTGTCCTCCATGTTGACAGGGATTGGGACGGCAGTTGTCAATTTCTAAAGTCGGGCAAAAGCAATGGCAAAGTTATAAGCTTGTCGCATTTCTGTACAAAGAAGCACACACTTGCACACCTACCATCACACATCTTCCCTTTGTATCCCTCTGGACACACGCAGCGAAATCCACGCACATGTTCTATGCATTTCCCATTATTTTGACAGGTATCCGCTTCACAGAATTTACGAACTAGAAATAAAGAACAATCTGAGTTTCTCTAGGAAGAACAGTTTAGAACTGATAGAGCTATCCTATGAAGTCAGTTAGGTTTTTACTAAATCTCTAGTGAGATCTGTGTGAAGAAATCTTACTTTGACATTTGTCCCCAGAGTACCCGTTTCTACAGATACACCTGACACCAAATTCCGTTTCATAACATGTTCCCCCATTTTGACATGAGGCAACGTCACAACCAGAATGGTCTAGAAATAAACAACAATTTTGATTACAATATCATAACATCATTTGCCAACGAGACTAACAATTATTTGTTGTTTTTATTCAACTCACCTTCACAATTGGTTCCTCTGAATCCTCTCGCGCATGCGCACTCGTATCCAGTACTCGTCATTGCCTGCATACAAGATCCACCATTTTTACATGGATTGTTGAAACATTTGTTGTTTGGCCCTGTGAGAGATCAAAAACTGCGTAAATTTCATTACTCAAGTGTGATCCATTACTCAAGTGCAGCCAACACTCTAATCCTTACAAGAACCTGATTTATCCATTTCGGTAACTTACTATCACAATTTTCCCCCGTGTATCCCTGAGGACATATACATTCAAATCCACCATTATCCTTTTCCCTACATTGTCCATCGTTTCGACAGGGATTCGGACTGCAACCTTGCTTGCTCACTGGAAACAATGAAAAAAAAAACATTTGCAAACTTCATATTTCTCCGACAAATCTGCACAGCATTTTCAATTTCGTCTCATGACAAGAAAATATCCATCAATTACCTTGACATTTATCACCAAAATGACCTTTCTTACAAGTACATTCAAAACCTCCATTTGTCAATTCTGTGCAAACGCCATCATGTTGACACGGATTGGGTTCGCATGTATTGATCTCTGAAAGAAAAGAGTAAAAAGTCCTCTTGAATGATCACAAGCTTGAGTGTCGGTAAACATCGTTCATTCCAGCTCAAAAGGTTTACATGGAAATATAATTTCCAGTGTCAACTTACGTTCGCATTTTTTCCCCTTGAATCTTTTTGAACACGAACATTCAAAGCCTTCGCTAGTCAGGGTACATTCTCCATTGTTTTCACATGGGTTAGGAAAGCACTCGTTTTTTTCTTAAGAAAGAAACAACGTATTGGCGTATAAATATTTGCTTAAATCGAAAATAAGTACAGTGTATTAAATGGCAATAGTATTGTTCGACACACAGGAATATAGCTTTAATGCAATTTTAGAAGACAAATTCTTCAACAGTGTAATGTAAAGCCGGTTTTCCACTAGCGATATTTTTCGCGCGAAGCGACTTTATTCCTTTGTATTTGAGCAATTTGTTCCAGATGGTTGCAGTTGAGAACTCTGAAACAAAAGTAAAATGTCGCTTCGCGCGAAAAATATCGCTAGTGGAAAACCGGCTTAACAGCAGACATTGCCATGTGTAGCATAGCTATTACTCAACAGCCGTGATACGTCTCGACTAAATAGGATTATCCTTATTTATCCCAACCTTCACACGTCTTCCCTCTGTATCCTCTCTTGCAGATGCAATGAAACGACGTCCCGTCATGTGACATACGGCATTTCGCGCCATTTTTACAAGGATGTTTGGAACATGGGCCATCTATTTTGAAGGTAAATACATAATAAGTTGTACGTTAATGCAAGTTTCTGAAATATGTTATATGCATAACAGTCTGTGCTGTCGCGCCGGCTCAACGCGTTAGAGACGTGCAGGGAATGCCAGGAATGTCTATTTCGTAAATCCGAAATGAATTTTTCCAAAGGTAATTTCTATTCTGCACCAGAAATACTTGTTTGAACATGTCCTGAAGATATTCGTTTTCATTACTCTAGATTTAGTTTTGAATGATAATTTTTCATGGTGCAATTTGACTGATTTCCGTTTCATGTTCAAGTGAAGCTGCTTGATCGGGACTTATTGTATCTAAACACGACCTTGCCATTTGCTGATCTCGCCTGAAATTTCCACACACCTTGAACAAACAGTCTACCTGAGCCCACCTGTACATTGAATAATGTTTGTTTGTTCAGATCAAACACTTAAGTTCTTAAACTTCAAGGAGATCGGTGAGGAAATATCGCCACTTTCTTTGATTTTATGAGCGATTTGATGACGTGGGAATACTTTTTTTAATTTAGTACTCTCATACACCGTATGGAAAAAAAATTAGTATAATACACTTATATATACACGCATAAAACAATTCTTTTAACACAAGCATCTTTATATTTTGATCTTTTTAAAAGGTCTTTGCAGTTCAAATATACGAAAAAGGCATGAACTAGATCTGATAGCTTAATGGCTGTGCATTGAGTTTGCCCGCTCAAATTTTTTCACCAAATATTTTCAATTTAATAAAAGGCAAACATGTATACTGCAGTGTCTCAACCGACTAGGTAGTGGATTGACTTTATTTTTTTTGCTTGAGCGGTGTTACCCCAGGCTGAATCGTCCGCTAATCGGCGTGCGATTTAAAATCAAAATGATAATTTACTAAACCGAAGGCGAATTATTTTTAAATCACATTCCGTCATTATAAATAGCATATGATACCTGTGTCCGTTAGTTAAACGTTCGTATTGTTTTGGTTGTATACAATACATTTGCTGGTTAATTATATTTGAGTAAGTAAAACACCTTTGTCCAAATCTTTATATCCATTAAGAAAAACACCAAACAAGCATTTGAACTAGCCGAGCCGTTCCTTACCTAAACTTTCCAAAAAATTATCAAATTCATCGCCAATGTCCACTTTCTTCGTCTCAGTTTTCCTTGGCATATTCAAGCCATCTTGTGCTAAGTCAATTTCGGAAGCGGCCGGCAGAGTATTGTATTTTTCGTTATAATGCTTTCCCAAATCTTCGTTAACCTGTGGAGCAGCCGCAGGCAAATTTGGAGCCGGCATTTTAAGTGTATACGGTACGACATATTGGCCTGTCAATCCACTTTGTCGCAGAAGTGGATACCGAATCGAAGGCACTGTGCTTATAACCGGCACATACGTTCGTGGTATTCCTGGCAAACTTGTCAAGGGAGCTACGTTGGCTAGCCTTTGCGTTATCGGCAAACGATATCCGGCATTAATTGGTATTGTAGCCAACCGAACCGGTGCCCTTTGCCTAGGATAAACAGTCTGAATTCTGGGTATGAATCCACCGTATTGTGCCGACCTCGGCTTCTTTTGTGTAAATCCATCTTGGCGTACAAAGCTTGTGTCATTCCTACCTAAAGTCCCACTTCTTTTATGCGCTTTTGCGCTAAGAACACCGTATAAAATGCAAATCCATAACAGTACATTAACATAAATCACACGTCTCGTTCGACCAATCGTCCAAGCACACATGACTTCCGCTATTCCACATGCTTTATCATTTCAAAATTCTCTACAAAAACGTCGTAAAAACTTCATCAATTTGACCCAGCGCACACAATCTAATCTCGGCTGTCGGGTAGCTTGAAAATGCCCATAGTTTTCTCAATTTAGTAGTGATTATCGATGAGATATGGCCGATTGCTTCGCGTGGTCGAGATGACCTCATATTGCTAAGCGAAATTTTTAACATATGATGTCAGTTGAACGGGTAAAAAATCGACAAAGTAGCGAAAATATCGACAGAAAAACAATAACAAAGCGAGATTTTAAGTTAAAAATTCTTTTTTTCGTTGGGATTTTAAGGAAAAGCGAACATAGGGCGAACTAGGAATTTGTTTAGGATTATCCCGCTTGTTTGAATCAAGAGTTAGGTGGCAAATGCTGCCTAATTAGCGATTGACTTGCATGCGACTGTATTAAACACCTCACTTATTACCTATTTATTCCATCAATTGAACTGCAAATTAGTTTTCAGAAGGAAAAGTCTAGCCGTTTTCAAGCCGTTGGCCCGTCTCGTTGCCATTTTGATGATCTTAAAAAGTGGAGTTGTAAAAGTACTACGAGAGTTTTACGGTTTGCTGAGCATTGTGTGCTTGTTGTTCCTACGGACCGTTGATATCTTTTGACAGGCTTGAATCGCTTCATGGCGCGAACACAGTAGAAACAAACCGTGATATTCAGTGAACACTTTTCGCTCCGTCAGATTGAAACGTATACATTAAAATCTGTTACATTTCTTTATCTATAGCGCTGCTCAAATTTCAACATGGTAAAATAACTCAATTGAACTCAGTTAGATTTTTATAGACTCTTTATTCACAAGCTGTTTAACGTTTAATTTATTAAACGAATCTATGAAAGATATCCCAACCCTGTTAATAACTTATTTACTGCTTAATTGCCATAAATAACAATAAATTTCACGTTTTAATTAAAGAATATAAATGATTTTAATTAAAACTTTTCATCTGTCAGTACGTATTGAATATAATAATAGTAGCTACAAAGCTTGTGTTATGACTTGTACAAAACTCTGTATTGCTAGCTTGCAATAATGAATATGGCCATTATTGAATTTAATAATAAGATCGTCAACCGAACAATATATATAGATTATCAGCTGCTCGTTCGTGAAAAGCTTCGCTTTATTTTGCTTTTGAAAGCTTTCAAGGGCTGGTTGTATCCAGCCCGTTTAGCTTAAACGGTGGATAAGTCAAAATTAAATAACACTCTTACAACTCTCTTGAATGAGTGAACTTGAATATTATGCACTGAATATGTAGTTGTAAACAGTGTCGTTGTATTGAGGTTAAAAGCATTTAGTTCGCTTGTTGAATAAAACGATGGACTTGGTCCATGGTCATATATTCGCCGGAAAATGGCAAATATACGACCATGGTCATATATTCGCCGGAAAATGGCAAATATACGACCATGGTCATATATTCGCCGGAAAATGGCAAATATACGACCATGGTCATATATTCGCCGGAAAATGGCAAATATACGACCATGGTCATATATTCGCCGGAAAATGGCAAATACGACCATGGTCATATATTCGCCGGTGAATGGCAAATATACGACGGAAAATGGCGTATTCGACCATGGTCAGCGTATACAGGGACCGCGGAGCGTTTTTCGTATTCCTTGGGCTCAGAACCGCGCGCCTGCTAGGAGTGAAAAATTTTGAAATGATAGGTCTCTGAAATCGCTGCAAATGCCACTCAATTTAAGGATTAATGGAAAATAATAGATAGTATGTAAAGTTTCCAGCATGTTTGGCGCTCATAACAAACATTAAACAATATAACCATGCTTTGGTTATGATGTGAAATATTTTGACATGGATAACCACGCTGTTTTAATGGTCAAATGCTTGTCCTATGTAAAGTTTCCGGCATGTTTGGCGATCATATACAAACATTAAACAATATAACCATGCTTTAGTTATGATGTCAAATATTTTGACATGGATAACCACGCTGTTTTAATGGTCAAATGCTTGTCCTATGTAAAGTTTCCAGAATGTTTGGCGCTCATATACAAACATTAAACAATATAACCAAGCTTTTAATTACGGAAAAATTATTGGTGGGGCTAAAGCCCAGCGAGCCACCCTGCTCCGCGGTCCCTGGTATACTAAACACAAAATAAACAAAACACTTTAATAAGCTGTTCAGTCATTTATATTGAGTTTCCTTGCGAGTATGATGACTATTTTGACGTTGAAAAGCAACAAGGATTGTTTCACAACACTAAAATTTCTAAAAGAATATCAATACACTAAATTTTCTCGCTAAAAACACTTACAAAACGTTTAGGCGTTTAAATCTTGACATTTCCAAGCGTGTGGCTTATTAGTCGTTTTCTATGCATATACTTGTTAGGGACCGCCCCCCGAGACCAGGAAAAGCTTAAATACGTTAAATTTATCTTCGCTCTCAAGGCTTGCCACTGTAGCTGATTCGTCTATGACGCTAGGCGTGTGGCATACAGCCCACTCTGTTTCTCACTGAGACGTAACGGTTAGGTGCACATACATCATGGTCTGGGGGCCGTAGTGCATCTCCCCCTTAGACGGCCGTTAAGATGTGAGTTATGGGGGGGAGTTCTTCCTATAGCAACTGTCCTTGCACCTTTCGTAGTTGTAATCTATGCTGGTATATCGCAGCTGGTTGCAATATCACCGGTTAGATTGTGGCATAGAGCTGGATGATCTCTTTTGGATGTTTTTAGGTTATTTCCAAAAATTTTTTTCTTTCTAAATTTTTCTTTTACATACAAAAAACACTGTTATTAAACATATATGGAACGGACTATGGTTCGAAAAAAAAATTATATCGACTAAAAACCACCTTAATTAACCCCTGAATACTCTCCCCAGTCTCTGCATGATATAGGAGGCAATGAATTAAACAATAGCAGAGTTCATTCATAAACATCAAACATTTACTGTATTATCAGCATTTTGATCAACCTTACAGCAGTAAAACAGCATGCAACAAAGACATTCAGACAGTCAACTCTGCATTCTCGTTAGTGCCTTCAGCCCGAGAACTGTCGATCAAAAGTCTGGATAAATCTCCTGGCTTTCCCTGCGAGTTTTCAAATTCAATTATTTCAAAATATCCGACATTGAAAACAACTCAAGATTTTCTAATAATTGTGGACTTAGTTTATTCATTAATACTGTTCTGTTCATGAGATAGTTTGAACGAAGACTTCACCATTGTTGGGTATACCAGTGCGGTATGGTATCCCAATGGTAGACCATGATCTCGATGAATCACCCTGAATTCTTCTGTATAGCTAAATTTTCATTCCACAACTGTTCTTGCTGTTAGGAAATATACATGATATGGTGATATGATTTTACACTGAATGATGGTAAAACGTAAAGGTATGTTTACAAGCTTTTTGGTATGTTCACAATTTAATATACAAATCAGCTGATGGTTGATTCATCAACTTCCATGTATAATTGTGGAACGTTGCATGTGGCATTAGTTGCATTAGAATGTTTACAATTTATACAAATCAGTACGAGGTTCATTCACTAATTCATAGGCGATTTTCCTTATTGATAAGAGTGCGTGGTTTATCATTGTGATTAAGAATCCTTATCAATATGTGTTTCTTTCCTGCGGCATCATTATCCATCTTTTTCTCTTCTTGCTCCTCGCTATCCTCATTTTCCACCCCATTACCATCTATTTGAGAAGGTTGCTTAGCAACCCTGCTTCCGTGACTCATTCTCCCCTTTATCTTGTCTGCGGTTTGCATCAAATTTGACACGACACTCGTGTTCACCTTCTGACCACGACAACATTTTGGTAGACAGAAACTTTTGCATTCTTTGCGGCAAATCGGTGCGCAATCTGGATCGTTGAGGCGCTCTTCCATCTTGCGTATAAATTGGTACATTTTATACATGCGCGCAAAGTCCCGCAACTCTTTCAGTTGTTCGCCGGTGAAATGAGGTTGCGCAAATGTTGCATCATGTTGCGCAAACGCTGTTGCTGGTTGCGCGTCGATTTCAGGCTTCTTTGCAACTTGTTGGCTCGACATAGGATCTATTAGGTGGGTAAATTTGGGAGAAGTCGATACTTTTTGTTGCTGTGGACTTCCGGAGATACCTGTTGTTTGAGTCTGATCGCCGAGTTGCCCTTGCGAGGGGGATTCCGTGGTCATAGTTGGTTCTGGGGTACCCTCAGGGACCGCTGTCGGAGGAGTATCTGCGCTTGAAGCATCCTTCAGGAGTGAGGTTAATTCTTGCGTTTCCAAATTGTGAATGTCGCTGATGGATCCAGCTGGGTTGGTAGCGCTGCCCTTTCCTGGCAATAGAAGCGCAAGAATATTTGTAGAAAACAAAAGTGTCTTTGCTCGTGGATGTCAATTTTGCCATGGACACCTTACCTGTCAATCCAGCCGCCTGAGCGTCCTCTTCACGGATCATGCATTGTCCATTCACACATTTTGCACCCGCAGGACAACCACCGCATTGCTTATCTATACAAACGTAGAGTAATAAGCATAGGAAACCCATTAAATGTTGTATTACAGAGGAAACAGCTGCCAGAAATTTGCAATAAATACGGTGATAAGAAGGCAGGAATAGTTGAATTTAGTGAATTGTAGTATTTACACAAAAGATAGTCAGGTGCGAACGACTTAATTGCATCATCGACTTGCAACAGCGGTTGACTTAATTTTATATGCATTATTAGCTACAATTCGCAAATTTAAGTTCTCCTTGCCTTCTTAATAACAGTATTTACTTTTAATACAACGTCTCATGGGCCGCGTATGGCTTTCAGTGAAAGACGGTCGTGGCATGTACTCACTTTCTTTTAATACAACGTTTCATGAGCCGCGTATGGCTTTCAGTAAAAGACGGTCGTGGCATGTAAACACTTTCTTTTACCTTGTTGTAAATTTGCTGTTTTTTCGTCATCCCCCAGGTTAACAACCTTAATTTCTTCGTGAGGTGATACGCCAGCAATTTGAGGCTTACTTTGCCCGCTGTCAGGCAACGGCCCGTTGTAAACCTGCAGGTCTTTCATTTGGTCCAGATCCTTCCCAGAATCCGCGGGTTGCGCGAAGGTTTGGATACCTTGTGAGCCCGCGTCTAACGCGCCAGCGGGGTTGCTTAGTAGCGCAGGTTGTGCGGATGATAAAGTCTCCTGTTGTGTGCTCGCGCCATCCTGGGTGATGGTCTTCGGTACTGAGTTGTCCTCATTTGTACCTATAGTTCCCCCTTGGTACTGCACGGTCTGAGGTTGCTGTGGTTGTTGTGGTTGTAAGAGTTGAACTTGTTGTGGTTGCAAGGTTTGTGTGGTGGCTTCTTGAGTGCTGCTTTGATCTCCAACCACCTAAAAGGGAATGAATCGAGGCTGTATTCCACTAGCGATATTTTTCCCGCGAACCGGCTTTATTCTTTTGTATTTAGGCTACCTAAAAATTTGTTCAACATGCCTTGCAATTGACAGCTCTGAAACAAAAGTGAAATATCGATTCACGCGAAAATCATCGCTAGTGGAAAATCGGCCTTATAGACGTCTGTTACACGTTTCTTTCCAGTGCTAATTTCTTCGGTCCTATACAATATAACTTCAGAAATGTTCCTGAAATATCCCTAAACTATGTCAGATGTTTTTTTTTCTGAATGTCTGCAAAGAAGTTAGGAAGTATTAAGTATATTATCAAAAAATGGGAATATGTAAAAAAATGCCGCATTCTGATGCATAGAAAATTGTCTCAGTTCAACACCAGTCAAGAAATTAATTGATATTCAACATGATGATATTACGGCCATTATCTATTAACACCGCGCTGTAAATTGAAATGCTTAACTTCGGCCGCACGGAGATTAACTTAAGTTAACACACGATCATCTTCAGTAACAGTCTTACTTACCTCAGTACCCAGCGTAGCCCTTTGCGAAGGTGCTGTGAAAGCCGACACCATTTGTGGTAGCGTTGCTGTGTTTTGGGTCAAACTTGCGCTGCTTACTGGCACTAAAACTTGTTGAAGAGATGACTGTTCTCTTCCCGCGCCCAAATCTGAGCTATCCTCGAGCGCAAACGACGGCGCAGCGAACATCCCAAATTTCTTGTAAACCTCATGACGCTCCTCAGTTTTCGTGTTATGATTCTTGTCTTTGCCTTTTGGGCTATCGTGTTTCCCTTCGTGTTTTACTTCGTGTTTGTCTGCCCTTTTCGCGCTGTGATGATGAATTATTCGCCGTCGTTCGTAATCATCTTTTTTGTGTTTCCTTGGGAAGGCGACAGAGAAAGACACCACGAGAAACAGACTCGATATTATCAGTAATTTCATCGCAATCACAATCAGCCAATTAAAATTACATCGGTATTTAGTTTGAGGATTTTTTGTGAAGGAATTTGATGTTGATCGTAACGAGCTAAGATAATGGAATTAGTCAAGCGAAATAGTACCCGTTGTTTTGATGTTCAGCGAGTTTACTTTTAAGGCGTTCTCAAAAATTTGAATATAGTTTTATATTTTATACTTTTATACACTACGTCTTGTAGGCAGAGCTATGTATGCGATTTTTTTCTTGTCTTTTTTCTTTTTTTTTGACTTGAACATTACTTATTGATCTATACAAAACTATACTGTTTATAATCTATATATGATCTATTTAGGATGAACTATTACAGAAAATTCAAATTTCACAAGGTATAAAGTCTTATACGGCACCGAGTGTTATTTTCCAGAAACCATATGGCTTTTAGGATAAAATTCATCTCAGTTCTTAGACATAGAGATCTTGCAAGGAAGTTATAAAATTGTGAGCATGAATGATAGTTCTACATCACAACATCCTCAATCCTAGCTGTGAAAAGAATATATTTATTGGCGGTTCCTTGTTGATTTTCTGTAAAGCTTAGCTGGAATATATAAGGTGTAAATTATCAGGTTTAAAACCAGATGAATTCATTCCATAGCCAGATTATTTTGTTGCATACACATCATTAGCCAAAGCTCCACCGACACCGAATCTGCATTTATTCGACGGTCCATAAGTCGTGTATGTTTTTCCCGCGTCAGCGTCCGAAAAACACTGACCGCCATTCTGGACGGCGAATACTTTATACCCATAAGCCTTTGCAGCTTTAGCGCACTTCGTGATGGGATCGGTGCGTTTCTCGTAGTCATCGTTTAGCGAAGGATGCAAACCCTCCATCGTGGAAATTGCTCTCATGACTGGGTTCCGCCATTCCTTTGTATCCGCCCAACATCCCATGCTCTGGTACTCCGTCACAACACTCTTTTCTGGAATAAAAACCACGGTTTATATGCATTGATATAATATGATGTCGAATGATATTCAAAATTTGATTTCTGAGGTGAAGAGAACTGACATTAGTTGTGCTCTACGGTATCTTCATTAGATTCAAGTTGAAAAACGAACCTTTCCATTGGCCAATTGGCAACCGGTTTCTCGTTGTGCCGACTGCCACAATTCCTGTGTTATGGTTAGTATTACATAAGGTTAGTATGTTCACTATGTTAGTATATGAGTTATCAGTTGCAGAAAGATCTCTCTCTCTCTCTCCAAAACAAACCCTCGTCAAAACTTATAGATCCTTCCTCAATGGACTATTACAAAGTTTGCCAACTTCGCACGGTTATATTCTTCGTATTTTTCAAAATTTTGCAACCAAATTTCTTTCCAGCGTTACCTGTTTATTTATCGCGTTGCCCAAGAATTTTACTAGTTCAGATTTAAGTTTGAAATGGGGATGTTCCATCGACTGATATGGTGAGACTGTTGCTATTAGTTGCTATCATAACCGATTTAAATTCCCAAAGTTAAGAGTAATTATATTTTTGCTATGGCGAGTTATTATTAAAGTGATCATGGATAGAGTTACGTTTGTTATTTTTTCTGGTTTTGCACGAATCAGATATTTTTCGAGACTCCCTTATACCAACTCTGGGTCTATAGTGAATGCATGGGTATTATTAAACAAAAATATTAACCTGGAGGAATCATTTTTCCCAAGATTTCATTGCTTACTCTTGGAACATCAATGGCTATAAAAATGAAGAAACGCGCGTTGTAAAAAATTAGTCAACTTTGCACGGTTGTGTTTGTGCGCATGCTTACCTACGCACGACCGCTTCCTGTTCTGGAAACCAGGCGGGCACACGCAAACATTATCCAAGCATTGACCGTTTTCTGGACAAAAATCACAGGAAGAATCTGTCTCTGTAAGACAAATCAAAATATCAGTATGAAAATTTCTAGCCAGTCCAGTAAAATATACATACACCACTTCTCTTACTCTGTGGGTTGCTGACCGAAGTGGCATCTACAACCGTCGGCGCTGATTTTCGGCAGGTGAATCCATTGCCATTAAAACCTTCATTGCAAATACATCTTCCATCTTTACACGTCGCATCAATGTCACATTTTGCGCACAGATCAGCTGGAAACACATTTTTATTGATAAGATTATTAAAAAACCATAGGTTATTATGTTTAAGAAGAGTTCATGATGAAATAGCCAAAGCATTTCTTAGTTAAGAAATGAAATCGATGATTGTAAAGTGATTATGTAACTTTCACTTTTGTTAATTTCAGTAGAAACTGCGGTGAATCAGATGATTTGAATCCGATATCGTTTCAATTTTTTTGTTTAAATAAATTACGAATTCTTTCATACCTATCGCTCTTGGAGTTTGATCACAGTTTTTTCCGAATTTGTTTTCTGGGCATTGGCAGAAATATGTGTCCAGAGCGTTGAGACACGTGGCGCCGCTGGCGCATGGGTTCGAGTCGCAATATTTGTGAACTGGTTGTGGTGGTGAGAGTGTTTTTGGTGGGGAAGAGGTGACACCAGCTTTAGATGCAGGGACGACTATGGGAGAATCTAATACATTGAAGAGAACCATTCAGGTGCTTTAGTTGTTGGCAGAACTAAGTTGGCCAGTTTTCATTTTCACCCATTTCAAGCAGAAATGCTGCAACTTACTTGGGACGCTGTTACGACATTTAAATCCGTCACCAAGGTAACCATTGTTACAAGCACAAACTCCTTTGATACAACTTGCGAAACGATCGCATTTGGAACATTTTGATCCTAAAAAAAGATGTTTAGCATCATAAGATCACTCACATTACTACATTCTTAGATACAACAATACAAGCGACCAGGATGTTCTTTAACTTCACTTGGATACACCTACGTTCGCAAAAAGCTCCTTCAAATTCTGGTCGACACGAACAAGTCGGTACTCCCTCGATATCTTTACATAAACCTCCGTTTTTACATGGGTTTCCATGACAGACATTCTTCTCTGAAGAAGTTAAAAGGCAAAATTTACCTTGAATCAACCAAGAGGGGAGATAAATCAATGCCATGGCATACCTTGACAGTATTTCCCACCGAAAGCTGGAGAACACAAGCATTTTGTTTTTCCTTGGACACTCAGACACGTTCCACCATTTTGACATAACCTCATCAAGCATAAATCCATATCTGAAGAATATATAATTGCATCACAATATGTTCCTTTCTTTTATTATATTTATCATCATCGATCATCACACCTTGACAGTCATGTCCCATATACCCGCTCGGGCATTCGCACCACCACGGTTTCCCGACAGGTAACGCTCGTTTCTGATTGGTCGATTGACGGCAAGTTCCGCCGTTGTAACATGGATTGGGGTGACAAAATTGTTGAACTAAAAAGAAAATTTTACCTGAACACGTTCAAAGAGTTTCTGTCTTCAGATACGTCAACGAAATGAAGTTCACATCGTTGGCTAATGGGATGATGAAAAGAGTTTAATTGAGAAAAAAATTTCATTATTCGTAAATGTACCCGGAACACAGTTTTCTCCGTTTCCTTTGTAACCTTCTTTACACAAGCATTGACCATCGAGACATCTTGCATACGCATGGCATTGACTGCATCTGCTCACAAACTTCGGTTGGTGAAGATTTTCTGAAACACACGAAGTCAAAGAAGTTCAAATTCACAATTTCCCACAAGTAATGTGCCATCAAGGATGTCTTTTCCGACTTGGATTGTAAAACAGACTCCGGTAGAGTTACAAAGATCAAGCCTTACTGAGAAGATGAGGATTATGGAATTCATACCAAAAAATCATGGAACTGGAAGAATTGTTGTTAAAACGATTTGGATGAGAATAGCATACTTACTAATAATAAAGTAATACTTACTTTCACAATGAGAACCACCTCGTCCCTGCGGGCATTTGCAGGTGTAGTCATAGTAACTGACTGGCTGGCATTTTCCTCCAAACATACAAGGATTGACAGACTGGCATATTGTTGGTCCAATACTATTCCCCCAGTTGTCGATTTTCTCTGAAAATATACTTTCCAAATTACTATAAACAATGCAGTAACCAAGAGTACTTATTGCAAGATTACTACAAGAGGAGATCTGGACTAAACTGGATTCATGGCCATTCATTAACTGCTTGATTGCGCTATCAGTTGTACATTGTTCTCTGTTAGGTTAAGTTCTTTCTAGTTCAGCAAACATACCAACACAGGTAGAGCCTTTCCAACCAGACGCACAGCTGCAAGTGTAGTTCCCAGTACTTGTTCCAGTGATGCTGCAAAATCCGCCATTTTTACACGGATTTGGCACACAGATACTGTGTCTAATACGAGCTGTAAACAAAAAGTATTTTTCAAATCACTTAATGGCTTCAACGTGCGTTCATCACTATTCAAATCGATATTTTCATGTTGGTCCTTCGTCGTTTTGGTGTCCATTATCATCCATTACCTTCACAGTTAATCCCCCCGAATCCATCTCGACAGAAGCATTTGTAGGTGTCACGTGCTTCCCTGCATGTGGCGCCATTCTTGCAAGGATTGATGGGGCTGCATTTTGATTCGACTAAGAATAAGATGTTGAAAGTAATTTGCAAATGATGAAAAGGGAAATGTACGGGATTGATTACAATTTTGAAATTTACTAAAAAAATAACTGTAACTATATATTCTACACGGTTCAATGAATTCATACTTCAAAAACCCTCACAAAAATGAGTGTATACCTTCACAGCTGTGACCTAGGAAACCATCCCTACAAGTACAGACGTAATCGTCTTCGGTTTCTGAGCAGGTAGCACCATTTTGACATGGGTTTGGTTCACATTTGTTTCCAACTGAAATGAATTGAAATGGTTATCATTTTTGCAAAAAAACAATGAGGAACATTTTAAATCTGCTCACGGAAGTAGAGCTATAACTTGGTCTTTTCAAGCGGGTTTCTTCCTCAGGGTTATTATGTAGTATAAGAGGATAAATATGTACAATGGAGTCCTGGTATTCACCGAATCACTCATTCACAGAAACCAAAACAAGTCTTCACCGAATCAATAATGTAATCATATATCCATCATATCCCTTACTTTCACATTTTTTCCCCCTGAATCCCTTCTTGCAACTGCATTCAAAATCTCGCTCGATCTCCGTACAGGAACCATAATTATGGCATGGATTAGGATGACACTTATTGATCACTAAAGTAATCAAAAAGAAGGAAACTAACTTCACAGCACCACCAAAACTCAATCAGAGGAAAGAATGATTGGTTATGTGCGAAGCAAACTCTCTACTTACATTCACAGAGTTTTCCCCGGAATCCTGGTCTGCAGACACATATTGCTTGATTATCAACACTGCTACAAACACCGCTGTTCTTGCAAGGATTTGTACTGCAGGGACCAAAACCTGGTATTCAAGAACAGAACTACACTATTTCTTTCAAGTTAGGCTTCATCTACCCTATATTGATCATATTTCTCCCTCAATTAACCGTTGTAATCAGGTTATAACGATCCAAATCCCTTTAAATACTTGATTATACAAACATCCTCTGCTACAAACCTGTTGGTGACAATCTGTGCGGGTGAATCAGCACTGGCTGGATTCGTGGTGGCAGTTGAGTGAATATCCTAACTGGGCCCACGTGCCCCACCCCCCCAGGTAGGATATGACCATTGTGTGGCAACCCCCCGGCCACAATTCTGGGTCCTGCGTTACCAATAAAATGCTTTCTTCCATCATTTACCAAACCGTCCGAAACTTGTTGCCCAACGTTTTGCTGAACCTGTGGAACTCTGACTTGCTGAATAACAGTTGGCGGAGTGTTGAACTGTTCCCCTTGAAACTGCGCAGTTTGTGACCCTAACCCCCCGGAAATCGGTGCTAGCTTGTTCGCAGTAACTTGTGGTATTCTAACACTGTGCTGTACAATAGGAGGAGATGTGTACGCTTTTACTTGTGGTGATGATGGAGTTTTTAAGCTACCCTCTAATGGTGGATTCAACCCGCTTAAATCGACCGGTTTCTGCAGATAACGATGTATTGGTCTTGTCATGTAGCGATGGATTGCCGGGTAGTATTTATGTACAGGTTTAAAAAGAACATGGGTTGGCTCATTGCTAAGCCTTATATGTTGTGGAGCAACCGCATTCGGACCCGAAGGTAAAACTGTTTCAATAACTTTGTTGTTTAAATTCGCCATTGGAGCCTGTTGTTGTAGTCCTGTTCTTTTGTATAACCTGTCAGAGATTTCTGTGAGTATCGATTCTTCATCTTTCGTGTGGGAACTTGGTACATCGTTCCGCGCGCTCTTTTGACCGTGTTCGTGTCCTTCTTTAACGTGCGTTTTTGTTTCGTGCGCTCCTTTAGGAAGCTTCTTGTCATCCGATTCGCTGTGGAAAAACGAAACTAAAATCTTTTTTGCTTTTTTTGTCTTTGAATTCCCATGATTTTGAGCTTTATTTGAGCTTGCTTTTGATTTCGAAGGTAGACGTTCTTCCTTTTGCTTGTCATCTTGGGATGAATGAGATGATTTGCCGCTCACAGAAGAACTGACTTTGCTTTTTGATTCAGAAATATGAGGTTTATCGATTGTCTCGATTTCATCGTTATTCTCTTCCTTGTTGTCATCTTGTTTCTCACTTTTGCTCTTTTTTTCTAAGCTCTTCTTGTTATCATTTTTTTCTCCATTTTTCGGAGAATCCAAAGTTTGTTCCTGATGTTTTTTATCCGTGCCCTGTGTCACAGGCGAGCTCAAATTTTTTACCGAATTTATTTTCTTGGTTTTCTTGGATTTCAAGCTTTCTTCGATGTTCTCTTTTTGTGCATGAACCTCGTTTTCTTTTGATAGCGAGGATATCTTCTTAGTTTCTTTATCAACTGCCTTTGGCTCATCTTTTCCGCCGGACTCAGCGTGTTCTAAATCTTTCTTAGGAAGTGCGGTAGTCAAACTCTTCAAGTAATCATCTGCACTGATTGTTCCTTTGTCCTCAGTCCCTGAGTTCATCTGCTTTCCACTTTTGACATTTGCGTTTATATCCTTTGAATCACTGTCTTTTATTCCTTCATTACTGCCGCCTGTTTCCAAAATTGAATCATTTTCCCCTGTGCTGTGTTTGACAGCCTCTTTCGCCCCATGTTTACCAACAATCTTGCTTGTTTTTCCATAAACATTGTCAATTGTAAGACAAACACATATCAGAACTAAGGCAAACCACAGTAATATATTTCTCATCGTTCTAGTATATAATTTTCAATCTCTTTCCCTCCGAACGTGTCACTAAATACAACAACCAGCAACTTATTTACAAAAGGTAATTTTCACAGCGTATTTTGGCATATGGATATAGCATCTTCAAATTGCTCAAAAATCTTTACTGTCAATCATTTCTGCGGAAGATCTTCTTGTATTTCACCGGAGAGATACACGTTGCATGACTTGCACATAAAACGCCTGAAAACACGAATATCTCTCAATCTTCTGAGCTGTTTTCGGCCAAATTCAACGAATATTTTTCGAAATCCTCAAATGAATCAAACAGTCAGTCGTTTACATCACAGCACTTTGGTACCAGTAAATGCAACAGAAATTTAACGGTTGACATGGCTTTCAATGTTTGATGTTTAAACGCTTTGTGAATCTTATAGCTTTAGACTTGTATTTCGTCGCTATAGTTTATATTTCAATTAAAATAACCAAGATTATGTATTTCCCGATAACGGTTGAGCGCTTAATTCCTGTAGGTTTTCGTAAAGATGATTGATAATTGCTATGCGTGCAGTCACAAGTATCTCATGGGGCCGAAGTTGCAAGTTTTTAGATAGAACAAGGAACAGAACTTAATGTACTTGAAAGTCTTATAATCGAACAATGAACACTTAAGCCCTGAATAATTATACAAGTTAAGGTTCCTGTATATTTTTCATATCGACCAATCTGAACTAGTAGAAACTTATCAGTTGGGTTTGTAACAGACGAAAGTAGTATACAACCTCCAACGCCACTCGATGTCCTATATGGAATATGCCTTTACAATCGCAAAAGCTTGACTTGGAGAATTTGAAGCTAGTGATTTTAAATTAAGGATTATTGCTTGAACTTCTTGATGGCGTGTTTCATGCAGCATGCGTATGGCTTAAAGGGTGACCCAACCCCGAATTCCTAAAGCATGAACCATAGCACTTCAAAAAATACCAAAAATTCCTTGCTTCGTAAAATATTTTTTTCCAAATGACTGCTCTAGATACAAATTCCAGGTCAAAATATCTTCTATTGTTACAACCATATGTTGTTCGTTATACATATTATATTTTGAATGTCACCCATGAACGACAGAAGCAAATGATGATGTCTTTGGCTAAAAATAAGTCATTCAACTTGGCCACAATAGTATGATTAAACAAACATTGTCTTAATAAAAACGAGAGTTAACCTATGAAAGGTGATAATTTGGTGTTCATTTCATTCATCCTCATCTCGGAAATAAAATAATCGTATCTTCAATGGGTTATAAAATTCGTGTTCTTTGCACTGGTCTTTCTGTTTGTCGTCTATGAATGCTTTTTTCTTCTTTTTCTGCTTGATCATGTTTTCAATCAACTTTAGTAGTACATGGTGCGCGATGGAACTGCAATGAATAAAGGAATGTGCAATAAAATGAGGATTTTACTTTTGTACAAAAAAATAACCAGATTTAGCAGTTTTGCCTTGTTTCCCTAGTAAAAGGCAGGCTATGAGATGCAGTTTGACTCCCATAAAGAGTTTTATTGCTGTAATCTAATTCCCATCAGGAAAACCTGGAGCCTTTAAAAGAACCACAATTCCTTGCCTGCATGCATCATATTAAACTATCGCTGTACTTCAAAGCTGGTTAAAGACGCCATACGTTCTTAGAGGGTTGAATTCTTAAGTGAAAAGTTTACCCAGATGAACCGAATTTTGAATAAGATATCCGCTGACAATATGGGCCCGCGCGCGTGGAAGAATTTTCTCTAGTTTACACCAACGTGAAAATATAAAATTGATAAGAATTGTAGGGACATACTCTCGCAATGTTCCCCGGTCCATCTGTTATTGCAATGGCATCTGTATCCATCAAAGTTATGTTCGTAGCACTTGCCTCCATTTCGACATGGATTACCATTTAGACACTGTGATTCCACTGAAATATGGACGTTTATGAAAAGAATCTTAGTTATGACTATTGTAAAACAGTTATGATAAATCATCAATATTTTCAGTCTTCTTTATACTTTGTTAATCCTATCTTTATTTAAATTTCAAATAAGTAAATATTTAAAGAACAATTGTTAGTTTAATTAGTTGAGTTAGGATTATTTCTGGTTAGTAATTATATCAAACATACTCTGGCATGTTTTTCCAAGGTATCCCATAGGACACGTGCATGTATAAGACATCCCCATAGGTCGACATACTCCGCCGTTATAACACGGCATACGAGAACAAGGGTCTGGAGCTAGATAGATTGTGAAAATATTCCTGTTAGTACCATTAGTAGCATCAGTGTTAGTGTTAGTGTTATTATTATTCTAAAGATGAACCTTAAATTTGAATACAAATCTGGCTCTACTTTTCTTGTAGAACAACCGACATTTCGGAATGGTGGTTGTGTAAATGCAAGTTCAATTTTGTGAATATACAGCAGCAACAACAACAACAACAACAACAACAACAACAACAACAACAACAACAACAACAACAACAACAACAACAACAACAACAACAACAACAACAACAACAACAACAACAACAACAACAACAACAACAACAACAACAACAACAACAACAACAACAACAACAACAACAACAACAACAACAACAACAACAACAACAACAACAACAACAACAGCAGCAAAAACCAAACTACCAACTAAACCAACATCAACTACAATACAATCGCATCATCAACAACAACAGCACAGCAAGTTTGCAGTCTGTTTTTCGTTCTTACTTTCGCAACTCATTCCTTCCCAACCTCGCTGACAAGTGCATTTGTAACTTGTGACATCTTCATGACAGATACCGCCATGTTTGCAAGGATTCAGAGGGAAACATTTCGACTCCACTAGCAGAATGAACAAAAAATAAGTTTAAAAGAATGCCTCATAGTTTCTGACTAAAAAAACTAAGAAAATGTTCGTACGCAATAATGAACTGAATAATCGAAGTCATCTCTAGATTCAAACCAAGAATATGCAAGTTTGATCACCATATTGACATGTTTGATCACCATATTCAGCATATGATGATTAGAAATTAGACATCTAAAGTATATCATCATTTAGTTTTTCTCTCAAACAAACGACAAGACATCCTTACCTTCGCAGTTCTTGCCAATAAACCCAAAGATACAGCTACAAGCGTATTCGTTTCCAACCGAGGTGCAACTTCCGCCATTTCTGCAAGGGCTTGGGTGACATTGATCTCGCACTTGAGAAAAGTACACGTTTATATATGAATGATTGAAACTTAATGACTTGAAACTGGTTTCCCATCTCTTGGTTTGTGATCTGAGATGTTATCATGCAGTCAAATTCAAAAGGAACACGTGCATTTCCATTGGAACTACCTCTACCACCTCTATTGTCAAAAGCACACGATAGAAGACTGCAGCAAGGCCTTATTCTGCATCGTGAAATAAAAATATGATCTTGAAATTGCATACCCTCGCATCTTGCTCCACGAAATCCCCTCCTGCAGCTGCATTCGAACCCACTTTTTAGCACCGTGCATTCTCCAAGATTTTCACAAGGATTCGGGTGACATTTGCTTGTTTCTATTTCAAACAAATGAATATATTCACCGATGCAAGATCTTATATTTTAAGCTACGAAGTTGTAGTTCGAACTATGGGTTGTGTCGGCCAACACTTGGATTTCCTGATGCACCCAAAACTACAGTTATCAATTTGCACACACTCCACGTTTTGAATTCAAAATATAAGCAAGGCACAGACTGCGATAAAATATTCTTTTTTACCAGCATTCTGTACTTAGCTGGTGAGTGAAACAAACTGTTGGGTAAATCAATCATTGTCGCGAAGCTTTTGATGTAGGTGAAATGAACTACGTCTACGAAGTAAACGATGAAGACGTGGTTTTTTGTACGATTTTTACCTTCGCAATGGGTTCCCTTGAATCCTGAGGTGCAGTGACATCTGTAGGACCGAATATCGTCGACTGAGTAACAAGTTCCTCCATTTCTACATGGATTTGTGTCGCATTCGCTTAAACCTACAGGAACTGAAGAAAGGGAGAAAACTTGAACGTCAGTACAGATCTTTTCATGGCAGTTCATCGCCAGAAATAAGCGAGGTTCTGAATTGACTCTCACTTGCCTGGAATAATCGGGCGAGGGCCCACAAATGCCCTCATCAATGGTGGACGTTGGTAGGGTACTGGCTGTGGAACAGGGAAAGGTTGAGGGACAGGCACTGGTACTTTCTGCACGCGAATTTCAGGTGGAGTCTGTACTGGTATAGGTACTGGTACTTTGTGAACTTCTGGTACACGTACCAACTGTGGCACTGCGACAGGCACCTAAATTATTGATGGTATGTTAATGGTAATGGTTTCTTCACTAGAAAGAACAAATAGCTTCGCTATGTCAGTCCTAAACTGTTGACGTTAGTATTTTAACATTTCGTACCTTTTGGACGCGTATTTGTGGCGGTGTTTGCACGGGCACTGGGACCGGGTAGGGTACTTTCTGAATTTCAGGCGGAGTTGCTATGGGCACTGGAAATGGCGCTGGGTTGTTATTGAAGATTTGTGGAAACGGTGGACGGTAGGGTAAAGAGCTTGGTGGACGCAATTGCTGTATGTACACGCGTTGTAACCCTGGCAACTGAGCCTCTTCATTACTTGGCCTCTGAAAGAATTCGATGATTCTTGTTTATCTTTATGTAAGCTTAAAAAACTTATGCGAATTTACACCCAAGGAAATCTTCAGCAGAGGTGCTTTTCTTCATTCAAATATTTGGTTTTAAGTATTAGACTTTTTCATTTAAATCTACAATACCTGGTCTCGTGATTCTGGGTTGGCTGGACTGCGATATTGCATGAGGTAAAAACGACGGGGAGGTCCCGAGGTTATTGGCCTTGACGATGATGAAGGCTGCTGGAGAAAAGCGACTGGGGCTCCGGGCTGGATTTGTGGGAGATTTCCTGGAGTAGACCCACTTGGTTGGGCAAGGGGAGTGTATAGCCCCTGTCGCAATGATGCATCAACCGCCGCACCTTGGGAAGGTCGAAGATTAACCAGATTCTCCCTAGTTAATAGTTTGTCATTGCTGAACGTCTCTGGTTTTCCTTCGGGTGTGAAATATTCCTCCGGACCCACTTCATGTCGATGTAACGTACCCGTCTCATCGATATGGAACAGCCTTTGATGGCTTGGATCAGCTGTTAACACATTTTGCCTTTTCCCTGAGCCAAGAGTGCTCTTCTTTTCCTCTAATTTCGCAGTTTTCAAAGTCTTCAACCCCAAATCTACCCTTTCTACCTTCTTCAGTTTAAGATTATCGCCTTTGTTCTTCTTGTATATCTTTGTATTCTGCTTTGCGATCGATTTTGATGCTTTTTCTTTTGTGTTTGTCCAACTTTCATCGCTGGAAGAAACTTTGTGAGTCTCTTTCTCGTTATTCCCATTTCCAGGGTCTTTTAAGGCCAAGTTTTGTTCAAGCTTTTTGCTGTTGTCTGAAGCGTGTCCGACAGAATAGATTATAAAAAATATCAGCAAGGCAAACTGCGGTTTCATCACCAGATATTACTGTTATTTGCAGGGAAAACGTTGTTTGAAATCGTTGATTACATGTCTTCATTCATTTCAAGATTTACTCTTTTAGATATGAATCTATCAAGGATATATTTTCAATTTCTTTCATTGGAATTGCCAAAACGGTTTACAACCAGTCGTCTTGTATACACTTGTTCAGTCGACCGTGGTGAGAAAATTTGTTTATATCGCAGAGAAGATACGTTAAGCTGTACTAAGAGATACACTGTTATCTTGATCTGTTTCAATTGAAATTTCGGTATCCACACTGTTTGAAATAGTGACCTTTTTTTAGCAACAATTGCTGTGAAGATCTGTTAACAGTGAACTGTGAAGTGTTCATACGTTTTCTCCTACTAAAATTTAGTTTATAACTCCACCACTCAAATTTTTGTGATTGGTAATCTTAAATACATTTTCATTGAATGTGCTTAATTAGCAAGCCCATACAAAGTATCATTAGATATTTGGGCGTCTAAGAAAGACCTATTTTACGTTTTTACGAAATGTTTATTTCTATCATGCCGGTTATAATTCAATTTGACAGGAAGATTTCGAATCACATAAGTCCTGTTGAACCTGATATGTCATCTTTTCGTAAACTGGTTGCAAAACGGCTATAGGAAATTTGAGCCAAGTGCACAGGGTAACCTTTTTGTATCAATTTACGACAGAAGTTGAACCGACTTCATTTTCCTTGGAGGCTTGGACAACATGGAAAAGGCGTCGAAAACGCTCAAAAACCGTGGAAAATCGTCAAGCCTCTCGTTAAGAATCAGTTCAGAATATGTTTATTCAATTTGACTAATACTAGATCATGATGAAGCATGAAATGAGGTCTTGGGCTGGACACATCTAGCTGCAGAAATCGTATATATAACCGATTATTTCGGCAGGTAAATATGCAACGCAAGGCTGACTTCTGCAAATTGCCCGTGTGATTAATCCTTTGATAGGCAAATATTTGTGTATTCAAAGTTCAAAAACATGGAGGACAACAATTTATACGTATTGAAAGAAGTCTTTCGATCAATCTTTGCGATGTAGTTTATTGCTTGTGATTCCAAGGAAACATGTGTGTTCGAGATGGCTTTTATGTCACTGTCGTTGGATTTCTAATCTTGACATGTGTCGAAAGCTTGACGTCAACAGACCAAAAGACCGTTCACGAACATGGCTCTTTGAAGATTAATGATGACAGAGTTAAAAACGAATGGAAACTAAGCTCAGATCTAGACAAGACATTTAATACGTTCAAAAGAAAAGATAATATTGGTAAAACGCAGAAGAAAACAAGCAAGACGGAAGAAAAACTTCACAAAGATGAACGTGGACATATTATAGGGCCTTCTAAAGGCGATATGCAACAGAAAATTAGTGGAACACAAGATTCGACGCCTGAGAATACAAAAAGGCAATATATCTTTGGCGCGCCATCTTTGATTTCAGCTGGTGCGATTCCTCGTCGTTTTGTAGCGTTTCCCAACCCAGGCCTTCACACAGGTAAAGCAAGTTTTGTTTTTCTACTGAAATGTAAAATAAGTTGTCCTTCCTGGCGGTCCAGTAGAGTTCAGATATTGTGATTTATATCACCCATTCATTCTAAAGAGGCAGCCTGGATCACAGAATTTCCCGACAACTGAGACACTTGGAAGTTTGATTATTAACATCATTATTTACGTTCATCTACAACATCTGACCTTCTTCTACCAGGCGCTTGAATGTCTTCCTCTCAAAACTGATTTGTGGATTGTATCATTCACATTTTCTTCTATTATTACCATGATGTTCATCTCTTTCTTCTATCAGGCGCTTGAATGTCTTCCTCTCAAAATTGATTTGTGAATTGTATCATTCACAGTTTCTTCTATTATTACCATGATGTTTATCTCTTTCTTCCATCAGGCGCTTGAATGTCTTCCTCTCAAAATTGATTTGTGGATTGTATCATTCATAGTTTCTTCTATTATAACCATGATGTTTATCTCTTTTTCATCTACCAGGCGCTTGTAGCCATCATGTTTGCTATCATGGCGGTGTTTGTGTGAGAACAAGTCATGGATTTTATTGCGACTGTCCTGAGCAATACCTTGGACAACATTGTGAATGTAAGTCTGACCGTGTTCACATCATCATATTTTTGTGAGAGCAGTGGAAGAGTTTGTGTCAAGAATTTGCCACCGAATGCCACGAGTTGAACTGAAACTATACCTTGGACTACACTTTCTCTTTTAGTCAAACGAGCTTGTCTTAATAATCCATGTAAGAATGCAGGGACCTGTACTGAGCTTGGTCAAGGAGACTTCACTTGCACCTGCGCAGTTGGATCCAAGGGAAAAGCTTGTGAACGTGAGCATCACCGTTTTATTGTATTCATCAATATCTGTTTGCTTTTTTCCCTAGGTTCTATCGTGATGACTTTCTTTCCTTAAGACTTTGACCAAAGATATTATACCATATGGTCTAGTGGCATTCAAAATTTTCACGTTGTAAAGTTTTTCTTTGCTGTAGTGAAAGATTCGTGTGTTCCCAATCCATGCAATAACGAGGCCGCCTGTACCGAAATGGATGATGGATACCATTGCACTTGTAAATTGGGATATAAAGGAGATAGATGTCAAAGTAAGAAATGGTGTATAACACACGAAAGATAAAACTTTTATCTGCACAAAAATTCAACTAAGTTGACCATATTCTCTCCACAGACAAAGCTTTTTGTTTCCCTAATCCATGCAAGAATGGAGCGACGTGCATCGATAGAAATGATCGTCAATTTGAATGTTCCTGCGCTTTGGGATTCAAAGGGGAACTCTGTGAAGGTAAGTTTGCGGTGAAAACAATAACTCTGAGTCAAGAATTCACGGACAAAGATATTCATCTGTTGGTTCACTCTAGTGTCCAGTGAATGCAAGAATGATCCTTGTGTCAATGGAGGAACGTGTATAGAGAAGGCGGTTGGTTACAGATGCGCATGTCTGAAAGGATTTGTAGGAAAGAATTGCGAAGGTAAGCTGTGACACTTTTTGATATGCAAACTAAAAGCCTGTTTACATTGAGTGAGTTATTCCGACTACGCGAGGTAAAAAGTGCATCACATCAAAGGCTGAAACTGGTCAGTCTTTCATTGCATTTTTTACCTCGCCTAGCCGAGATAACTCGCTTCATTTAAACAGGCCCTAACATAATCATACACTATATGTTTATACATATGCACCCTGAACTATATTATACACGATACAGAAGCGAGAAGATAAAGCAATAGCACGATTTCTTTCAGTCACCTTGTGCAACCCTAATCCTTGTGCAAATAATGGGAAATGTTCCGTTGCGGGAAATCGTTATAACTGCGCATGTACAGGACAATATACTGGAGACCATTGCGAAGGTTGGTTGTGTTTCAGTTTGTGTTGTTTTCGTCAAAAGTAGGAATTTGACGACAGAAAATAATGAAAAAATGTATTTCTGAAATGTTCTCAAATTGTTTTGTTGCTAGTTCTCAATCCCTGTCGCGCCAACCCTTGTCTGAATGGGGGCCAGTGCGTCGTCAGTGAGTTGACCAGCGGTTACACGAATGACGGCTTCTCTTGCAAATGTCCAAAGGGTTACTATGGCAACATGTGTCAAATGAAATAGTGTGTAAAATAGTGTATTATATTGTCATATATTGTGCGATGTATATTAAATATCCTTTTTAAACCTTAAACATGTATTCCGTCGTATAGGACTAAATCTAATTTTATATCTAAATTGTTATCTCCATCTTTAAAAACATCCATAAATATTTAACTATATATACTATAATCTAACTTATATCTATATGCAACACCATTTGACATTTGGATAATCTTAAAGCAAACTTGACTAGCTAATTACTAAAAAGATAAAAGCAAGTCGTTTTCGGTCAATTAACGTAGAATAATCCGATAAAAAATGTAAAATACATGTAAACAGTTGAACGCTAGCTTAAAGAAACTCCTTTGCTAATAAAATGAAGAGTTCTTCGGAACTAATAAATAACGTAGCCATTTCAATTGACTTCAATATCACGCGTTTGCTAACGGCAGAAAAGTTCTGCACTCAGAAATTCACAGACCACTTTCGTACAGTATACAACAGAGGTTCTTACGTGATCTTTCGACCTTTAAATCCTTATCTTGCAATATAATACATATATTTGAATAAAGAACACGCTTGCTTGGCTGCTTTCATCGATCTACGGGTGGCCGCAAACATTTTTGCCATGTTTTGTAATTTGCCATTTTAAAACAATCTTACGATTATCAAACGAAAAAAGTCGAAATAATCGGTATTAAATACAATACCGTTTTTGAAAAATTATGAAACGAGGAAACCCAACAAAACAAAAATAAAATGTGAAGAGATAAAGTGGAATCACTACCGAAGTATTTTAAGTTATCTTTTCAGTACTGGTCGTTGTCTGGCCTTTCCATGGCGAAGACAAATGTCATAATATTGGCTATTGTAAGCTGGTTTTTGCTGTCTGGAGTACAAGGGAAACTTGCTAAAACTAACGGGAAGTCTACAAATGAACATAAAACGAAAATTGAACTGCATAATGGCCGTTTAAAAGGGCAGAAATCGCTTAAAAGTACATCGAAGATTCCAGTTCAAGATGGCGACTCGTTTGTACGACAGGTTTCTAGCGAGAAAATAAAAAATGCAACAAACGACGTATTAAAGCGGACAATGGCCGAACAAACGAGTCTTGCTTTAAACAACATGGCTTCCGGGGTTTCATTAAGGCGACCTTTGAAGGTACTTCAATTGAAGACTGCTTCTCCATCTGTGAGATCTCGTTTGACCTCGCTTCGGTCGACAACCTTCAAGCCAATTCACATTTACGGCTCTGTGCCGTTTAAAACCTTCTTAAGCGCGCTATCGAAAACAAACGGTCAAGAAAATACAGCTCCAACGCCTGCACTTCAGTCTGAAGTACCTCAGGTTGCGGGCCAAAGTTCGCCGCATTTACCATTGGGCTCCCCTCTGTCACAGGAGAAAGCGTTGCAGAATAGGCAGTTTCTATCCCCCGGGGCAATGCCAGTGCCGATAGGTCCCCAAGGGGGTGCACCGATGCTTCTCCAAGCGCCACTCGGTGGATTTCAAGGAATGCCATTGGAGGGAGGTTTGCCAGTGGTACCTCAAGCAAATCTGGCTGGATATTTTGGTTATCCAGTGGGCTATCACGAACACCAAACCACACATCACCATTTGCATCGCAAAGGTAAAGGAATCATTATGATAGTTGTCTTCTCTGGATCCAGGTGCTTCCGTTTTTCTTGCCTAAGATTTGTGAAGCCTGGTGCACAGGATCTAGTCGCACGAGCCTCTTATATTTAAAGATGTTTTCTACCATGCACAAAAATCTGTACAATTCACGAAGGTGGAACGATTTTTGATGCCATAGGAAAATTGCCGGAATCAAGAATGTTGTCTTTCTTTAGTTTTCTCACGAGCAAAGTGTTTCCCAAATCCCTGTCAGAACGGAGGCAGCTGCACAGCGTTTTCTTCGTCCTACGAATGTTCTTGTCCCGCGGGATTCAAGGGACACAGCTGTGAAGGTAGGGATAGGTCGAATTGACTGTGAGCGATTAGAGAGGTGACGAGGAGGGTCCCCTCTGTCTTGTCTAGATTTTTAATGAAGTACTTCATCTGAACTAGGAGCTCCAAACTTTCCTTCCTAGAAAGAAACCAATGCGTTCCCAACCCGTGCAAGAATGGTGGAAATTGTTATGATGATGGAGATAACTATAAATGTACCTGTATTCGAGGGTACACGGGATACAACTGTGGAGGTAAGTTCTCGTGTGAATCTCAGACCTCCCATTTTGTCAAGTACGCATTTTAATCCTGACAAAATTTTATTTGACTACGGTCCAGGAGTAAGCTATTGGAGGGTGAGATTTTTGTAGAAACTCGAAGTAAATATTTGTTCAACTTTGTTATAACTTGTCGATAAGCTTCCCCAATCTTACTATTGCAAACTAAGATCTTTTACTGCTCGTGAGATATCCACCACGTTTACATGCTTGAAAGCAATTGCGTTTTGAATGGTCATTTCTGTTCGTAGAACTTAGCAAGTGTCTTCCTAATCCTTGCAAGAATGGCGCGACTTGTTTGGAAACGGGAGAAAGCTACCATTGTGAATGTCCAGAAAATTTCAATGGCGTTCACTGCGAAGGTAATATTCAGCTTGAAGCTGCCATAACAGATTTCCTTGTGAAAATTGTGGTAAAAACGTCCGCTATTTTTGTTCTTTAGTTCATGATTATTGCGGACAAGATAACCCATGTTTAAATGGGGGCCACTGCAATAATAAAGAGTCTGGGTATGAATGTAATTGCAAACATGGTTACATGGGACACGATTGTGCAGGTGGGGGTCTCGCACTTAGGAAATAATTTCAGGAAATTGAAAGAGCCTCCTGAGCAGTTTTTTACGTATCATCATAGAGTTTGACGTCTGTAACGAGAATCCCTGTGACAATGGAGGGATATGTAAGAACATTGAGGGTGGTCAGTTTCTATGTAAGTGTGGTCATGGATATCGTGGGATGACCTGTGAAGGTATGGGATGGCAAACACTTTGGCTTCAAGAGTGTAGAAACCTCATTGAGCTGTGGTAACGATGGATGGAGTAAATTTTTGTAAAATTAAACTGTCAATTCCATTTTTTACAGAAAAGATTCCACCATGCGATCTGGACCCTTGTCGAAATGGTGGAACGTGCAGGGAAATGGGCGAGAAATATCTTTGCCATTGTCCAGATAATTGGAAGGGAAGAACCTGCGAAGGTAATCCGTCAGAAAATCCGAATGGCAAATTTCTTTAAATGCCGTTTCACACTTGACGTTTCTGCATTTCAGATGCGGTGCACACTCCATGTAGCGATAACCCGTGCATAAACGGTGGGAAATGTTTGGCCCTGGATTATGGCGACTATAAATGCCAATGTCCCCATGATTTTGGAGGAATGCACTGCGAAGGTAGGATAAAAAAGAACTGCTGTAAACTAACTTTATTTGGTCTGAATAGATCTATGTCCATTTAAAAAAAACTTTTCACACAAGAACGTTAACAAATATGTTTCCTTTTTAGTGGAAGCACAGCCGGAGTGTTACTCCTGTCACGACCATGCCTCGTGTAAGGATGGCAAATGCGCGTGTGTGGATGGTTATACTGGCAATGGACAATACTGTGAAGGTTTGCCGTCTGTCTGTTCTCACTGATTCCTCTTCCTTCATCGATGCATGCATATAGAAAGGCCACACCTTCAGTTGGCATCCTATCTCATCTTTTTCAGTGTTAAGCAGATGTCACCCTAACCCTTGTTATAACGGGGGACAGTGCCATGATCATGCCTCAGAATATGAATGCATTTGCGCCGATGGTTTCATGGGGAAAACGTGCCAAGGTATGCGAGGATATAATTATTCCCTCGTGCAGTAGCAACCAATTCGCACTTCTTGCATTTCGTCTCGTCCCTCTGGTTTATACAACCAAGCAAGCCACCAGCCTTAACTGGGCTTCTTCTCTTCAGAGCCAAAGCCTTGTCTTGCTTCTCCTTGTTTGAACGGGGGGACATGCACGGATCGCATAGGAATCACCTGTGTTGGAGGGATGCCTTGTAATAATCATGGATATGAATGCACTTGCCCTATGGACTTCAGGGGCCCAAACTGTGAACGTAAGTACAGTGGTGGAGAAGTTGATGATGGGAAATATTCGTTCTTATCTACGGTATTATAAATCAGAGGAGAATTTTTATTTATTTACATACTTCAGATGCCAGTTTTTGCCATCCCAACCCTTGTCAGAATGGAGGAGAATGCGTTTCGGAATCCACAACATATATATGTCAATGTCCAATACGCTACACTGGAAAAAAATGCGAAGGTATGAACTGTGTTCTGTCCACTCACATGGGTATCAGAATAGAGTGGTGAAAAAATAGCATCTTCTGTATTATCAAGATACGCATGAATCTTGTTACAATTCAATTTTTCATTTACCATACAAATGAAGGATGATCAATCAATTCTTCATTGTTAACGTTTATGAAAACTGGACACAATTCCATCTAACCATTTCAATCTTCTCTCTTTGCAGAGGATAAGTGCAATTGTGACCCAAATGCCAAATGCGACAAAGGAAAGTGCACCTGTAATTCCGGATATGTTGGCGCAGGTTCTCCCGGCACTTGCAAACCAAGTATGTGGCGTATTCGATCATGGTCGAGTTCGCCGGAAAATGGCGTATTCGACCATGGTCTCTGGTAATGTTTAATTCAGAGACTCAGCCATGCAGAGACTGGGGAGAGTACTCAGGGGCTAATTATGGTGGTTTTTAGTCGATATAATTTTTTTTTCGAACCATATCAGTTCCATATCTGTTTAATAACAGTATTTTTTGTATGGAAAAGAAAAATTTAAAGAAAAAAAAAATTTCGGAAAGAACCTAAAAACACCCAAAAGAGATCATCCAGCTCTATGCCACAATCTAACCGGTGATATTGCAACCAGCTGCGATATACCAGCATAGATTACAACTACGAAAGGTGCAAGGACAGTTGCTATAGGAAGAACTCCCCCCCATAACTCACATCTTAACGGCCGTCTAAGGGGGAGATGCACTACGGCCCCCAGACCATGATGTATGTGCACCTAACCGTTACGTCTCAGTGAGAAACAGAGTGGGCTGTATGCCACACGCCTAGCGTCATAGACGAATCAGCTACAGTGGCAAGCCTTGAGAGCGAAGATAAATTTAACGTATTTAAGCTTTTCCTGGTCTCGGGGGGCGGTCCCTAACAAGTATATGCATAGAAAACGACTAATAAGGCACACGCTTTGAAATGTCAAGATTTAAACGCCTAAACGTTTTTTAAGTGTTTTTAGCGAGAAATTTTAGTGTTTTGATATTATTTTAGAAATTTTAGTGTTTTGAAACAATCCTTGCTGGTTTTTAACGTTCAAATAGAGGCATTTTCTCGAAAGGAAACTCACTATAAATGACTGAACGACTTTGTTTACTAAAATGTTTTGTTTATTTTGTGTTTAGTATACGACGACCATGGTCGAATACGCCGTTTTCTGGGAGACTCGACCTTGGTCGAATACGCCGTTTTCTGGCGGTCTCAACCATGGTCGAATACGCCGTTTTCTGGCCGTCTCAACCATGGTCGAATCATCATTTTCCGACGGACTCGACCATGGTCGAATTCAACATTTTCCGGTTTATTCGACCAATGTCGAGTCCGCCGGAAAACGGCGTTTTGTGTATTCGCAACACGCACGAGAACACCACGAATACATCTCGCAGTGGTTGAACATCTTAACTTGCTTTACAATTATATCTCAAATATCCAATCTACATCCCAAATAGTGAACGAAATATTACGAATATTTTGCAGTTACCTCACCGACGAATCCGCCTGTCGTAGGCCAAAGTCCTGGTCGCCTACCAACACCAACAACCCCAGTGGGATTCTCCCCAGGTCGTGCACCCCCAGCACCTCCCCCACCTCCACACAATCTTCCATCGCTCAACAAGTGCACGCCAAACCCTTGTCAAAACGGTGGGACTTGCCTTCCCATCGGGAATGTGGATTTCGCTTGCAAATGTCTGCCACAATTCACTGGCAAGCTGTGTACAGAAACTGCGAAGAGCTATTGTCATCCCAGTCCGTGTCTTAACGGAGGAATTTGCACGGAGAGTCCAAACGGATATAAATGCCAGTGTGTGGGGCATTACAGAGGAACTAATTGCCAAGGTAAGGTGTTTAGTTATAAATTCTGCACAAGAACTTTCGAAGCATCTCTGCTTCAAGGCGCTGTCACACAATGCAATCCTTCTTGCAACTTGCAATGCAATCAAGAAAACATTAGAAGATCGTAAGAAATGTTTGTATTTGACAACTTCAGATGCTTCAGGTGTACGTAGAATTGAATTGCAAGTTGCAAGGAAAGTTGCACAGCCACACTGGTGTTAAGCCGCCTTTATAATATAGTTATCAGTGTTTTACGGCCAATTTAAGCTGATGAAATTATTGTCTTTACTTCTTCTTCTCTTGATTGTTTGGGTTTGAATTGTTTAACTTTTTATATTCTTCTCTTGTAGTGGATGACTGCGACAGATGCGATATCAGAGCCATTTGTGTGAAAGGAAAATGCCAGTGTCGCGTTGGCTACAGTGGAAATGGTTACCAATGCACCAAAAGTACGTTGTTGCTTTTGAAATGGTTTTGAATCTTTATGAGATTTAAAAAACCTTTGTTTTTCAGTTAAGAAATGTGGTGGTTGTAGTCCTCATGCGACTTGTAAAGTCAGTAAGTGTGTTTGCAACATGGGTTTCGTTGGAGATGGAGCAACATGTAAACGTAAGTAGGATAAATCTTTCTACCTCGAGTTGATAAATATCAGGGAGATTCAGCATATAGCATAGTAAATGCCCTGATGAATGTCGTGTGAACACAGACAACTCTACACTTTCTGTTTTGCAGCTGTTGGTTGTTCAGACTGCCCCTCGCAATCTAAATGTGTTTACGGGATTTGTGTGTGTCTGCCGGGGTACTTCTTCGATGGGAAAAACTGTGCTGGTAGGTTCGAAAGCATCACTTTTTCACATGTATCAGCCTATTTTTTATCCATCAACTGTTGGCGTACGTGATAACCATTTTATGTCCATTTTTTAAAAATCTTGAAGTATATAAAATATGACCTTTCTTCCATTTGAAATCGTTGCTTGTCCGGCTTTTTTGAGCGAGAAAATTGCTAAAAAAATTTCAAATTCTAATTAAATTATTTAAAGATATTAATTAAAATGATTTAAAAATACTGAATAAACTTATAAAGACCATGAATAAACTCAATTAATCCAATTATCGTTCATAATAGCTCCGTCAAAACCATGTCCTAGTAAATGCAAGCCGCCATCTTGTGAACCTGCCTGTCCTACAACGTGTTGCACACCCCCTCCTCCTCCACCGCCTCCCCCTCCCCCCGTACCTTGTCCAGCACCTTGTCAGTACCAGTGCACCAATCAATGTCCTGCGCAGTGTTGCATGGACTATTTCTCAAGATGGGGAAATATGGGATAGCATTAAAATACATCAAGAGCGCAAACGTATCAAAACAGAGTGGAAAACGTCTGAATGGCCGGGGTCGATAAGCCACGCAGCTTCTTATTTCTATTTCTCTGAGAAAATTGGTGATAAATTACATGTAATTTCAGGCTACCATTGCAGACTTCCCTATTGTTTTAGATTTTAGTCAGAAAAGCATCAATTAACCATATTGAAATAAATGTTTTAATAAATTGTCAAGAATTGATATTTAGTATAAGGATTAAATAGTTCTCCTCCATGCATAAACGACCGACATTTAACTGTAACTCGTATCTTACCGACGAATCATATGGTGAACTTTGTATAACACAAAGATTGAAAAACTAAGAACGTCGAAATTTTCATTCGCCGAATCGTATGAAAATGAACTAAAAACAAAGACTTTCGCTTCATTAACATCAGGTGCGGCACATGAAAAGTTCGACGTCTGAATCTAAATAGATAAATTGTAAAAGGGCGATGTATATAAATAAACACTTGTTTTTAAACTTTCTTGACTTCTTCATTTCTGCAATATACCTGCGAGACAAAGCTATATAATATATCGCGAAATACCAAGGACAGAGACGTCACGGGTTAGTACAGAGACTTTAAAAAATTAAAGTAAAAAACAAATTCCGAATAAACAGGACATCTTGAGAGTCAAAATATGATTCGAACAAGACACAGGTTGAGATTGTCATCTTCAGACAGAATGACAGACACGTCAATATTATAAACCTACTCTATATACGCATGGGAATGCTTCGACACGATGGTGTCCTGCACTAGTCGATGATTGATGCAATTTCTAAGATAGAGAATGTTTACTATTCTTTTTTGATGTTTACACAATCCTATGGCCTTAAAATTATCCTCTTTAGGTTTTTAAATATTATCCTAAACGGTACTCGAAAACTTAATAATGAGATTTTGCTCTGAGCTGGGGAATGCGAAACTTTGTGGAACAACACCCTATAGTTAAAAGAATTGGTTGGAAGTTGGAACACCGTCATTACTATGAATATCATAACACAATAATTACCCTAAAGAGTGTCAAAAGAAGCGTTAATTGCTCTTAAAACAGGTCGTAATCAAAATAAACGTGTGGCCTTATTTACTTTTTTTTTAACTTCTAACTTTCCGGCACGCCGTTAATCGACTTACGTTGATCAACAAACAAGAGATGTAGTCGATGTACTCAGGAGAACCAAGATGTTCAAAGAAAGTAAGAAAGCTTATTTTCTCTCATACTTCATTTGGCTTTGGTTTTTCACGGAGTTGGAACGGCTAGCGGCAAGCAAACTTGACAATTCAAGATCTGCAACAGGTATACGTTTTGCGATTTTTTTTATGATATGGTTTTACGACGTAGAGTTTGCGCTGGAGGACCTGTTTCAGCGTATAGCTATCCTCTCAAAATTTTGTGGGAAGAGAAATGTGAATCGAATGTTCGATGTGTTGTAACAAATCGTTTTAATAAAAGGCGGTAAAAAAATTAGGGGAAAAAATTATCAAAGGAATGTTTGTTAATTTGCACACGGGTAATTGGTTTCAAGGTAAATATTTTTAACTTGGAATTCTAAATTAATCTCCAAAGCAATCTCTACAATATATCATTCGTTGATTAAGCTATATTCCTAAACCTTTGCATACATTTTTTGTGAATAGTTTTACCTTTAAATTAAAACTGTATCAAATTACTTTATGTGGTATTACAAACTGGTGCAAGTTAAATTGTGAATATTTCGTTTAGATCCTGGGCGATTCGGGAATGCTATGGATAGTATATTGGCCATAAATTCAAGGAGAAAGAGTTACCTAAATGAGACAGAGAGCTACAAAAGAGATAAAATTGAACATAACATCATAAGCGCAAATGAAGGTGGGTTGTGAAATCCTCAATCGTGAATCTTGAATTCTAGAAGATATTTTGTGCATGGAATCTCGATAAAAGAGATTTAGATCGAAGAAGAAGGCTAAGAGCTCAACTAAAAGGTGATATCATGCGTTTAGAAGTTATATTTTGTATTTGTACTGCCGAAATCCTCTTCCTCAACCAAATCATAATTTATTTGTTTATTTGTTTACGTGTTATCCTGATGTTTATCGATCATTAGCTCAAGAAATAGCAGATGATTTGTTCGAAGGTGATGTCATTCTTGACCAAGTCAGTATTCCGGAAGACAAAGAACTTTATAACATACAACATAAAAAGGACAACGCGCTCAGAGATGGAGATGAAAATGCCGCCAAAAGGCAGGGAACAAGAAATCTAAAATGGTTATGGCATTTCAGGAAGGTTCCTTACGAAATATCGCCGAGTTTGTGTAAGATTTCAGCGTTTGCTTGCATGCATTACTGACTGAATGGCGTGTTTAAAGTGATGTGCAGTAAAAACATACTCGTTGCCAAATAAAATAATTGATTGGCGACTTTATAAGGTTGAGACAACAGAGAAAACTAAAACAAAATTTATTTAAAACTATTAAGATGAAAGATTTGGTAAAGCTTTTCATAACATAGCTGAATGATAATGATGCTAAGAATAATTTCTTTGTTGCCAAACCCAGGATCGCTATTGTTGTTCTTAACTTTAGTTTCATTTTCAGATAGGGCCAAATATAAGATTTTGGACGCGATCAGAACGTTCAATAGCAAGACTTGTGTGAAGTTTGTGCCAAGAAAAGCGAGAGACAGAAACTATGTCTTGTTTGATAAACGTCAAGGGTAAGTATAAATAACCAGTTCAATGGGTAGAAAAGTTGAATATTTTATAAACGATTACAGTAGTTTGTACTAATATTAGATTCTAGATAATTAAAAACAAAATTTGAACGTTGTGGGAACGTTGAGATTACGTTGGGATTTGGATCAGTTTTAGGATTGCGGTTAATCCTAATCAACCATAAACTAATCAATGAGCTAATCCCAGAACTAATCCTAACATAATCTGAAGGATTTGCTTCGCGTATTTAGGATCTATTGGGCTTGGAATTATTACCGTAAGTTCAACCAACACGGCAGGATTAACCAGTAAATTAAGTAAATTGATTAAACCTCAGCTTCACGTTAATCCCTTGATTAATATGAGTTGGATTAATGGATTTCATACCTCTAGATGCTATTCAAGAATTGGCAGATCGTATGCACGTCCTGGCCCCCAAATCATCTCCATTGGACAGTATTGTGATTATAAAGATATCATCATTCATGAAATGTTACATGCTGTCGGTAAGAAATCTGACAACGTTAACCTTCGTAGCTTTACACCAGAATGCTGGCGGACCAACTTCTTTCACTCGATTTCAATCAAATCTTTGCGTGACTTCCAGGATTTTTTCACGAGCAAAGTCGCCCTGATAGACAAAAACATATCAAGATTCATTGGCAAAATATCAAAAAAGGTATCTGGTTTAAAAAGATTTACATTAAACATGATTCCTGCATCTCCTGTGCCGGAAAGAACAGTTTAGAACTGATCGAGCTATCTAGTATAAATCAAATTAGCTAAGTTCAGGTTTCATCCTGTAGTAACACTGGATCAATAAGAGATGATCCTTACTAGACCTCTAGGAAGAACAATTTAGAACTGATAGAGCTATCCAGTATAAATAAAGTTAGTTTAGTTTAGGTTTCCTCCTGTAGTAAAACTGGATCAATAAGAGATGATCCTTACTGGACCTCTAGGAAGAACAATTTAGAACTGATAGAGCTATCCAGTATAAATAAAGTTAGTTTAGTTTAGGTTTCCTCCTGTAGTAACACTGGATCAATAAGAGATAATCCTTACTGGAACTCTAGGAAGAACAGTTTAGAACTGATAGAGCTATCCAGTATAAATAAAGTTAGTTTAGTTTAGGTTTCCTTCTGTAGTAACACTAGATCAATAAGAGATGATCCTTACTGGACCTCTAAGAAGAACAGTTTAGAACTGATAGAGCTATCCAGTATGAATAAAGTTAGTTTAGTTTAGGTTTCCTCCTGTAGTAACACTGGATCAATAAGAGAATTACTGGACCTTTATGATTCGTAGTTAGGATACACTCCTAACTACGTTTGAGTGAAATCTCTTCTTTTCATCGTAGGATTTGAGAGCGAGTTCAAGATGTATAGTCACGGCCAAATTGACAATCTTCACATCAACTACAATCATAACAGCGTGATGCATTACGGCGGCAAAGCCTTCAGCAAGTCTCCGAAACTTGAAACAATGACAGCCATAGATACCCCAGGCAAGATCAAACTTGGTGGCTCGAAGATGAGCGCTCTGGATGTTATAGAACTGGATGCTTTGTACCGTTGCAAATGTGAGTAAAATAACATCCTTTTTTATCCCAGTCCAAGTGTTGTTGAACATTATGAATTAACGACAGTTGACAAGGCAAAAAAAGAGCAAGCATTGTTAATGATTCAAATATTGATTTATTACACAGCCAACAAGGTTAATGAATGGACTCGTTGGAGTTCTTATGGACCTTGTGATAAATACTGCTACAAAAACAGGCAGAGATTTTGTTATGGGAATACTCCGAAATCTTGTGGTGGACGTCCTAACCGATACGGCGTGGAAAGCCAGTACGTTAAGTGTACCAGCAGCGAATGTCCACGTAAGTTCTTGCAATGAGGCAAGCCTGACCTGGTGTAATGCGTTAAACTGAGGTTTAGTGGTAGAAATGATAGTATAAGGGCTATTTCACAATCTTACTGCTCAATTTTAGTCAAAGTTGGGGGCAACTGGGGTGATTGGGCCCCGTGGAGTGCCTGTTCTCGCACCTGTAACGAAGGTTTAAAAACCCGGACACGAAGATGCGATAATCCAGCGCCGAAAAATAATGGAAAGCCATGCAAAGGAAGGCCGAAACAGACAGTATTGTGCGTCAAGCCAAGATGTCATCTAGGTGAATACAATCAATTGTTTTAATTTAAATTGTAGCCAATATATAGGGAAGCGTTGAGTTGGGAAGACAAGCCATCTCGACTTTATCCCATTCTTGTGTTTTATGTACAAACCGATGACCGACGGTGAAATATCAATCACGTTTAGTATTATTTAAACAGCAACACACAGATGGATCTCAATCATAAAATGCAGCTCTTAAAACAGACGTATTGAGGCCTTACAGCGACGTCATTGTTCGTATTTGTAGCCTTACGCCATTTTGGATGGCAAATTAAAATACAGTTATTCCAAAGAAAACTGTACTTGTTTACAGTTTAAGTATGGATTATGCTGTAAGTGGAATCGATTATATTTTTATGTTTATGTCGACCCTGTAGATTACGACGATACTGATTTTCGTAATGGTAGATTCGGGATGTGGGAAAATGATATCTACGATACACCAGGATTGAACTGGATCATTAAGAAAGGAAACACGCCAACAGAAAGGACTGGGCCCCACTCAGATCACACCACTAAAAAAGGTGATGAAGTTTTTTTCTTCACTGAAAACGTTAGATGCTATATATATTGTTCAGAGAATCCAACTGGTGTACTCATAACTGTATGGATATATAGAATATGAATTTTGTTTTTGAGTTTTCCAAAAATGGTAATGAAAACTTGAACAAAACGAGAGCCCATAAAGCCTAACTAATCGTTGAAATTCAAGCAAACTTGTACAACACAAGCTTAAATCGATAAATTAAGTTTAGGTAACTACTTTTTAGGTAACCACCTTACAGAAATTGTTCACAAACCGTTGTCTGATGAAAGATTCACATAAATAACCACAAATATATTAGTTTCGGTCTAATTCAAATACGTTTTAATAATATATTTTTACAAATAGCCCAGAAATGTAATGCATCTTTTCTCTGTGTTTCAGATTATTATCTTTACGTGGAGTCAAGTCGTCGCCGACGAAATGACGTAGCTCGTCTTATTAGCAAATCTATTTCTAAAACCAAACCAGGCAAACGATGTTTCAGATTCTTCTATCATATGGTCGGGCGAACAATGGGATCGCTCACATTGCGTTTGATAATCAAAGACCAGCCCCAGCGAGTGTTGTTCACTAAGAAAGGTCCTCAAGGCAATGGATGGAGAGGAGAGGAGCTGACTTTAGATTATTCCAAGCCTTTCAAGGTATTGTTCGTGGTGCATCCAGCTTTAGCTAACCCTTCGCGTCTCGTTTGACAGACTGACCCTATTTGAAAACTCATTGTCTCAGCCTTAGGCCAGGTTCTCCCGTATCGCGATGTCTATATTGTCGGTGGTTATTGATGCATAAAATGCTTTGCCTATTGAAAAAAAGATTTACTTCATTGGTCACTGGCATGCAATGGACCGTAGAACATCGCCGATGAATTACGACATATGAGAATCAGGCTTTACAATAGGGAACTGTTGACTAGTAATTAAATATTTCGGGACTATAGTTATAATGGAATATGCCTGTATTTTCTTTTCTAAAATTTTCTGCTTTTATACAAGAGTTTGGATGAATAATTGTAATGAATAATTTTGTAATGAATAATTTTGCTTTATTTGTGCGTTTGTAGCTTGCATTTGAAGCGAGGCTTGGCAGACAACCGTATTCAGACATTGCTATTGACGATGTTTTTCTTGATGATGGCAGCTGTGGTAACTGATTACATTTTTTCTAATTTGCAAGCTTACAAACTAACTGCGAACTTCAGCATTAAAAAAATTGTCAGATTGACCCTGAGGATCGTTCGGTTTTAGCCAATGATTATTAGGAAGCTGATTTATCAATAATCAATCAATTATTTAAGCCCGCGGGTAAATATATCAAGGTTCGCTACTGGAATTAGACTAGAGGTTATTACACTGAACTTTTCTTTCTGTCTGCTTCATTATCCTGAAGTGGATCGAGAGGGTTTGCTTAGAATTCGGGAGGCAAGGATATTGATCGAATCTAGAGCAATTTGGTGGGAGATGTCTTGAATAAGCCAGTCATAAGGTCCATCTAGCGACAATAAATTGATGTAAATTACGACAACCATCCTCAGTATAGGGTCTATCATAACTGATTACGCACATTCGGATTAAAGATTTTTACGTCTGTTTCGTCGAAGCATCCTCCGGACGCATCAATTCAGTTTTTTCTTCTTCAGATTGCAAAGACAAGTACATGGTGTGCAAATATTGGCAAAAGGCTGGTTACTGCAAAAGGTCATTTAACTATATGTATAAGAACTGTAAAAAGTCATGCAACTTTTGCGGTAAGCATAACAAAACCAAAGTATATTGTCGCATGTTCAGTCGAAATATTATCTCTTTGGCTTGTTTTTAAGCATCATTTTTCACGATACGTGACTTTTCTTCAGTCATCTGATGAAGACTATAGGCTGTCTGTTCGCGACTTTCTACAGGCACTTGTACAGAAACTGACCTGGGGCCTGTTGTGTATGTGACAATATTTTTGAAATTATACAGGATGTCAAAATGATCCCAAGTGGAATTACTGCAGAAATTGGTCTTTCAACGAGTGTCGGAAAAATCGGGTTTGGATGGAAGTCCATTGCCCCGTGACCTGTCGCGTGTGCGGTGAGTAGAGGTTTAAGCAAAGGCAAGCTACTGAGGTTATAGTGCAGCTCTTCCCCAGGGTAGCCCCAGCCTTCCTCCCCGCGTTAACGGCGGGAATTTGAGAATAACTGAATACATCCTTCAAAAACTGACAATCCATAAACTCGCAATGTGTATACATTAGTATTGTTACATTTGGTGTCATAATTGTTTGCTGGATAATCAAGGTCTTTTTAATGTTATAACTTGGGAAAACGATTGATTTTGAAAGCCAGAAAGCACAGTAGTTTGTGTCGGATGTTTTCATTCAGATCAGGTTAACTGAGGTAGCTACTTTTGGCTTTATTAATTCTGCATTTAAGATTGCTACGATAAAAACATTTGGTGTTATGATTGGAAAGCGAAAGGAGAATGCACAAGAAATCCTAATTTCATGAAAAGTGACTGCCGCAAAGCATGTGGATTTTGCAAGTAACGTATTCTACTGGAGGTAGTGGTGAAGATGAGGTGTTGTTTGTGTTTTTCTAACGGAGTTTTGACGGTTTTACCAACCAAAAAGGTAACATAGGCTGATGTCGCCGAACTGAATGATAGATATGAAAAAAGTGTATGCTTAAATTCATTTAATTAGGTTTGTCATTAGACCTAAAGAAAACTTCATATAGTCGTATATTGAATGACTGTCTTTCAAATATGAACAAAAATAAATAATAATTCATGTTTTTGCATTCAATAGTTGGTGATAAAGTGCATTAAAATCAGAAATAAATATGGCATATACCTAAATCTTAAATTAATATGATAGAGTTATATATCTTTGAAGTGTTTTTGAAGATCTCTAAGGTCTTTCTAAAATTAAATATGTTAAATAAAATCTTTAATTTAACCGACTATTTTGTCCTGGTCGAAATGAGATTTTCCTGTCGGCTGTCAGTTGGTCGATTGCTTTAAAAAACAAAGTAATCCTCGGAAGACTTGAATGAAGATTTAGAACTAAGTCTATTAAAACAAATACAATAAAATTTTATTAAAGTCGCCGTGCTAAACGCCATGAATTGTTTGCCTGACTTTGCAGTTTAATACAACTGGAAATCCTTTGACATCGTGTATTTAATTTGTGACCTGCGCGTTTTTCCATGTCCAGATTCATTTGACACCCTTTATCAATCGATTCAACCGGCTTGGACAGGTAGTTTTTGTGAATAAACTACGTTCAATTAGATCGTCGTCTTAATGTCATGTTATTGGAGATGACGAGTGGTGAAAATGGAGTTACATAGAGCTAAATCGTGCATCACCAAATATACTTTGTTGTTCGCTATCTTAGTTTATAGTTCCGTGTTATTTGTGAGGACTGAGTGGCCTATATTTAAAAAGGAAGGTATACCCCGCGGTTTTAACACAGAACAAGACAAATATGGAGCAGGTATTTTATATATGTACTACTTCTGTCACTTAATATGAATAAACATGTCAACTATCAATGTCTATCTTCGCTTGTATTTGTTTATAAATATATGATTTGTGTATTCTGTTTTGACTATCGTAATAATATTATTAAAATAACAATAATTTAAAAATACTACTGATAACAACAACAATAACGATAGTGATAACATAAATTAGTTATCTTAAATTAAATACCTTAAATTTTGATAAAACAGTTAGTTCAGCCCGTGAGAACTTTGCATCGATTCACGTAGGTTATGCTAATTTAGTGAAAACGGCGCTGTTCCAGGCTCTTTCTATTTACTTTAGTTTTTACAAACGATTCCCGCCCCAGTGCTATGGATATGATTCTCGCGATTAACACCAGAACTCCGGTTAGGCGGAGATTACACAAAGAGACTGGGGATGACGGAGAGAGGGTGAAACGAATGAACGTAACAAAGTTTTCAAACGGCACCATGGTTATCACCAACACGAGCGAGGTGTTAAACGGCACAGACGTTTTGATACAAGCCAATTTAGGTACGACAGGCAGTTCTAGTCCATTCAATCTTTGAACAAGGTTGAAATGGCGCATTTTGTGTCGTATTTCAGAGCAAAAAGTTGCAGACAATTTGCTGGAAGGCGACATATTGTTAGACCCGAGGGATCCTGACGATTTTAAGATACTGAAACTCATCAAGGAGGAAAAGAAAGAAGAGGCGGAACACATCTTTGAAAAACGACAAGCAATGCGACAATTGAAACATTTGTGGCATTCAAGAGTTGTGCCTTATGAAATTGATCCATCACTTGGTATGCACTGCTTATGAATTATTAGGGTAGTAAAGGGAGATATCTGTATTACAAATGGTTCTGTAGCTGTTTGTGTTAAAAAGATGTCTTTTTGCATGCCTTCGTTAGACTGAGAAATGTCTGTTGCATTTAGAGAAACGTCTTTATTACAGAGATGTCTGTAAAAAAGACAGGTGTCTATACTAGAAAGTTGTCTTATTGGAAGGCAGGCTTAGAGTGCTAAATCTACAAAGCTGATATTCTTCGATATCTGTATTAGATGGAGAAGCTCAACCACTCGTCCAAATGGACTCTAACAATGCAGTCTAACAGGAGAATGGACTCTTTTTCTTCTTCATAGGCGATGAGAGTTCGATTCGTGTTATTCAAACCACAATTGCTATGTTCAACACAAAATCTTGTGTGAAGTTTCTACCACGCCGAGGAGGAGAAAGGAATTGGGCAAGGTTCATTAAAAATGATGGGTGATTATTTCTTTTAAATGTTTAACATATCTTAAACAGTGACAGAATAAAAAACCATCACAACACAAATAGCAAACGAAAAATAAAAGCAACACAAATCAATGGCTTCACCTTCTTCTCAGCTTATAACCTGTATTGCTTTACAATCTCCCATTCAGAACTATTTCATTTCTAACAGGTGTTCTTCGGGTATTGGACGATCATATGTTAGACCTGGCTGGCAGCAAATCTCCATCGATGAAGCTTGCAAACACCCGTCTATAATCATGCATGAAATGCTTCACTGTGTAGGTATGGGAAAAATAAGATTCTCCATGTTTTCCGAAAATTTTTCTCTTAAGCTGGATGGCTCTATCCTCCACCATCCATGACAATTGCTGGATACATTTTTTTACAACTTCTCGGAAACCAGTTAGGATTTCTAGAGCAATTTTCCTACTCATCACCTTGTTCATTCACAGGCTTTTTTCACGAGCAAAGCAGACCGGATCGGGATCAGCATCTAAAGATTCTTTGGGAAAATATCGGTGAAAGTACGTGAAATTAATACAATTTAATTCATCGCAGTTCGTTATCAAAGTGAAGGAGATTTGATGATTGAACTTCGATCTCTTTATAATTTCATTAAATTTGATTTCTTTCACTTCATGTGCGATGTAAGCAACGTAGAAGCGGTTTAACGAATCTGAAAGTGTTCCTATAATCTAAAATCCATGTTTTCTGTTTCCTTCAAGGGGAAAAAAGTCAGTTTCAAAAGTATAGTCACGGTGAGATCGACCAGTTTGGATACAACTATAACTACCAAAGCATAATGCAGTACGGAAGAACTGCATTCTCAAAGAATAATAAAAACACGATGGAGGCAATATCCGATGCAAATATGAAATTAGGAGGAGATTTCATGACTCAGGAGGATATTAATGAACTGAACACGCTGTACGACTGCGGAAGTAAGACTGACTTCCTCTGTACTTCATTTTATCTTTCTCTTACAGTCTTACTTTTTTCCCTTTACAAGGGATGTTTTATAAAAGGATGCATTTTGATTCACGTTAGTAAATTGATCGCCCAATTCCTCAAGAATCACTAGTACTTGCATCAGCGAAATGCTGATAGCGAAACAGCGAAACACTGAGATATTGGAACTCAGTCGAACTGGTGGTGTAAAACCAGAGGCTCAGCTTAAGAAAAGCTATAGCAGCTATACTGATTCTTCAGCGTAACGTTTAAGATATTATTTTAGATTGGAATCCTAAAAAAGCGAATTCGTATTGGTTTGAACTTGTTCGTCTTGGATAAGTTCGAATATTATTTATTTAGCGACCTCGTTCAATACTTGGACAAGTTGGAACACATTCTCCGAGTGCGATGAAGCTTGCTACAAAAGTAGACAAAGATATTGTTTTGGAGCCAGCCCAACGTCTTGTGGTGGAAGCCCCAATCCTTACGGTGTCGAGTCTGAACGGAAAAAATGCTCGGCTAATGTCTGCCCAGGTATAATCAATATTCAATTCTAAAGTCATCAACCTGAGGTTGTATATATAAGCGTGCTACTTAACAGCAACAGCATTATTGTCACAACTTGTTGAAAAAAACGACGAGCTTTTTACAAGCTAGCGTTGTGGGTACATGTCTTTAATATACACTCGTATATTGTATTATGGAGGTATCAGTTCTATGCTCAATATTGTTTTTTCACCAGCTGCGATCCATGGGCATTGGGGAGAGTGGTCTCCGTACGGGCCATGCAGTAAGACTTGTGACGAAGGTGTTCGAAAGCGCACAAGAGATTGCGACAATCCCCGTCCAGAACATGGTGGAAACCCGTGCTCTGGGATGGACACCCTGACTGTTCTTTGTGTCAGACCTTCGTGCAGAAGTTCGTTAGGTAAGTTGATAAAAACGTCCCGATATCAACCCATGTATCTACAGACGTCAACACATCTATCCACAGTTATCAAAACAACTTTCCAATACATCTACAGATATCAACCCATGTATCCACGGATATCAACGCATGTTTTAGGTCACTGTTTTTTATGCATGAATGGAAACCTTTTCTAGGACCGTACGATGCAGATTTTCGAGACAATCATTTGGGTGAGCTGTGGATGAACGATATTTACGACACGCCTCAATTCGACTGGAGGACTCACAGAGGAGAAACCCGCACAGAAAATACTGGTCCCTCTACCGACCATTTTGGATCTGATGGTAACTCCTATTTCTTGTTTAACAGACCACATTCTTTGGTGTCAGTCTTCGTGCGTTGGTTCCAAGATCTAAGAGGAATTTCCTGATCTTCGTTTATTTTTAGGCTATTATCTGTACGTGGAGTCCTCAAGTCGTGTGGCTGGTGACAATGCTCGCCTGTACACGTCGAAGTACCTTCCAGCGACAGAAGGAACATGCTTCAGTTTTTACTATCATATGTTCGGTCACACTACAGGCACACTAACGTTGTCTATTCTTCCTAAAGATTCTCCTGGGATTGATAAATTGTTTACTAAATCTGGTGAACAGGGAAATAGCTGGCATTTTCAGAGAGTGGACGTGAAATCTTCTACACCTTATCAGGTTGGGTTGTTTGTTTATTTGTTTGTTTGTTTATTTATTTTGTTTGTTTGTTTGATTGATTGTTCGATGGATTTTTTTGTTTCTTTGTTTGCTTGTTAATTTATCTATTTATTTGTTTGTTTGCTTATTTTTCAGGTCTTCTGTCTTTCTGCCTTGTTTTCTCGAAAGCCAGTAGTTTATTAACAGTCTTTTTTATGTATTTTTCTTCGTCCTAGCTAATATTTGAAGCTACGGTGGCCAATGGCGATTACTCTGATATTGCCATCGACGACTTATTTTTCAAGGAAGGCGACTGTGGTAAGTTTCAAGGAGATATATCTGCCGAGATCTTCAGATAAATTGAAACAAGATATATTTTAATTAGATTGTCAAAACAACTATCGGATGTGCGACACGTGGGCTGCAAGAAACGACTGCAGTGCATCTTATGATTTTATGATGAAAAGTTGCAGGAGAGCTTGTAATTTCTGCTGTAAGTAACGTGTACTCAAATCATAGATTCTTGGATTCTTGGATGCGAGTGCGAAGTGGAAATAACCCCACGTATACCACTATTACCCCACGTATACCACTATTACCCCACGTATACCACTATTACCCACCGTAAACCACTAAACCTTTCCCTACATTACACCACTAATATACACATGACAAATCTGTGAGTCGTGCGGTGTTATAGGTAAATCAAAATGCAGCACCTCTATTGACCTGATTTTAATGATGTCATTCTTAGTGTGTGTTGATAAGCACAAGAAATGTGGGACATGGGCAGACACTGAGTGCAAAAGAACAGCCAAATTCTCAAACTGGATGGATGCAATGTGTCCTTTCACCTGCAAGCGATGCAGTAAGCAATTATTCTTCATACAAAAAGAGTTCAAAGTTTCTTGTCTGGATGATTTAAAAATAAAATCCACTACAGTATTTGAATCAAGATTCATAGAAAAGGCGAAGGCATTTCATGGAAATACAATTCGCTTTTTCCTATACTAAAGTTATTTTCTTGAATGTCTTATCAAATCTTTTGTAAAATGTTTTCTTGAATATATCTTAGTCTGTCACGACAACAATCCTGAATGCGAGGAATGGGCAGGGAAAGGTTTTTGCAAAACCAATGCTGTTTACATGATGGAGAATTGTAAAAGATCCTGTGGCGTATGTCAAGCACCAGATGTGAGTTCGCGTTCACGGGTCGGTTGTTCGAAAGGCGTTTAGCTTAAACGGTGGATAAGCCAAAGTTTAAAAATACTCTCATACATCTTGTGAATGACTGAATCTGTATCTTATGCATTTAATATCTACTTCCATTGACAATTAAACTATTTACATCGAAATATTTCAGCTCAGTTGTTCAATAAATAGATAATTTGGTTTTCCATTTTGAACTTATCCACCGTTTAAGCTAAACGCCTTTCGAACAACCGGCCCCAGGCAAAGAATGTGTTTATACAATGATTACAACAATTGCCTGACTTCAGTGACTATTATTTTGTTTAGGAAAAGAAGGATTAACGATGATTAGTCCGGGATATCATTGGTAGCACTTACTTTATAACTAAAGCCATGGGGCAAAAACAAATAAATATGAAATAAACGATGAACAAGTGTGTTAAATGAGAGCAGCCTAGTTTGTAAATGATATTATTTATATTGGATAATCTCGGTATAATGTTTAAAGTATAGTTAAAATTCATAATTAAATTAATAAAACAAATGAATTTTCATTCAAAATAAATAATGATATAAAATGGTAGTAAAATATTTTAATTATAAGAGAAAGGTTTAATTTGGTAAACAATGCATAGAGTGTTCGTACTGCAAACTGAAGATGGTTGCATAGGAAAAGTGAATAAAAAAGATGAATTAATCTTGGTCTAATTGATAATGGCAGAAAAGCGTCCTAGAGAAAATTTGGAAATAAACTTGTATAAAATACTGATACTAACACCTGGCAAGGAACAACCTGTGTTACACAATTAAAAAACTAGTTTTAAAAAAGTAAAAAACGAATTTGTTGAAACGGACACGCATGCGTGACCTGGGGCCGGTTGTATCAACACCGTTTAGTTTAAACGGTGGGTGGTTTAAAATACAAGTTGAGAATAGAAGGAAGGCTATCGTCTTATTCAACAAGCCAACGAAATGTTTTTAACATCTCATGCTCCCTGATGGGGCGAAGTAACAGGTTGCTTTCGTGAAGAAAGAACTTGCCAATTCAATCTCACAAATCGATATTTTAGCATGCAGAGTTGAATAAAAAAAGAAACGGGATTTAAACACGAGATAAAATGTTCGCTGTAAAGTGTATTGTATTTTGTGTTATCGTAGTTGACAGTTTAGTATCTTCTGTTAGAACTAACCCAACTCACTTTAAAGAAAGAAAGAGGCCTCACATGTTCACAAACAACAGTACAGGTAAAGTATCTGTAATAGGAACGCTCGATGGACAAACTTCATTCTTTAAAATACCTTCATTTTCAGATTTATATACGTAAATATAACAGTTTTAGATAAGTTGTCCTTCATCTTTTAGAGATCTCCATTCTTCACCGCACAAGGGTGATAGAAAGATGATCTTTATGACAAAATATTTTTTCCCTTGATGGAGGAGTTCTTCGAGGAGTTTTTTGGATTCTTCGAGGAGGATTTGAGGAGTTTTTGAATCTTTCCTATCTTCGCTCAATGTTTCATTTTCACTCTGTAGGAAATTCTCGTCCTAGCGCGATGGATATGATTCTCGCGATTAACACAAGAACTTCTGTAAAGCGGTGGTTGCATGTGGAGACTCGGGCTGAAGGTGCTACAGGGGAAGAGATGCAACGAATGAACGTAACAAAGTTTTCAAATGGGACCATGGTTATCACCAACACAAGTGTCGTCCTAAATGGCACCGATGTGTTGCTACAAACAAATTTAGGTACGTTGGGATCTATTTACATGCTTTAAGAAAAATTGAAACTAAAACACAAAAAAAACAATCACAAATAAACTGAAAACTTCAACTGCATTGAACCTTCTACTGTTTCAGAACAAAATGTCGCGGATTATTTGCTGGAAGGAGATATATTGTTAGACCCGGAGATCCCGGAAGATCATGAAATCATGAAACTCGTTGAGAAAGGAGACAAAGATGAAGCTGAAAGAATATTTCAGAAACGCCAAGCGTCAGGGAAAATGAAACGTTTGTGGCACAAGAGGGTTGTGCCGTATGAAATACACCCAACACTTGGTACGATATCTTTGTATCGGAGGATATTTTTTGATCTAGAGAGTCTCCTTTTTCAGTAGCGTAGCTAGCCTGGCTACGTCACTGTCCTTATTCAACGGGTCGTCTGTACTAGGAAGATGCTTGTTTTTAAAGAGATGTCTGTATTAGAGAGATGTCTGTATTAGAGAGATGTCTGTATTGGAGAGATGTCTGTATTAGGGAGGTGCCTGTATTGGGGGAGGTGTCTATTGGAGAGATGTTTATATTAGAGAAGTGTCTGTATTAGAGATATGTTTGTATTAGAGATGTCTGTATTGGAGAGAGGTCTGTGTGAGGGATTTCTGTCGAAGTGTTTTCAAGATGCATCTCAAAATTGAGTATTTCTCTCTCTTAAAGCTGACGCAGAATCATATTATCTTATCAAAAATACAATTGATCTATTCAACACCAAATCTTGTGTCAAATTTAAGCCACGTCAAGGAAGTGAAAGAGACTGGGTAATTTTTATAAAAAAAGAAGGGTGAGTGCCACACAAACGTACAAACATCAGGAACAACAGCAATAGAAGAAATAGCCTATAGCATACCATTGCAATCACTCTATTGTTTATTTCTATTCAAAAAGTCACTCACAGCTTATATAAAACGTTTATATCGTTAATAGTTGTCTATCGAGCATTGGCAGAGCGTATGTAAATCAAGGCTGGCAACCGATTTCCATTGACGATGCTTGCAAAACGCCGTCGATAATTCTGCACGAAATGCTTCATTGCGTAGGTATGATGTAAAGTTATGGGCGATACAGACAGTACATTATCAATTTTTACCATGACACATGCATGTATTGCTAAAACTGATATAGCTAAGTATAGACGTTGTAAGTCTACTTTACAGTAATGTTTTGGATATAAAATTTTGGATACAATTTCTAAAAGCCGGATGCATATTTCTCATTTACCAGGACACGCTTTGGTTAGCTCTTCAGACTTCTTTCCATCTGTTTAGGCTTTTTTCACGAGCAAAGCAGACCGGATCGGGATAAATATTTGAAAATCATTTGGGAGAACATTAGCGAAGGTGGGTCTAACAAATTCAAAATGTTGTTCATGCTATTTCTGATGATATTTCAGATCAAATTTTAAATTTTTTTTTCACCATTTGAAAGATAAAAGAGAGCAATTTGAAAAGTACAGTCACGGTGAGATTGACCAGTTTGGATACAACTATAACTACCAAAGCATAATGCAGTACGGAAGAACTGCATTCTCAAAGAATACTGAAAACACGATGGAAGCAATTAACGATCCTAATGCTCAACTCGGTGGCGATGTGATGACCCAGCAGGATGTCAATGAGCTCAACACGTTGTACGATTGCAAAAGTGAGAAGAAAATGATCCTTTTTGTCGTTATTATATTCAATTTCAATATATTTTATTGTATTCCCTGAAGAAAATTTCATGCTGGTTTAGTTTAGATTCAAACACGCCCAGTCAACAATTTCACTAAAAAGTAGAGTAAAAAACAAATTTGGGATAAACAGGACTTCTTGAGAGTCGATATATGATTCAAACAAGGCACTTGAGACTAATTTTTCTCTTTAGTTTCAAGTTATCTTCGCTAGCCACTAGACTAGAAGATTGTTTCTTCATTGCAGCCACAAGGTTTAACTCGTGGACAAGCTGGGGTTCGTTTTCCGAGTGTGACAAAGATTGCTATAGAAGTAGACAGAGATATTGTTATGGACAAAGTACGACAGCTTGTGGTGGCAACCCTAACGTTTACGGTGTTGAGACACAAAGTTTCAAATGTTCTGGAGATATCTGCCCTGGTAATCATCTTCATCTAGCAAAAAATAATATCGCTATGCTCAACCAGCTAAGAAATAAAACCAATTCTCTACAGGTCGTGGTGCTTTCCTTCTGAAAGAAACCATATTGAAGAAATATGGATATTTGTCCTAAATCTGTTTTTAAAATGAGTTCTTCAAAACCCTCTCCTTTTTCCAGCACGAATCCACGGAAACTGGGGGCACTGGTCTCAATTTGGGGTTTGCAGCGAAACATGCAGTGAAGGTGTCCGACAGCGAACAAGAGAATGCAACAATCCAAGCCCCAGTAATGGCGGAAATCCGTGTTCTGGATCGACCACGGAAAGTATTCTTTGTGTGAATCCGTCCTGCAGGAGTTCATTAGGTAAGGTCGATCACCGGAATTCTTTCCCAGTTAAAGGAACCAGTCAAATTCAATGGATATACTACAAAGAAGCATCTTAATCAGACCTGTGAAAAGTTGTCTCGGAGGAAATTAAATTCCCAGTCAACCTCGTTCCCATAGTCTCCGCTGTACCGCGCCTTGAACACAGAAGACCCTGGAAACGAGGTTGATTCCTAGTGCATTAATTAAAATTTACTGACCCACTTTTTATGATTTGGCTAAAATATTTCGAAGGTCGAGTTTTTGAAAACTCTGGAATATTTCTAGGCTTGTACGATCAAGATTTTCGTGACAAAAATGTAGGTCCGCTGTGGAAAAACGATAATTACGATACGCCGCACTTTGACTGGACGATAAATAAAGGAGCAACCCCAACTGAGAATACAGGACCCTCCAGAGACCACCTTGGTTCTGAAAAAGGTATTTTCTCTGGCCGTCATTTCTTCTGACGCAATTATTTGAAAAATTGAGACTTTTAGCGCAGTAGCTATTTGGTTCGTGGAATGGTGGCCATTTGTATAATCTCGAAACAGTGCAAAGGCTTCAGTTGAAACCAACCACACTTTGTGCGGAAACTGAAAAAACTAACACGACACACCAAAGAGTTAGTCAGTCTCAGAAGATCTCTGAGGTGTGTTTTCCTGGTCATTGGGGAAAATAAATGCTGCTCAATATTCTGATCGGAAACATTGAATGAAGATTCGGTAAAAACAAGAGAATAATTATTCAATGCCATCCTCCATTTCCATTACAAGAATGGCATTCTAATGGTAGCCGTTGTTGAAACGTAGTAGCTAGCTTTTGACTCTCGCAATTTTCCTATTATTGTTAGGCTATTATCTGTACGTGGAGTCCTCGAATCGCGTGGCAGGTAACAATGCTCGCCTGTACACGTCGAAGTTCCTTCCAGCGACAAAAGGAACATGCTTCAGTTTTTACTATCATATGTTCGGTCACACAACAGGCACACTATCGTTGTCCTTTCTTCCTAAAAACTCTAACCAGATTCAGAAATTATTCCTTAAATCTGGTGAACAGGGAAACAGCTGGCATTTTCAGAGAGTAGATTTGAATTCTTCTACATCTTATCAGGTTGGGTATTTTCCATTCTTCATTGTTTGTTGAATGCATGGGAGGTTGAGATACCTTAGAGGACTATTACTATATTAAGCCTAATAAATGAGCGAAACTAAGATCTGGAAAGATTTGTAAGAAATTCCAATAGATTTCATCCATTTCATACTCTATGACGTTTATCCCCGAATAAGAAGCAAATGGTTCTTCCTCACCTCTCTATAGTTGATATTTGAAGCTACCATAGCTGCTGGGGAGTATTCTGACATTGCTATCGATGACTTGTTTTTCCAAGATGGCACTTGTGGGAAGTATTAGACTTTAGAAACACTTTCTCAACTTTTGTTCTCAACGAAAACGTTCGGATTAATTAAAACGTTGTTTCCATATAATTACATTAGATTGCCAAAACAACTATCGGATGTGTGATACCTGGGCGGCAAGAAACGACTGCACTGTGTCTTATGATTTTATGATGAAGAATTGCAAAAGAGCTTGTAATTTCTGCTGTAAGTAAAGCTAAGTTGTTATTTCTGCCATGGATTATAGCTTTTTCAACTCAACGCGTTTGATTTGCCTTTGTGAATCCATTGAAATGCGTACAAACGTTTGAATTACCTTTGCGAGTTCATTCAAAGGCGCTCAAAGTTTCACAATCCATATCCTAAGGTAATCAAATTCCATTTGTTTTTTAGCCTGTGTTGACAAGCATGCAAAGTGTAAATCATGGGCGAAGACTGAGTGTAAAAGAACAGCCAAATACTCAAACTGGATGGATGCTATGTGCCCTGTCACCTGCAAGAGATGCGGTAAGCGACCTCTCTGCAATATAACGGGAGTTCAACATGGCTGTCAGTGAAAATCTTTGGATAGCATCCTGGAAAGATATTTTTGAATTGCACTTAATTCAGTCATGTAACTGCAAGCTTCTTTATAATTTCCCCATTTAGTTTGCCACGATGACAACGTCAAGTGCGCAGAGTGGACAGCAAACCATTCTTGTAAAACAAATCCAACGTACATGAACAAGAACTGCAAAAGATCTTGCGGAATATGTCAGGTAACAGAGATATCAGCTGCAATGGAACGGACATTAGATGGAAAAAAGGAAATTACTCTATAAAAAGGACTCATTTTTTGATCGTACTAATATTTCGAAAGCCACCTTTATCCCATAGTTGAATCACGTTTTCCTCTTCTGTTTCACTCTAAAATTCTGCCGCCCAGAAAAGGAATCTCACCGTTCTTAATTTGTTTTGCATGAAACACATACAAACCATAGATGCTAATCTTCAATCGGTCATTCTTTGCTATGCTTATTTCCGTTTTCGTACACTGAGGATTAGAATCCAGAGAGTTAGCAGGTACTGTGTCTCAGATAGATTAGTACACGCGATATATTGTTTCATTAAGAACTGGGAATCTATAGAAACGAACGATATATTACAATATATTATAATAAGATATAATGAAAACATTGCAATGGTATTGAAGTAAATGATAGCTTATAACGATCGTAGTATTATTAAATAAAGGAGTGAAACTTTATAACCGCTGTATACGTCCATTGGCTCACAGCATATTTTACAATCCAAATCTGGTGGACTACTTAAGAAGACAATGCAACAACTGAAGCGTGCTTTTTTTCTTAACTCCAACAGAGGCGTCATGAATATAAACTGTGATCAAAATCCTTTCCTTATTTTTGTCGCTTTTTTCTTTATATTTTATAAATTATAATCGAATTTTCTTTACGACATGAGTGACAATCTATAAACAAGAATTGATTGGTTTAATGATTGCACGGATAATCATGTTTGTTTATCATTGGCAAATGTTTACAATGATTCAAATGTTGATTGGCTGTGAAAGGTCGTTTGCAACATCCAATATTCCAGCTTCAAATGGTAGCTTTATAGTCCCATCTCCAAAAGTATTTTATGTGAAACAAAACGACACAGGTATGTTCTAGCAATTTAAGTTGTTGTAAATGGATAGATCTACAATACGTTTCTTGGTCGTAAGGCTGTAGTCTATACTTTAAACAAACACAATCGCTTAATATTTTATTTATCAAAATTCAATCTTAACTAAACGAATTCTAATGAAATATTGTTAAAATTTAAGGGAAACTAAATAAAGGGAAATTAAAATAAAGAGAAACTGGTAATTGAAAACGATAAATCCACACAACTCTTAATCCACGGGAATCGATTTTTCTAGGTAGAAGAAATGCAAGTAAACAAATGTCAAGAAGGCAACACGCATTAAAATGTGGTTTGCTGACCTGTGATCGTAGTATTCCTACCTTAAAAAATTGCCTTAAACTATTTAAGGAAAAGAAAATCAGTGAGCCAAATCAGCCAATAGGTGTGTAAACGAATCTTACTACTAAAAAAACCTTATTTAGCATTAGGGGGAGTCTATCCTGCAAAGTGCATCAAGTTTCTAGATGTATCTCCATGGATGTTCATGTGATCCTCTTATGAAATATTTTCCTCAATCAAGTTTTCAAGGTCGACTAGCTATTGTGTTTTTTGGCATTTTCAGTGAATGGTAATTGGGGGAACTGGGGAAAGTTTGGACCAGCGACCAAGACATGCGACGAGGCGTTTCGTAAAAGAACAAGACTGTGCAACAACCCTGCCCCAAGTGCCGGGGGACAATTTTGCGAAGGATCTAGCGAAGAAAGCCTTTTGTTTGAGTTAGGACGATGTGTATTGAGTGAGTGATTTCATTCAGATGTTTAAACAGTACCACAGAAAAGTCTTAACTCAGCCTGTATACATACAGCTAGGATGGATTTTTGGTCGCTCTGAAGATCAATATTCACGTCGGATGTCTATTTCTTCTTCTTTGAGACAAAGATCGAACTAGACAACCAGAAACGATTACATTTTTTAAGTCGATTCAAGATTTATTCCAGTCGTCATTGAATCGCCTTCCCGTTCCAACAAACACTGCTATTTGCTGAAAATATTAATTCTTTTTTAATTTCCCAGAAAAGCAAGACACAGAATTTAAGATGTCCAATATTGGAATGTGGAAGCATGCAAAAGGCACTCCTGGCTTTTTTTGGAACGTCAAGTTCGGAGTAGGAGAAGGGGTTGCTAACACGGGTCCAAACATAGATGCTACTGGAGACGGTGATGAAAACTCCTTTGATTCTTTTCCAAATCAGTTGAAGAGTTGATATTCCACTTGAGGTGTTGATATTCCACTTTTTCAACGTTAGTATTTGCTTTTACAGGTTATTTTTTGATCGCGGACTCGAGCAAGAGGAAACGGGAGGATCGAGCTGTTATTATTAGCGATGAACTCACTCCAGCTCCAAAAGGTGAAGTATTTTGCTGTTCAGGTCTGCACTTCATTGATATGCTCTGCTGAGTCTGCTCTGCCATGCAGTGGACAGGTTTAGCTTACGAGATTTCCTCGAAGCTCATTTCAGATTGTTGATTCACAACACCGACAACGATATTTAACATAGATTCATATAATCTGTAGTTCATATAACTCCACTGTGTGATGTCAATTTTCAAATAACATTTTTCTAAATCGTCCATAGTGAATCGAGCATGTCTGAAATTTCGGTATTTCATGCACGGATCAAATATGGGACTTTTATCGGTGAAAATTAAACGAGGAATTCGGAGTAAACCGAAAACCATTTGGCGAGCTTTCCAAGAAGCTGGAAGACAATGGAAAAAGGCCAAAGTTACCTTGAAAAGTTCTGTAAAATTTCAGGTAAGTTGTGAACACTGAACATCGATCAATTATTGGATCGATTGGAATCGTTCATATATTATCATTGTTTCGTCAAACAATCATTATCATTGTTATCCGATCGTTATCTGATCAACATCATCATCAATAAGAACATCATTATCATCATCAATGACAATGACAATATCATTATCGTCATCAACAAAACTTTGAGTTTTTTCCTAGGTTCTCTTTGATGCAGCAATCGGAGAGCCAGAAAAATCAGACATTGCTTTAGATAACATCTACGTCGACAGTGGAAGCTGCAGTAAGACATACCCTAGCCTGTGCACAGACCTATATCCGGAAAGATAAAGGTCTGTGCACAGGCTAGACATACCCCTGTATTCTAAAAGGTTACATACACTCAAACTTAAACTGGCTGAGTGGAAGATCTCAATCATCTTATTTATCTCATTCGTGTTTTCCACTCCAATAAGAGATTGATTTTTAGTCTTTTGCCTTAAATCTTTCCATTCATTAAGACAGAACTTTCCCAGTTGATCAGTAATGACAAAATTTATATGTCACCATCCAAAAGCATGAGTGGGCTTTTAGAATACAGGAACCAAAAAAATCATTACCAAAGGGTAGCATTGGCTAGAGATATTGATGTTTTGCGTCTTGTAACAGTGATACCAAGCATAATTATGATCCATATATATTATAGGCTTTTATGTTCTTTTATCACTCTTTCAATAGTTCTTACCTTCTTCAGAATGTCAAGATGAATACCAAAGTTGTCGTGAGTGGGCTTTAGATAAAAAATGTAACAGCAAAAACGACAAAACGACCTATTATTGGATGTCTAAGAATTGCAAAAAGTCATGTGAAACATGCGGTATGTATTACCTTCGTAGCTGTGTGATAACTCATTGGTCGTATTTGACTCCATATATGACCCCATGGTCGTATTTGCCATTTTCCGGCGAATATGCCCCATGGTCGTATTTGCCATTTTCCGGCGAATATGACCATGGTCGTATTTGCCATTTTCCGGCGAATATGACCATGGTCGTATTTGCCATTTTCCGGCGAATATGACCATGGTCGTATTTGCCATTTTCCGGCGAATATGACCATGATCGTATTTGCCATTTTCCGGCGAATATGACCACGGTCGTATTTGCCATTTTTCGGCGAATATGACCATGGTCGTATTTGCCATTTTCCGGCGAATATGACCATGGTCGTATTTGCCATTTTCCGGCGAATATGACCATGGTCGTATTTGCCATTTTCCGGCGAATATGACCATGGTCGTATTTGCCATTTTCCGGCGAATATGACCATGGTCGTATTTGCCATTTTCCGGCGAATATGACCATGGTCGTATTTGCCATTTTCCGGCGAATATGACCATGGTCGTATTTGCCATTTTCCGGCGAATATGACCATGGTCGTATTTGCCATTTTCCGGCGAATATGACCATGGATAATGATTATTATTAATGTCATTAAATTGTATGTCTCGTTTGCCTGTTTAAGATTGCAAAGACTTGGCTGGTTTAAAAGATTGTCGTCGTTGGGAAAAAACAGGATTGTGTTCTACTTCTTCTGCCTGGATGTCGGTTCATTGTCAACTCAGTTGTAGATTATGCGGTAAGACTCTAAGACATGCAGGATTACAGCTTGCTTCCCTGGGAGTGACTGGGACTAGTTCTCAATGACATTTAGACTTAGGGGCTGTTTACATGAGCCCGGTTACCCGAGATTCAACGAAGCGTGAGATGATTTTGAAGTATTGAAATGAGCAGATAACATGATCCTGGCAGTCGTATAATCACCACAACAATAGCATGTGCTTGTTTGGTGTCATAAAGACTTATTTCAATACCTCAAAGTCTTCTCACGCTTCGTTGAATCTCGGGTAACCGGGCTCATGTAAACAGCCCTTTACTTTAGTATCCTGTTTATCCCATCACAGAAAGTACGTCAACAATCAGACTATTTGCGTTCACCATCAACATTTCATCTTTCTTTATACGAATTCCATAGCTTGCCATGACTCTCTTGACTATTCCAACTGTAAAGCAAGAGTTAGCGCTTTTGAATGTGAAACACATCCGCAACTGATGGCTGACGAATGCCGCCTAAGCTGCGGATTTTGTGGTGAGTTTAATTTTGGGAGCACAATTTTTAGCACAGATAAACACCATCCACTTAGCCAAATAGCTGAAGGGAATCCATAGTTTATCTCAATCCAAGTCGTGTTTAGATTGTAAGAATATCGCAACTGAAGAGGAATGCCATCGTCGTATGACCTTGGGTGAATGTGCCAGCAATGAACTTTATATGAACACAAATTGCAAGCATAGCTGTGGATACTGCAGTAAGGAATATTTTTCATATTTTTCATCATTCAGACTTGGACAAACTGCATGATATATAAATCACTGGATTAATATTAGGAATTACATCGTAGAGATACCAAGGGTTAACAGCTATTTCCGTTTTCTCGGTTTCTTCCTTTTAAACACTAGATTACCGAGAGATGGCCTTCTTTATCCCTAGCATGGATAGTTTCGTATTGATTGTAACTTTGTCTTTCAGACTGCAAAAATAGGCATTCAAAATGCAAACTTTGGGCTTCGCAAGGTGAATGTACGAAAAATCCTCTCTGGATGGAGGCTAATTGTACCCTCAGTTGTGGAAAGTGCAGTAAGCATACAACTAGTGCTTGATTCGGAATACATCTAATGCAATCTTGGTCCTAATTCACCAAACAAATCTCTTGTTGTTGAAACTGAGTTTTTGAAGAGCTTGTATTGTACAATTTTACCGAGTTCATGCACTTTCGACAATTAATGGATTAATGATACTGAGTTTATAAATGCTAGCATTTAGGAGCGAGGCTGCGAGGCCCACCTTGACTTCTTTGAGATCAGAAACATTTGAAATCTGAAACTTCTCCATCAGATAACATTTCGTCTACTTCAGATGATTTATCGAAACTCTTTTCTTTACGAATGTTTAGGATGTCACGATACCAAAGTTGATTGCAAGAAATGGAAGGACCAAGGGGAATGTTCTAAGAACTCGCTGTATATGAACGCGTTTTGCCAAAAATCGTGTGGAATATGCAAAGTATGAAGTTGATGTCTGCATAAGCTCTCAGGTCAGGAGGGGAAGAAGGGACCACATGCACCGCCGGGGGGTGCAAACAAGAAAAGGACTGTAGAGCGCTTAAAAGTTTCTAACCTTTGAATACTTGCATGCATTACTTGTTAAAAAAAATATGCAACAGTCAAATACAATGCACTTATAGCCAGAGATACAATTATACAAATGTACAGTGAACGTACTAGTCATTGAATTTTGAGTACTTTAAAATGATGGATATTTCTATATACTGTTTTATATTTCTTTTTCTCACAGGAAAGGCAACGATCTAGCTCTTGAAGCGTAGGAAGTTACAGGCGCTTGCCCCTTAATCCTTGAATGACCTCTGCACAGCATCTTGCACGGCGTGTGCCTAATCAAATTTCTATATTTGTTTATGTCTCAACGCGCTGAGGCTGAGACATCAACTCGTCGAGCAAATCAAATATCGGAGATGCTCGAATAGAAAGCAGTGTGTCACCAATTGTAATATTGAATTCAACTATTAGTTGCTTTGTACGCTAGAGATTTTCTTCTAGCTTTGTTGGTCTTAAATTGACGGAATTATTCGTGGATATGTGCGAATTCATTAAAGTCTCACTTTGTGCATATCTGTATGCGTTTATTGGGGGTAAGTACAAACGATTCAAAAATAGCGACAGTCAATTTAACAAGTTTCCTTAATGCATTTTTATGCATGCTGAATATCATATAGCTTGGTTTATAACTGCACTTGCCATTCTCTTGCTACGATTAAATACAATTTTTGTCCACGAATCTATTTGAATGAATGGCTGTTTTGAATGCCGGTCAGAATGCTCGTGTTCACATTAGCCGAAGTCACAATGAAAGAAATTTCATTAGCGGACTTTTACAAGCGTAAAAAATAGCACATATATGGATGAATATTCGTCATATATAAATATATGACATCGCATCTGATATTTTCATCAATTATATAAACAAAGTTTGAACTTCCGACCACTGCTTCCGACAGCGTGCATATGGACACAATGTATTAGGACATGGCCCGACATGCCATGGGACACGCGAGAGTCGCGACAATAAAAATAGATACGCTGTGGCGTCCACGAGCCTGGGTGGTATATGCAGAGCTTGGTAATGATACGAGATTTTATTGATTTGAAAATTAATTGAAATATTGTAAAATATACTTGGTTGTCAGTGATAGTGTTTCTTCAAAATCTTCTGCAGCTTTTCATTAGCTAGACTAGAATCTATAAAACTTTCCATAATCTTAGCAGCTGTTTATTTCGATTTTCTTGCAGTAAGTTGGCTTCAACTAACGTTTGCGCTGAGTAAAACGTGGATTCAAAACGAGAATTGGGAAGCAACGAAAAACTGGAATCTTGAGAGATTGCCTTGCCCTGGCGATACTGTGAATATTGATCGGGTAGCGTTGCAATTTTGTAGTTTGCCCTCATTCATTTCCAATACTCTATTATGTGATTTGTATTTTAAAGAGTTGTAATATTTGATCATCAGTTTTCTTAATGCAGGCTGGGGTTGAGATATTTCTGAACTCAACATCCACGATAGAACAACTGGTATGTTTTATTGCTTTTTATTTATTTATGAAAATTTTAAATAGCCAAGATAGCATTCGCAAAACTTGTGTTTGTGGCTTAAAATGTCTTTTTGACCACGCCGATTTCAAAATTTGGATGAAATAAATACATGCATTTTAAGCCCGAATTGTAACGGCGAGTCAAGCGACTATACTACTAACAAATAAAATTAACAAAACATTTTAGCAAACTAAGCCGTTCAGTCATTTATATTGAGTTTCCTTTCGAGAATGACGATTATTTTGAATATCAAAACACTTAAATTTCTCGCTAAAAACACTTGAAAAACGTTTAGGCGTTTAAATCTTGACATTTCCAAGCGTGTGCCTTATTAGTCGTTTTCTATGCATATGCTTGTTAGAGACCGCCCCCCGAGACCAGGAAAAGCTTAAATACGTTAAATTTATCTTCGCTCTCAAGGCTTGCCACTGTAGCTGATTCGTCTATGACGCGCTACGCGTGTGGCATACAGCCCACTCTGTTTCTCACTGAGACGTAACGGTTAGGTGCACATACATCATGGTCTGGGGGCCGTAGTGCATCTCCCCCTTAGACGGCCGTTAAGATGTGAGTTATGGGGGGGAGTTCTTCCTATAGCAACTGTCCTTGCACCTTTCGTAGTTGTAATCTATGCTGGTATATCGCAGCTGGTTGTAATATCACCGGTTAGATTGTGGCATAGAGCTGGATGATCTCTTTTGGGTGTTTTTAGGTTCTTTCGAAATTTTTTTTTCTTTCAAATTTTTCTTTTCCATACAAAGAAATACTGTTATTAAACATATATGGAACGGATATGGTTGGAAAAAAATTTATATCGACTAAAAACCCCCTTAATTTACCCCTGAATACTCTCCCCAGTCTCTGCATGATATAGGAGGCAATGAATTAAACAATAGCAGAGTTCATCCATAAACATCAAACATTTACTGTATTATCAGCATTTTGATCAACCTTACAGCAGTAAAACAGCATGCAACAAAGACATTCAGACAGTCAACTCTGCATTCTCGTTAGTGCCTTCAGCCCGAGAACTGTCAATCAAAAGTCTGGATAAATCACCTGGCTTTCCCTGTGAGGCATCTGACAAAGCATCTGACATTGACATCTGACATTGAAAACAACTTCAAAACATCTGACATTGAAAACAACTCGAGATTTTCTACTAATTGTGGACTTGGTTTATTCATTAATACTCCATGAGATAGTTTGAACGAAGACTTCACCATTGTTGGGTATACCAGTGCAGTATGGTAATCCAGGTTATCGAATCACCCTGAATTCTTCTGTAACTAAATTTTCATTCCACAACAAGCAACACGGCATGTTTATGGCCATTTTAAGAGCACATTCAATTGTTATTCCCAACTTTGATTTAATTTCAAATACATAACTTCGAAGTTTGGGACGGCACTTGTAGAGAAAGTGGACAAACCTACTGCGACCATTCGAATCCTCGCCACGATGAATCGAACCACGCAGGTAACATAAGCTGAACCCAGAGTTATAGCCAAACTTAACATAAGCACAGGGGGATGCTTTTCAACATCTCTCCGCTTAATGAAGGCTCGTCGAGACAATTAACCAAGACCATTAAACACTTATACAAACATTTTGGACACTTGATGTCTTGCTCAGCACACAAAGCATCACCAAAACCAGTTCTTTGTTTAAAGGCTGCACCTACTCCTTCAAAAAGGTTGGGACAAATACCCAAGGCTACAATAAACTGGATAACAGTCTTGAGGATTTGTTGATCTTTCACGCTCAGATCCATTACGGGAACTCGTGTTTATATTAATTTAAGAAGATATATTAAAAGAGCGCAAACATAACCGATTAAAGATCAATCGTACAGATCTACTATCGATGTTTACTTTTGACCCTTTTCCCCTGCTCTTTGAGCTCGGTTCTTGCCCAAGTATTCCACAAAACGACAACTTCAATTCCTGACATGATCTCAAATGCTCCTCTGTTTCTAAAGCTCGCCAAAGAAACATAGATTCAACGCTAACAAATCATCAAAATTGGTTGTGGCTTTAACGGCTAAGTGCATGTCTGTAGCTTTACTTCGATTTGAAAACTTGTGAAATAAAAACTTGTGAAATAAATATATACAATTTAGGCCCAAAGTGTACCGGCGAGTCAAGCGGATATACTACTAAAAAACGAAATTAACAAAACATTTTAGCAAACTAAGCCGTTCAGTCATTTATATCTGTTTCCTTTCGAGAATGATGACTATTTTGAAGCCGAAAACCAACAAGGGATTGTTTCAAAACACTAAAAGAATATCAAAACACTAAAATTTCTCGCTAAAAACACTTAAAAAACGTTTAGGCGTTTAAATCTTGTCATTTCCAAGCGTGTGCCTTATTAGTCGTTTTCTATGCATATGCTTGTTAGGGACCGCCCCCCGAGACCAGGAAAAGCTTAAATACGTTAAATTTATCTTCGCTCTCAAGGCTTGCCACTGTAGCTGATTCGTCTATGACGCGCTACGCGTGTGGCATACAGCCCACTCTGTTTCTCACTGAGACGTAACGGTTAGGTGCACATACATCATGGTCTGGGGGCCGTAGTGCATCTCCCCCTTAGACGGCCGTTAAGATGTGAGTTATGGGGGGGAGTTCTTCCTATAGCAACTGTCCTTGCACCTTTCGTAGTTGTAATCTATGCTGGTATATCGCAGCTGGTTGTAATATCACCGGTTAGATTGTGGCATAGAGCTGGATGATCTCTTTTGGGTGTTTTTAGGTTCTTTCTGAAATTTTTTTTTCTTTCAAATTTTTCTTTTCCATACAAAAAAATACTGTTATTAAACAGATATGGAACTGATATAGTTCGAAAAAAAAAATTATATCCACTAAAAACCACCATAATTAGCCCCTGAGTACTCTCCCCAGTCTCTGCATGGCTGAGTCTCTGAATTAAACATTACCAGAAACCATGGTCGAATACGCCATTTTCCGGCGAACTCGACCATGGTCGAATACGCCACATACTTGGTTTGCAAGTGCCGGGAGAACCTGCGCCAACATATCCGGGATTACAGGTGCACTTCCCTTTGTCGCATTTGGCATTTGGGTCACAATTGCACTTATCCTCTGCAAAGAGAGAAGATTGAAATGGTTAGATGGAATTGTGTCTAGTTTTCATAAACGTTAACAATGAAGAATTGATTGATCATCCATTCTTTCCAAATTTTTCTTTTACATACAAGAAACACTGTTATTAAACATATATGGAACGATCAACGACCTTTATTCAATGCCTTAATTAATCCCGGAATACTCTCCCCAGTCACTGCCCCAGTCTCGGCCAATTTCAAAATGGCGGTGGTCGGGCTGGTGAAATCATAGTTTTTTAGTTTTTGATGAAACAAAACACTCTTGCCAGTCGCAATATATTTTGACCTGTTTCATCAAAAACCAAAAAACCTGATTGTTGGGCTAGCTATGGTGAAATTCAAGATATAGCAGACCTGCAAATTCGAGATATGCCACTGATGAAATAAGTATTCTTCAATATATGAAGATCGAATCCTCACACAGGGACAGGGCAAGTTAGCCCCGGATTAAACTTGATAGAACGACTAAAGATAAGGTTCCATTTTCTGCAGATATTCCGGCAAAATGGCTCAATAGTATTGGGCAATTCAGCCGAGATCATCTTCGAAGAAGAACATGCTGATTCAGAAGAATGCAAAAGTAAGCATTGTTAGCAACGTCGCGACACATAAAATCCCGGCCTACAAATCTCCAAATGGGCCAGATATATTGGATCATGCACTCAATGAGACATAGACAGACGATTAGTGTGAATGCTTGTAAGATTATAAGCTCTCGTAGGATGGAAACATATAGTCATTTGTTTCTTACAGCTGGTGAAATTAGCTTTGTCGGTTCTGGTTCAAATGACTGGTTTGATCCGCACAATTGGAAGACTGATTCCAAATCAATTCCTGTCGGGTTGTATTCACAATTGTTGCCATGTCAGTATGACGATGTCAGATTTCCAAAGGTAAATCATTCATATCTTTGCCTCTGATATAATGCATGTGTACGTGGCTTTCCAGAGCTTAACCATTCTTTAGAAAAGACTAAAGATTTGTGGCATTAGTTGACCAACTAAGCAACGAAGAATATGTTTCTTACTGACTCTTATTCTCAACTCTCAAGAAAGAGCTCTCGTATACCACCGACCAGCCTTCGATTCACTTGCTGTCGGTGATCATCGAGGAAAAAGTGAATTCAGAAACACAACATAAATACGCGCCATATCGAATCTTAGCTCAACTGGCTGACATGCCGAGTTTGAACTGATCATATCTTTCGTAACTTTCTAGGATTCCAGTTACAATGTTGAAATATCGAAAAGCGTCACAGTAGCAAAGGTTTTTATCAATGGAAAGGTAAACTGAAGCTAATAAAAATACCACGATTTCAATTTTAATTTAAATACATGTCACGAAGAAACGAAAGTCAGTAGAAATATAAGAAGTGGCTAAACTATAAGCTGGTTTCTTTTCCTCTGGATGAAGCTAAGGATCTTTACCAGTTATAACTGCCACAAGTTCTAATTTCCTCATGCAAACATGCTGTGTTTTTTCCCTCGAGGAACACAACGAGACTGAATTTCAAAGATACACCAAATCACACACTGGTGTTCAAAGATTTCAACTCAAAAATTCGGCATCGTTTCACATCACTGGTAAAAAATGTCAGGACGTTTCTGGATGTATATGCAACAATAACAAGGTAAATTTAACGGTTACTACAGTATAATGATCAAAATGATAATTATTATTATGAGGATATCGATGGTCAGATGATGATATTGATGATCAAATTATTATCAATGGTGATGATGTTGAGAACATTGCTGATGATGATTTGATGACCATGATGAGGAATGTGGATCGTCAGATGATTTTATTGACAATCATAATATTAATTGTTGATGATATGTTAAACAGTTAAAGAGGAGTATTTTTTTCGTATCTTACAGTACGAGGATTACATTTGTTCCTTTGTAACATGTCCAGAAGTGAAATGTGGCGAACCTGTCAAACCGTATGGTGGATGCTGCTCAATTTGTGGTAAAATGTATTTCATTTAAACCTGCGTGCGCAAGGTTAAAATTGTTGGAAATACATAGATCTTATTTAGTTTATTGGTAGCCGCTGAATTCATATTTGTGTTTCGCTGTTTTGCACTCAAGGGCACCTATTGTTAGTGAACTATTCTGTTGGATTTACCAAAGAATTTTTGGAAAAACAGATAAAGAAACTCTTAAAAAAGGTAGATTGAATTATTTCTTTCCTTTTAACTTCTAAAATTTGCAAATAAAGTCAAACTTTGATCACCTTTTCTTCTTCTAGTTTCCCGAAGTAACTTTCACAAGTATGAAATATAAAAGAGAGAGAATTGAAATAGTTCTTTGGGATGAAACAACATCCGGATCCGGTATTGATTATTACTCAAACCTTTCAACACTATTTGGTCTGTTTGTTGATTGTAATCCAACCGTTTTCAATGGTTTACAACTTGAATTTTTGTTCCTCTTAGGAAGCACGAGAACAACCAACGCTGCTCGCTCACTTCGTGAAAATCTTTTGGCTGGTATGGCTTAAATCATTTGAAATATGTCGTTCAACGATTTCTCAATTTGTCATATAACAACTTTCGTGTTGCATTTGTTGTTTAGATAAAAATTCACACGTTACAGCCGTTGAAATACTGCCTAAACCGCCCTCTTCCGAAAGCAGCAAGTCAGAGGGTAAGCAGAGATGTATATTTAACCTGTTTGCCGCACTACAGTACATTTCAAGAATTACCAGTGATAAAAACTTTGAAGTATTAGTTCACGTTATTCTTCTTTTGTAATAGCTAATATGTCTAAAAATATTTGAGCTAAAGGCAAAATGACTACAACTTAACTTTCCAAATATTTCCATTAAGCCTCATTCCATAAAACATCTCAATTTTCCAGGTATCACTCCGATAAAAATTAGCTTCATTGCTGTCGGCAGTTTTGTCTTTTTTATTTTGGTCATATTGCTTCTGTTTCTTCTTAAACGAAAAAGGTACGGCACATTGATTGAAGAATCGCCAAATAACATTGTATTCCATCACTTGCTGTTGTTGCAAAACTGATTACCACTGTGCTTTTTTACAATTCATGCATTGAAGGTTGTTTTTATTTTGCTGAATAAAGGTGGACAGTGATTATTCTAATTGCTCGTAACTGATTTGTTTGTTTAGCCGTAACATCGCCATAGACGAAACACAAATGGAAGGGGAGCCGAGCAACTTGGACCATCATCTTTCCGATGATGATGGTGTTAATCCTTTGTATGAGTGTGGTGATATAGAAATGGTAAGTTTTTCAAATTGCTCAATACCAACGATGTTAGATCATTCCTGTAGTTGTTTCATAAATAACCTTGTCTTCAGATCCAATTATTTTATAACAGTGAAATGCAGCAATAGACCTTTCTTATAATGACGTCAGACGCGGAAAGTCTGATGTTACACGAAATTTAATTGGCTCCACAAAACTATCGAGCCAATCAAACTTCGTGTAACATCAGACTTTCCGCGTTTGACGTCATTATGAAAAAGGTCTATTTCATGTGGTCGTGTTATTTCTTAACGTGCTCGTGTTTCTTTTGTGTCCGGGCCCTTGTATCTTGAGCGGAGATCGTCCTAGTGATGAGGGCTTGGGTACAAGATTAAGCGCCAAATGAGGCCAATATTATTAGGTTTGGTATTCCAGATTTTTAAAATTCCTCAGTTACAGCGTTGAGTACGCTTCATCGATTTGCAGGATTCGCTGGGATTCACGAATGCTTTGGCGGTCGAAGATCCGGACAGCGAAGCAAAGGAAAATCCTCTTTATGAGTCCGCAGTACCTTCTTCTACAGAGTGAGAAATTGGGAAGTACTTCATGCCTCATCAGTTTTCACGTGAATTAATTAAATTATAATATTGGGTAAAATTAATAGATAAAATACCATGAGTAGTAAAAACAGCAGATATTTTGCATAGTGATATGCAAATCTGCCAAATGCCAAACGATTTTCAAGAAATGTGAAACATTTGTTGAAAGTCATAAAAATTTACCAAGCGAAAATTCATACTTGTGCAATTCCTTGTTTTAATACTGGATGATAGGGAAGGATCAGATTACGCTTCCTTGCCATCAAAAGATAGATATATTACTGCTTTGTGTTATTATTGATTTTGACAAAACTGTATTTTGTGAATATACAAATAACTGCTTTATTCTTCGAAAACACGAGTGAATTACTTCTTACAATAGTAATCAAGAAGTGAAGAAAAGCCAAGTCGAGCGTGTGGATTGCGTGTAGGCCTCTATCGGCATTCAATTTTTGTTTATTTTGATCTCATGTGAATCTAGTTATTGTGTGGTGCAGTACATCGGCTGAACTTTCAGTGGTTTTGAAAACTTGATGACATTTTGATCCCTAAATGCAAGGAAATGTATCTAACTTGAAGAGTTAAGTGCTCATTGCCGTCGTAATTTGGATCCATAGCTGGCTGGCATCATTACAAAGTGATCTATCGCCGAACTTAGTCATCGCTTTAAGAAGTATCGACGCTTGTCGGGGAAAAAGTTTTGAAATATTCTTTGACTTTGATGTGGTAAAACGCTGGACAATCTCGCAGTGGAATACAGACGTATGTTAATGTTTTGAGTCATCAAACTGAACGTAATAGAAACATGTATTGAATCGCAGAGATTAAAGTATCGTTTTCCAGAATGGGAAATATTTTATAAGCTAGCAAAGCACTCGAGTGGACTTTGTAAAGTTAAACGCAAAAGAGCAAAAGTACAAAAAATCGCATTATGATGAAGGTGAAGGTGGGGTACAATTAATCGCAGGAGAACTCGAAAACAAAGCAGCATTGAGGACAAAGGCGGTACAACTAATCACAAACTATTTCTCGACTGAACTGGGACTGTGTCGTACGCACTTTTACTATCAATCAAACAAAAAGCCGATAAATTCAATTGTCGGATTCGATTTTGAAGGAATGCGAGTGTAAAGCCTCGTATTTCATTTGAAATCGTCGAGAGTTGTTCAAAATTCAAGCGCTCTTATCATAAAGCGTGTGTTTGAGACAACCCTATAAGCATAATGGCAGTGTATATCAGCGGGAGTTATTTTGGAACGGCTGTCGTGCGCAAGAATTTCCATTCGAACGCAACATATGCAAATGAGTTGAAAGACAAAATACGCGGGCAAGATCCTGGGCAAGATGAGCCTGAGATTATTCCGCAAAAGAAGAAATCTTGGTTCAAAAAACGACCAAAGTTGAAACAAAAGATCCGAGAGAAATATCAACATCGGAACCAGTTCCGCTGGAAGAGAATAGCCTCAGATCACGATTTCAGTTAAAGGACTTCGATTTACTGTGTGACTTGTCATTCAGCCAAGGACTTTCGTGAAATAACTATTTCATAGGATCTAAATTTAGCGCTGTAATTAGCAGTGTAAATGATAGGAATATTATTTTATTGAGGACGAGGTAGTACTAGTAGAGATGTATGATGTTTCAATGTTGTTGGGTATTTTATTACAAAACAAATGTTTATTCGTGACATTGTGATCTGACGTTGGCATTCAACAAATTAGTTATTACAGGAGTGAGGACTATCCTTTTGACTATTCACCGAGTAAAAATGGTGGTGTATTTCATTTTGAGCCTTTAACCAGTGATTCGTGCGTGCAGTCTTGCACGCGAGCGAATGAGCGATACGAGATTGCGTGCGTTTGAATTTCAAAACAAGCCAACCGCAGCGACCAATTAACTCAATTCGATTACTGTTCTCGCTGGAAACTATGACATCACATCAAACCCAACAAAGAGTCTGTTTGTGTTTTAATTAAATGCTTGTGTTACGTACTCAATAAGGTTGAAACTCTTACAGCAATAAAATAAGCAGAGAATGGCATACTGTATCTATCGAAAAAAACCTGGGATTATTACTGATTATAATGTTTATTTGGGCTAATTTACCCTGAACATGCCCAAACAAGTTTAAAAGTAATAAGGTCCATTAGCTTGCAAGGGTAGAGAGAGGGTGTAGTTCACTAGCTGTCTGTGTTACATATTGTGTGTAGCTTTGGAAAGACCCATTTGGTTTTCATATGGTACATGCAGATCACAACAAATAAAATTGACAGAGATTTCAAATTGAAGAATTTATTATTTCACTCTACTGTCATACAAATACACACAAATACTTGAAAACAGACCCTTATATCGGACATTCAACTGTCTCCATCCATTCAAAATCCATTACTGTCCCTGAATGCAACACATATGGTGCAGTCAAGACGATTAGGTGCATTATATTATGACTATTGAAAAAGAAATCCATTCGTCCTTGATAGAATCGCTCTGGCAGACGTGACAGGTTTACAATACCACCAATAAGGCCAATCATCTCCACCCCTATGGTGTACCAAATAGTACCTTGTGGTCCTGTAGTATACCCTAATGTTGTCATTATACATCGTGTGGGGAATAGGACGAACATCCTAACAGCACCAAGGATAACAAGGGGCTGCATTCTAGTTTTGGAATTTGTTCCTTTCTTTACATAAAGGAAAGTAATGAAGCATAATAGAACATACATAGACATGACAATCCAATTGACTAGGGGAAAACAAAAAAATGTTGCCCTCAAGAAGGTAATACAAGATAGGCCAGTCACCAACCAAACGCCTAAATAGTCAAGCGTGATTAAACTTTGATATGCCGGGTTGCCTCCTTCGTGACACATCATTAGGTGGTATATGGCACTGAACAGCACACAAGTTGTGGATGTGATGTGGTGAATAGGGTAGAGGATTGGGTTAAATTCTAGATGGGATATCTTGCCATAAACATATGGACTTAGCAAAATCAAGGCAATTGTGGCAAGGCCTAGAATGGAAAAAAATTGAGTCAATTTGATGCATAATTTTAATGAAATCTGTGGGGAAAGGGAATATATAGCCTGATGTAGCTATGGTATAAAATTTGTAATAAATTGATAGAAGATTCCATCAAAGGTGCATTTCATGTTTAAACTTAGTGAATATATGTAATTATACAAGTCAAGTTGCTATTTTTACTACAATCATTTCAGCCCCTGCTGGGCTATTATGTTTCCTATTGAGTTTGCTAGCAGTGTTCATTAACCTCTGTGACTTTTGGTACAAAGTTTGGACATATCCAAAGCAGGGCAGCACATACCAGTGTTGCTAAAGCTATTTATGAAAGAGATCTCGTATATTATATTAAGCATTAATACCAAACGAAATAAAACAAGTAAAATTATCGAGGTTTAATAGCTCGGAACAAGTAAATTATGTAACTAATATATGTATTAAGCCAAATTACAGACTGCCGCCCAATCGGTAACTTTTTAGTATAGTACATCTTTTGTAGATTTGCTACATTTTAGAACAAGAAATCGAATGTAAGAATAACATGCCACGTAATTTTAGAATATTTTAGAATGTTTATCTCGATACACTTGAGAGGTTCTGGACTATTTTCAAATTTCAATTCCAACCTCGTCCCTTTTATTAAACGTTTTGCATACATACCATGAGAATAAACATTGAAGCTTTCATTATGCAAATAAAATAGACTTTTTAAGCACTCCCATGTGCTTAAGTCAACACGATAACCAGTGTGAACGTACTGATTAAAACGCAAATGATCTGGTAGGCAGTTGAAGTGATGCAGGCCATTACTAGAATGACATTTGCAACCTTTATCCGGTTCGATTGGCGTCAAACCGTTCGGTTCATGGTTAGATTTTGACTTGGACTTATTATTTTTGTTTTTTATACTTCGATTCTCCATTAAAGTGTACTTTCTTTTCTAGTCCTCCGATATTAAATGCCTCATTAAATAAAATAATATACTTGGGAAGATCAAATGCTTATATATATGCTTGGGCCTTTAGTGTTTATGTGGGTATATATTGCATGTTCAATTATAAATTCACTGATCCTATTGGCTAATGAACTTCGCGTTTAAAATGCTGCACTATGATTGGCAAACAGCTCTGCAGGGGTATTCAGAATTTACATACCCCCGGGGGTTACATTTTGACAATTTGACGTCAACAACAGAGGGGTTTATACTGTGGCTAATTCTGCGCATCTGTTCTGCGCATAACAATGGCAGGCTACTGCATTTTTCATTTCTTAAATTCAGCGAACCAGAATGGTATTAAATATTCTGAAAGTTCTCGATACTTTAGGAAATATACGGATTAAAAATGTGAACAAAACGTTTGTTTACATTACGTACTGTACCACTACAGTTGAGTTTTAATTCCAGAGTACAATGTTTTTAGTATAATTACATTTCGACCATTAGCTGATACCTATCTAGGACTACCCAGTACTATTTACAAATTTTAAAACTGATATAATTTATATCTGGGACAATCACTGATAGAAATGATCAGTTTCCCATGAAGGTCCACATTGGCCAGTGGTCAACGACAAAATATTTGCTCAACGCCGTTTCCAGGGTACATCTTGAAGCAACCTGGGGTTGATTATTACGTAGGACATTCGACCCGTTCCATCCACTCGAAATCCATGACTGTCCCTGCGTGGGACATCACTGGAGCAAACAAGACAACAATATGCATAATGTTATGGCTATTGAAAAAATAATCAACTCGTCCTTGGAACCATCTTTCTGGAAGACGTGACACATTTATAATACCGCCAAGAACACCGATCATTTCACCTCCAATGATGTACCGAAAAGTATTTAATGGTCCTGTAGTGTACCCTAATATTGACATGATGTATCTTGTGGTGTATATGAACAATCCCCTCACAACACCCATGATAGTAAGGGACTGCAGTCTCGTTTTCTGTGATGTGGTTTTCTTTGCAAAAATAAAACTGACGCAGAGTAATAAAAAATAGATTGACACGACAGCCAGATGGACTTGGGGAAAACAGAACAATGTTGCTTTCAGGAACGTCAGACAAGACAGGCCAGTGACGAGCCAAATGCCGAAATAATCGAGCTTGATCAAGCTATCGTAAGCTGGCTTTCCGCTGTTGTGACACAACATCAGGTGGTATATGGAACTGAATAGCATGCAGGCGGTGGATGTGATGTAGTGAATGGAGTAAAGAATTGGGTCGAATCGTAGATGAGATGTCTTTCCGAAAACATATTGACTCAGAATAATCAAAGCAATCATGGCTAGACCTGGAGGAGAGAAAGTTTTAAGTTAATTTAGGCTAAATTTTGCGCAGGTAACCAACATACGCTTGTGTTTACTGTACGTACTAAAAACCAGGGGCCGGTTATACAAAAACTGGATAGCGCTATCCATTGGATAGGGTTTTTCATTCGCTGTAAAGTGATCCATTGTTTAGTGCAACTTTGATTAACCGTAGTATTAATAAATTAGGGATTCTCTTAAATTTAATAGCTGGCAAATTAGAAAATGGTTGAAAAATCACTATCCGGTGGTAGAGAGCGCTATCCAGCCTTCGTACAACCGGTCCAGAATGCAAAGTAGGCATGCGAAACTTAAAAAGCGCGCGCATAACTCCTTAAAAAAAGCGCGTGGGATCAAATTCCTCCCAAGAAACTCTACAATCAACGGAAATTCGGCGATTGCTGATTGACATATTCAACTACTGTGGAGTGTAGAGTTTTGACATGCCAAACTGGTGCGGTATACATTATAACATTATCGCCAAGATCTCTTTTGAGGCGTACAGGGCAATATCCATTATGCTAAACAGAGTCTATAAAAGTGCTATAAACATATACTTAATGCTGTAATGTGCTGGGGAAGGACGCTATTAATATTGACGAGTTTCCCTCCCAAAAGTTTAACAGGACTATATATGAATTTATGTGAAGCTATTTTTAATTCACTGGTCAAATCGATACAGTGCATCCAAATTTTTTAACTCATTTTTTGACTTAGGGAACTGAACGAAAAATAAGGAAAATATGCCACGTCATTTTTGAAATATTTTTGAATGTTTATCTCGATACACTTGAGAGCTTCTGAAATCCTTTTAATCTAATTCTTTTTAAAATGATATACAATGGACTGTTTCGATACATACCATGAGAATAAACGTTGAAGCTTTCATTGTGTAAATAAAATAGACTTTTTAGACAACCCCATGTACTTAGGTCAACACGATAACCAGTGTGAACATACTGATTAAAACGCAAATGATCTGGTAGGCAGTTGAAGTGATGCAGGCCATTACTAGAATGACATTTGCAACCTTTATCCGGTTCGATTGGCGTCAAACCGTTCGATTCATGGTTGGATTTTGACTTGGAATTATTATTACTTCCATTTTGCCATCGAGTTTTCATCATGAGTTTTTTTTTATCCTTTCGTGAGTAAGTTGCGTAGCGATATTAATCGCCTATTAATGCTTGCTGAATTAAGACCAATAGGAAAGATCAATCACACGTTAAAGATCTAGTATACGTGATAGGCTGACAGCTTTACGTATTTCCTGCGAAATTAAGATACTGAATGTTTCTTACAAATTAGTGATCTTATTGGCCTGATGATCTTTCCGTTCGAAATACAGCAATATGTTTGGCCAATACATGTTCAGAGTCACTTGAGAATTTGCATAGGCCCTGGGGATATTACTGGTCAAAAGGTCTTTATATATGCCTCTATTAATTACAACTAAAAAACGTTTTTTTAAACATGTATAACCTTTACAATTGACCATAAACTTACACAAATCAGCTCCCTGCCATTAAATGGGTAGTACTTGGAATATCAGTATATATATTAGATGTGTTTAGGCCTATCTAGGTATTCACAATTCAAATAACTTTATTGACTTGATTTATTTATAACTAATAAGACTATACTAAATGACACTTGCAAGAGATTTTTACATTGGACATTCAACCAACTGCATCCATTCAAAATCCATCACTGTCCCAGAATGCAATACTGCAGGCCCAATCAAGATGAAAAGATGCATAATGTTATGACTATTGAAAAAATAATCCAATTTCCCTACAAACACTTTCTCTGGAAAGCATGAAAAATTAATGATGCTAGCAAAGAGGCCGACCATTTCTATCCCAATTGCATACCAAATTGTACTTAATGGCCCTGTAGTGCACCCTAATGTTGTCATGATACATCTCACAGGGTATAGAGCAAACATCCTAAAGGTGCCAAGGGCAAGCAATGGAAATGTTCTTGTCTCAGCATCTGTACCTTTTTTTATATACATTAAACTAACAAAGCCTAATAGAAAATAGATTGTTGTGACTGGGATTCGAACCCGTGGATAACAGAAAAATGTTGCTTTCAAAAATGTGATACAAGATAGACCGGTCACCAGCAAAATGCCAAAGTAATCAAGCAAAATGACTCTGTTGTAGAATGGCTTCCCTCCCTCATGACATGACATCAGGTGGTATATGGCACTGAAAAGCACACAGGTGGTGGATGTAATATGGTGAACAGGGTAAAGGATTGGGTCAAATTCTAGATGGGATATCTTGCCATAAACATATGGACTCAGCAAAACTAACAGAATTGCTGCAAGCCCTAGAAAGAAAAATATCATTACATACACTTATAATACTTCATAAATATACAGCTTTGTTGTCTCTAGACTGTAGGTCTGGTATTACACTGAACAAATTACCCAGTGGGGTGCAAAATAAATACATACTGGTGGAAAGGTTTGTTATATATTCACCAAATGCTTGTTTCTTATAATTAACCGGTATTCTACACCCATCTCGAAACGCTCTACAATATCAAAATACGGTTACCTTACCATGAGAATAAACATTGAAGCTTTCATTGTGCAAATAAAATAGGCTTTTGATACACTCCCATGTACTTAGATTGACGCGATAACCGGTACGGACATATTGATTATTTCGTAGATGCTCTGGGAGGCAATTGTAATGATGGAGCCCGTTCTTTGCATGACATTTGCAATTTGATTTTGGTTTAGCAATTTGCGTGGAACCATTTGATGCCCGATCGCTTTTTCCCTCCTGATTTTTCATAGTCAGAAAGACCTTCTCTCTTCCGATAGGATTCGATACATATTACATGCATCACCGAACAGCAAACGAATAGAATATTAGACATTGCCGTCATATTTTAATCCATTTTAAAGATTTGGGAACCAATGTCCTTTTATGTCATAAACTTTGTATATGCGTCAGCGCGTATCAAAGAAATGCCAGAGGAAACTTCCGGTATAATTTATCGGCCATTTCATTAGAATCTGGGCAATATTTTTTTAAATCTTGCATTATAAAACAAACCACAAATTTGCAAACCTTATTACAAAGTACAACGTTTTGTAGTTTGTTCGAAAAGAGTGAAAAGATCAGTGGAAAAGACACAAAAGAGGAAGAAGGGTAATCGGAAAATCGCGAGGGTTTCCGACGACGTCTAAATAATTTTATCAATTTTCATTGGCTAAGAAATCTTCGGGATCGGAAATACAGCGATATGATTGGCCAACGAGTTGTCGTCAGGGATACACGAAGTTGAGGACGATAAAGTTCGTTTTAAATGTGGCGGGAACACCGAACGCGCACAATTTCAATGATTCTAACAAAATTTGGCGTGAATATTTGTATATTTATCGTATTTCTTTGTGTTTATGGTAAATATAGGCTGTTTATTTTTCAACAATGACAACCGGGGATTTGAAGAACAATTTGCGAAAGTTTCACACTGAAGTAAAACTCGTAAATTACAATAACGAGTTGGATATCGAAGGACTTAGCATAGGTAGACCTTCGGCTTTCTTGCCTATTTTGCACTACGTTTTGGCCGAATTTTCTATCGAATTGGCTCAGTATTTTTACGCAAAGGACTACGAACTTCTTGGAAAGAATGACAAAAATTTTGTGTCGGTAATATACAGGATTTTACGCGATGAATTCGACTCAAAATCGCCATTGACCAAAGAGCAGTTTTTCACTCTTGGCTTTGCCGAAAGGAAACTGCAATTTGTCACCTCTTTCATCCACTTCTGTCGGAAGAAAAGTGATGCCTTGAAGCCGAAGAAACGGAAGAGTATATTGAGTTCAAATTCTGGTAACTATAAATATGTATTGCAGACATTTATATGGTGTTTAAAGGTGTTAAAACTATGAAGTCAATAGTATCCAGTGGGTTCTGCCTTTTAGCTCAGTAGAATTGATTTTAGATCAGTAAGCTGTATCATTTCAAACAGGATTAAAAGGTTTGTTCATATGCAATCTAAATCTAAAGTTGTTCATACTTAAACATTATTCAAACTCGAAAGGGGGGAAGTGGGACAATTTGTGAAGTGGTGACCAGCCTCAATTTAATGTTGTGCCTATGGTGCTGGTGAAATAAGAAGATAATTATGCTGATGTAGAGGCATGCTAGAGAAAAGGTATAAGATCCTTGAAAGGCAGTTTGGCCGATGAGCCAGAAGCTTCTAATTTAAGGAAATTCAGATAACTATAGTGGCTCCTTTTGAGTGATAAAATTCCATGATAATTTAGAATTCCATCTCCAATGAAATTCCATGATAATTTGGTACAAAATAGTGATTTTTGCAAGTTGTAAGTGATCCAGTAAATTTTGGATTTCATATTTTTATTGATAGTATGTTATGTTATATATATTTCAATTCACCAAGGTTCTCAGGTTATCATTATTTTGTAGCCAAAACATCCAAATTGAACATTCACATTCCTGGTAGAATTGCTTGTACCACAGTTGGTACAAAAAACTCCACTGGTACTACCAGGTACAATAGTCTCTCTTCCATTACTGCACCAACTGAACCAGCAGGTTTTAATAATTTAAAACCCCAAATTGTTGCCTCCAAACAAGTTGATGGAAAAACAAAAGCAGGGAACTCCCTTATGGTTGCTCATGATAAAACACTACTAAAATATGAAAGCTTAAGGCATGATAAAACATTAATCATCCCCAATCAGGACCCAGATGATGTCCCAAGGTTGGGAAATATTCCAGGTCCATTTGTAATGCAAGTTGGCAATAACACATCCAGTCTATTAGTTCAATCAAGATCAGATACAACAACTGTCAGGAATCCTCATGAGTTACTGAAAGAAAAAAAATTGGATGATGGCAGCTGTGTATATGCTGCTAAGGAAAACATTCGCCCAAATACAGGCAGTGTGCTGGTTGCAGATGCTTGGAATAGTGCTGATGGTGGTAAAAGTGCAGATGGGTTCAATAGTGCTAATGGTTGTAATAGTGCAGGTGATGGTTTAAAAAGTGTGGTGTCAGGCAGTAGCCATAACTTGATGCTTTCGCAAATGTCATTATCAGATGGAAACCATCCAGATTTTGACTACCTGACTAAAAAGAAAATGGAAAATGTTGGTGCAAAAATAACTAGTGTACCATTTGTATGTTGTTCCGACAGTCCAGAATTCTCAAAACATATTTTTGTAACCCGTGCAAGAGAAGATCCAGAATCTCCTTATAGGAATGAAGATATGAATGAGTCATCAGGCAAGTCATCCAAAACGTGTGATGAGCTTTTGGATTATATGAAGAAACAAGAAAAGAGGATTGACGTGTTGGAAAGGACAGTTAAAGAAAGGAATTGTCGTATTGATGATTTGGGGGAAACAAATTCTAAGCTTAATGCTAGAGTAATGGTATTAGAAACTGCAGTGGCATTATTACAAGAAAAATTGGAGTTGTGAAGATCCTCTGTCTTCAATTGCAGTACATACATGCAAGTGTCATAATTAATCTTTGCGGTGTGAATTTCCGCGCATTTTTATATTGGATGAGTATGTCACAGCATTTAAATAATGGTAACATGCAGCTGATAGAAAATGGAGCATGTTTGATTGATGTTTCTGCGAGCCATAATCGAAGGGGATTAAGCGCTGGCAAGAGGAATAAAAGTGGCTTTGAAGCATTCATCAATTCCGACAATTACAGGATATTTTGAAATGTTGGGTTAGGCTCAAAGTCTATAATAATTATATATAATGTTTTTGCCTGGAATATCCAAAAAATCGCGACGATATTGCCTGAAACTAACCTCCTGTAATGTTTGTTTATTGTCTTGAAGTGTTAAAGATGCTGGCATAAATATTAAAATTTAAATACATTAGTATCAACAATAGCCTTAATTCCCGACAACGGCGACTATAGTCTATACTAATAATCGTTTCCTCTAATAATTGGTCATGAATATTCAAGACGCCGTCGTTGTTGAAACTGTTACCGCTTTATTTGTATATATTTTCACGCTACAATTTTATCAGATATAAAACGTTCGATTTAATTTCGAAGGTTTTATGTGAATTTACAGACGTTTACAACTAGACGTAATTTCTGTAGTGCTTTTCAGTATAGATAATTTCGCTATAGGTACTTTGTAGTTTAACTCGTTTCACATGTCATGTCATGCAGCATGTCCGGAGTGTATTTTCAATGTAATTGGAATTTAAGCCAATCAAATTTTGTCTAGCTTTATTAATTTGCATTGCGAATTGTTGCGGAAAATTCGTTGTAATGCATACGTATTGTCATTATTGCCGTAGTTCTTTTTTTGCCATTAATACTTTATTCCAAAAGATGTGCGTGGATGTTATTGGTCTGTGAACAGTTGGCTTTATCTTTGTGTACAAAACCTTACACTTTATCTCTAACAGTTTTAAATTAGTAAATAAAGATATTGATGATACAGAGGTAAGAGAATTTGTAAATGACATATATATATACTGAATAATTAAGCTAACGTTTTGCCATGTTATGTGGGCTAATTGAGCACGGAAGTTTAGTTAAAAGAAATATACTTGAAGTTATCACGTTTCCTGCCCTAATATCTGCCCGATCGAAACAATGACTTCAGGACAGATTTATATTCAAATCTGTTTTACTGTAACGATTCGATATACTTAGCAAAAGATATGGGCCTATATTTAAATATATCGGAGACATTGGGTGCTCTTTTAAACCGCGGCTACACGGGCCATTTTCATCGGCGATTTTGTCTCTCTAGCGTATGTTATTGTGTGAATTACATACGGAGTTGTATAAGCTGGGCGAAGTAAAGTAATCAACTCTGGTAAATTTACTCAATAGCATACACCAAGAGAAGAAAATCGACGTCAAAAATCGCTCGTGTAGTCGGGCTTTATAGATAACCAGTTTCAGGGAACATTCATAATATATTAGCATCCAGCAAGTTATGCTTTTACTATAAAGAATAGAAGTATATAGCTATATGAGTATAAATTGTCCTTAATTCTGACTGAACGATTAGACCTAAACTTTTTAGACCTAAAAGGGATAGACAAGCAGTATTTTTTACTTTGATCGCCTTACTGCTACTATGAATGTACACACTATTAACAGATAATTTATTATCTAAGTGCATGTTTACATCTATACTACTTTTGCTCGGAACGCTTTTTAATTAAAATACATGCAGTGTTTTATGTAATAGAATAGATATAAACATGCGAAATCGATAAAAATTTCTAGTTTCCTAAATCGTAAGGCAAATGCTATAAACGCGCGGAATTATGCAACTTGTCGGCATGAATTATTGTCTTTATAGCAGGTAGTGATTTCGGTGGAACAAAAGCAGAGCCAAGATAAAATAATTATTTTACTCTAGGATCAGACGTAACTGTGTCTTTCGTTAGGGTTGTCAGTCTGTGGCAGAACGTGACTACGGCAGAACATATGTTACCAGGTTAACGTCATTGCTAACAGGCATGCAGATTTGGATCGAATAAATAGCGTCGCACATTCCTATTTTAAGCGCATCACGCCATTTATTCGCAATTCTGCATGGCTTGGCTTTGATGCTCCCGTACTCAATCTAAGTCCGTCTATAATAAGCCTGGCTCTCATTAATCAGTCGGCGATGTGATTGTTTGGTGGCCAGTAATAAAAAAAATTAGTAGCTGAAACCTGCTTCTGATGGGACATCGACTGTCGCTATGGCTATTGTAAGCTAGTGATCAAAGGAAAAGTGCTTTGAATATAAATTTTATTCGTCAATGGCCGCCAACAATACATCGCTGACTGTCGCTGTGATCACTCAAAACCAGGTCCTTACCTTCAAAAGTCGGGGAAAGCCTTTTTGTAGCAAAAAATAACTATTTATTTTATTTCCACCCCTGCATGGCGTTTGATTAAAAC